ACAACTGGGCGTTTTCGTATATCGATAAGCCTATATTGTCTAAGATAGCTAAATACTCGGTAGAATCAAATTTTCCGACCGTCAAGTAATTGTCTACAATGCATAGACTGATAAATTTTTGAATATCCGACGGCAATTGCTTGTCTTTCAAAATGTGTTCAATTAAAATTTGGTTGTTCTCGGCCGCCGTTATGTGTATTATTAGACCATGGACTCTGCTAAACAATTCCCAAAGCCATTTCTGCGCTACTCTCTTTGCCGTGTACAACACCGACAGCATTCTAAGCAAGTAAGTATGCGACTTTATTAGGAACTGATGATCAATGATAATATTGTCGGTTTTAACCATTTTATTCATACGGATGACGATCATCTTCGCGATAATTCCATTGGTGCATTGGAGATCTTGAATTTTCCTTTTGTAGTTTCTTAATACTTTCATCTTTCTCTTATTCTCGTAATTATTTTCAAAAGAAATATTCTTCAGGATAACGATTTCTTCGTCTTTAAATACTATAGGATTTTCATTCAACGTCACAAAATTATTTAAATAGTCTATGAGTTCCACATCCAGCGGTACAAATGTGATATTAGCTTCGTTTTCTTCATCGCTATCGTCACTTTCCGAATCGATTTCCATAAAATCAGTGCCCTACAACATGGAACATAATATTATAGTCGATTAATATTATGAGTACCTAGTATATTATCAAACAAAACAGTTGACACTAATTCGTTTAAAGAATGCCGATTATGGTAAACAAATAGTTATCCACTGGTTGACTAATAACGGCCCAAGAGAGTATAGAAACATGTATTTTAGTTTTATTAATGTTTCAAGCTGCCAAATGTATATGTACCATCTGACTAGTGCCGTATTTCCCAGTAAACACTATAAGCTAGTGCTTAGAACGGCAATTTCTCAGGGGCGGCAAATAATTTTTAATATAAATTTTTTTTTATTTGTAACTAGAACTGAATGAAATGAAACTAGTTATACATTTTTTTAGATCAACGGGATTTTGGTAATATATAATATTAATATTTATTGTTATAAGGGGATTTTCAATTTCAAAATCATAGAATAAATCGTCCTATTAGCATTGCTCCGTTATTATTAAATTTGCCATTGTCATGTTGTATTTATGACTTGACAACAGACAACAGGATACGACGATCATAAAATAAGATATTGGTAATAAATTTAAAAAACGTAGCATGGGTTTACGATTGTGTGTTTATCTTTCATCATGAAATCAGTTTTTATTTTTAAGTCTACAATATGTTAATATCACAAAATATAATATTTAATAAAAACCTAATCATAAGACGATGTGATCGCGAACGGGCGCATGTTCGGATGTTTCATAGTAATGCACGTGTTCGATGAAAAGTTAACGTCCTTATTTGTATGAATATTTAATTTTTTTTTTTACTGTGATTTGTGACTTTTAATAAAAGCTCTAGTAAAATGAGTGACGGTCGATCACGTCTGAGTGGGTGTCAATATAAACAAATCGCGGGAGAAAAAAAAATAAACTAAATAACTTAGTGCGAAAAACCCCAAAAATAGTTTTTTTTTATAAACTTAATATTATTATAAATTAAGTTGACACACACGAGAAACGTTCGCTGATTGTTCAAACTCGGATACTTATACTACAGACATCAATTTTATTCAAAACGTTACCTCCTCAGAAAGTTTTTCAAATGAAATTAATGAAAAAGAGGATGTACCCATAGTCGATTTAATTATCATTGTGATTTATATCATATTTTTAACATTAAGTTTTTCATATGAAATGTATGCATCGTTTTTATAACAGCTGTATAATTTTATTTTACATAATTAAATTGTTTAGTAATAAAGGAAACATCTATTTTTGTATGCTTTAATAATATTTTTTAGACTTGGAAAATATTTATATTATAAGGCGGCAATTTGTTTAGTGCTTACAGCGGCACAATGGTTTAATCCGGCACTACATCTGACCCCCTTGTAGTAGGAAATATATGTAAACGTTAAAACGTGAAAAAATTTCAATTTTTTCTAAGACATGACCGAAATTTATTGTTGGATGTAGGATAAGTGCCATATATTCCTACGGTCACCATCCCTTTAATATTATTTTGATGTTTTTCATAACCTAAATTTGTTTTAAAAAAAAAATATGTGAGGCACCTAAAACACAAGGGGTATAAGTGACATTTTTACAAAATCTGAGTTAAGTGCATAGCTAAACAACAAATTGTCCATTTTATTTGGTGGTAAAAATATACAAGTGAATTCATTCATCATTCTCTGCGATCTGGTAGCAAATCGCCTAACTCCGAAACGAAAACGCCATCTGGATGTAAATTTTGAGCTTGATTTTCTTGAAATCAATAAAATATCACTTATGTTCTAGGCGCCTCATGTGAACAATATTAACCATAATATACCGGAACTTGGGAATATACGGTTTACTATACACGTTAAGTGTTAACATGTAATAAAGGGAGCAAACAAATGTCTTGCTCCTGGACTCTTTAGTCTCTAATTACGCCACTGTCTATCACTATAATATTTTCTATAGGATTTTCACAGAAACATGAATTTTAAATATAAAAGGTATAAAGAACATATCTCGATAGGCAATAAGATTTTGACACAAATTACAATAGATTGAAACGGTTCAAAAACATCTTAAAACGGTACTAGTTACTACCATAATATAATCACGTACATTATGTCAAGTAATTTAGTTTGTTACTTTTTTATTATTTGCAAACTAACAGTATTCTTCAGTAGGTCAGTGGCTAAAGGTTAAGTGGATAATTACAAACGAATAGGGCGAATATTATAGGTAGTATTTTTTTTTTTAAATAACCAATAGCTTTGAGACTTAACTTAAAAATTTTAATCAAAATGTAATACAGCCAAGACAATCTTACATTTTTTTTTTTATAAAAAAGCAAACTTACATATTATGCTCGCTCTATGTTTTTATAACCGCCTCGCACCTGATATCAAAACTAATAATATTAATTACAGTTACCGATTGCGCTACATTCCCATACGAAATGTATTTTGTCCAATTAACAGGAAGAAAATAGTTCTTCATTGATAATGATACGGATGATATGGACAAGCACAATAGCAGAATATGACAGTTTTTTATTTTCATTATTATAAAATTTGAATAACTAAATTTTTTCTCACGTTATACTTAATGACGATTTTCTCAAAGTTTTTACTTTGCTTGTTTAAAAAATTGTGTCGAAATAGTACTTCAGTCTTTAGTTTTTACCTATATACTCCAAGCAAACACCATACTATTGTGTTATAACTTCCAATGTGCGTCATAAGCCTAGCAGATGATTTTAGAGAAAATGCACAAATATTTGTTTTGTGTTTTTTGTGTTCAAACAAGGGCACCCGCAGGGAGAGTCAGGGGGGGCAACTTTTCCCCTAGTTTCTCTGCATGTTAAAAATTATACATCCAATATCGCAAAATCGATTACAAAAATCATAGGCGACCCCCCCCCCCCCCCGAATTTTCGCCTGCAGGCGGCTTTGTGTTCAGATTTTTTACTCTGTTTTCAAAAATGTTATTTTTTTTTTGATAGTTGAACTTGAAAAAAAACTATTGAATTACGACATGGGGTGTTATAATAATATAATAAAAACAAATTCATAGGTATAAATAAGCATTACTTTATACGATAACATTACAGATAATAATTTTTTAAAGATGACTACTTTTACCAGAAATGAAAATTTAAATAAATTCATTAACACCGTATTTTAATTTAAAGTTTATCGCTTAGTAGGTACTAAAATAAACACTAGTGTATTTATTATGAGTTATCAGTTATTACATTCCATACAATGTTATATTATATATTATCATCATGACATTTTTTTAGTTTTTAGGTATTATCTACGGTAATTTAAACATATATTATTTTATACCAATAATTTGTTTTTAATGAGCTTCATAATATTATGTATTTTGTTAAGATAAAACATTACGAGTTACAAGTTACGAGACAATTAATACAAACCAAAAAATAACAACAGATGTATAATGTATACAATATAATATATACGTCCTATAATAGGTGCATATACAATAAACTGCTTATTAAAAAATAAACTACATATTAATAAACTGCAAAATTATGAAACAAAAGGTCTACAAAACAAAAATTATTTATCTGTTCACTAGAATGTAAACGTAGGTCACCTATTATTTTTGGATCAAGGGAGTTTTAATTTCGTTCTAGTCAATAAATATAAAATAGGTGTAAATAAAAATGAACTTTATAGTTTTTGAAATTCGTTTTTTTTATAAACAAAAGATAATTAGAAATAATGAAAATAAGTGAACTATACACTTATGACAAAAAGTGTCCTATGTATTATGCTCAAATAATTGTAATTTTTATTTGTAGAAGGCTTTATGTATTGATACTATTTATTGACATATTAAGACATTATTAAAAAGGTTATATTAACAATTTTTTTGCAATTATTTTACAATGTGACCAATTATATATCAGTAAAAAGTATTCCTGTAGACAGAGAACTCAGTTGTGTTATCATTATCTATTATGTGTATTAAGTTTTCTAGTAACAGCCCACGTGCAAGCCGACAGAACACATAAATCTAAAAATGTTGGGTTACTTATACGTAGCACCTCTAAACGTTAATATCTTTTGAAACAAATTAAAGCCAATAGTTTTTATTATAATGAAAGATTTTCGGTGAAGATCACGTTGAAAAAAATACGAAGTTCTAGTGTAGACATATATTATTATTATGCGGTAAATAATTCTTGTATTATTGGTACGACTTGTATATAAATATCAACCAATAGATGGCAGTACTTGTAACATACAGCTGTGGAAGAAATGCGACCAGTACGTGAAACTTTTGTCCTCCCCCGCCCCCTCCCCCTTTTACTGAGTTGTAACTTATTTTGTGTGTGTGTACCCGCACACGGCTGCAGTTTATTTTCAGTGAGCTGACAGCTCAACAGCTGAGTGTTGGCCGGGCGTCGGCCATCATGTATGACTGCTAACAAGATATTGATTTCTTATTATTCATTTTGCTAAATTTACCAGTCTTTCGGCCACGGTGTGCCAGATTTGATTTTTACAAAGTATATTAATATTTTCTTACAACGAATATTTTTACCAGTCTGTGTTCGCTTGTTTTGAAGTACCTAAACAAATATTTATATTTAGCGTGGAACAAGAATAAAGTGTTGTGTTGATCGACAATGTCTGCTGCTATTCTGATCAAACGATGCGGTAGGTAATTAAAAGTACATGGGTAGAATTCGAAATAGTATAGATATTTACAATCGTATTTCAATATCATACGCAATAATATACCTTAAACGAGTGTATTGCTTTTAGTGTTGACTAACATTTAGATTCAGATTGTCTAGAAGCACTCGCCAACTTCGAACTTTGGAAGTATGAGGATTTCCTTCGTCAGAACCTAAGCAAAGTTTAGACACACATAAGAGTTAATATTGAGTCTAGGATTTTAACAGGTAAATATTTTTAATGTGTTTAAAGCATATGACTTTTTGTTTTGTGTTATCCAATACAATAGGGTTGGCTAGCAGGATAGGATATTTCTACAAATCTCTATCCATCGTCATTTCTTTATTCATTCCACTCACTTCCGTGTCTTTAACGTGTTAAAAGCTTTCGCATGGATGAAGAAATCAATTTATTTAATCTGTCATTCACACTATTCTCTTTTATACAATACTGATTTTCAGGTTATACAATAATGTCGCAACAAACATGGGATAATGACAGAACTAGAGGCAGCCAAACTGACCAGGACCTTGAGAGTCTTCTTATCGATCATATGATCGATTGGAACTTAAGCCTGGAAAGACGACTTGACACACGACGACACGGATTTGAAAACATTCCTTCTCGCTGCCAGATGGAGGGTGCACCTTTGGAGACAACCCAGCCATATCCAGTGGCTTGGGCCATCTATCAGCAGATATGGCTTCAAAGTAGGCAGAGATCAACTCAGACTTTGAGATCGGACTCAACATTTGGTTGTGGACAAATGGTTGGAGAATGCTTTACAACTCCACGGGCTATTACCAGAACTAGCCCTTACCAACGGCCTGCAATGTCACAGCAGAAAAATGAGCGAAGCACATCGTGTAACATTGTAACGAGAACAAACCAGGTCAACGTTGGTGCCAGCACCTCGCGAGGTATAACAAGTAGTGGCAATATTAACCTCAACACGATAAATGAGTCAAATAAGAACACAAAGATATTATCCAAGAGAAAGAGGGATCAGATAAGAATGATGACATTTAATATGGCAAAAAAAGATGTACTAGAGAACAATGACAGTGTTCAATAGTGCAACGAAAAAGAAGACGCAAGAGGTAAACAGCTTTAAGTACCCATACAGATACAAAATAATTTGTTTAAAAAAAAATCGTTAAAAATAAAAATACAATAATTATATATAAAACTCAAATATTAACTTATTGGATGAATGAATAACTAATATGATTTGTTTGTATTATGTTATACCACAGTGAAATCTTGTTTAAATCATTGTGAATCATTAGTTAGTGTGATTATTTATAATACTCATTATTATTTAATTATAACTAAGTAAAAAGTATGTTTCCTATATAGTCAATAATATGATTTATGTATAAAGTGTGTTGAAATGGGCATGAATAAAATTATTATTAAATATTTGTTTTGTTCTTTATCTATTACTATTTGTATTATTTTTTAATATACATAAAATGGTTAATATTATTTGTTTTATAAATATAAGTACCTATATAAATAATAACAGCTAAGTATATAAACAACTGTAATCACATTGTCTTAATTTTGGACAAATTTATCATAAACCGTCACTGTTAAACCTGACAATTTTAAATGGTCGTTTTAACGTTTTACGATAAATATAATAATTCTCACAGTATCAAATAATAAAACAAGATAACTCTGTTAATTTCTTGACAAGTAACCACTAATCTAAAATGTAAGAGTAATATTTTTAAAGAATCTATCAGAAGGGGAAGACATAAAAAATGAACCTAAAAGTGATTGATGATTAGGAAATGTTTAAAAAAATGTTGAATACGTAAAAAAATCATAATAAAAATGGTAGGTACGTCAGCACTAGTACAAGTGATACGTACTAGAATACATACTATGCTGCAGTTTGCCTATCCCGATTTTTCGTTTATCTACCACAATTTTCCCATTAATTAAAAAATGGACTGGATGGTAAAATACTGTATTAAGGTCGGAGGGAACTTAAATATATGGTTATTTGTATATTTTTAAAAAATGCAATATACTATAAGAAATGGTTAAGAAATAGAAGTTATATTAATTAACCATACTAAATAAATAAATATATTATATATATATATATATAATATTTTATATAAAATTAGTATTTTATATAAAATAAGTATTTTTATTTAAAATAAATTTTGTATTTTAATATGAAGATGAAGTTTTCTTGCTATGGCCGATTCAATGTTAGTTGTTCGTATTTTCAACTGCCTCAACGTTTGTTACTGTTTCTGGAAATAACACAACACGACAATATTAAACGTGTTCATAATAAAAGTATATGGAAATGAAACGCACAAGAATATATTAAATAAAGATTAGGACTGTGAGGGGTTGAGGTAACCACTGATTAATGCTAAAATCAATGGGATTAGTTAATGAAAATCTCATATTGAAAAAAACTAAAAAATATTAGGAGTGTTTTTACAACCTGAGTATTTAACCAATTTTATTTAATATAAATAAAAAAAAACAAACAATTCTGGTAAACACTTATAGACCATTTTTATTATTGAGAAAATTACTGTCACTTGAAATCAATATTTTTAACATTTTAAATATTATAGCTAGTGAATCTTAACAATTAACAGAGGGCAAAGCTGGCTATCATTCTAATATAAATTTCAATAAAAAAAAAAAAACAATTTTTTTTTTTTTTTAATTATGACAACATTTTTTGTTATTCTTTATTTTCTTTAAAATGTTTTGATCAAACAGTTTATTTATTATTTTTTTGAATGTTAAATAGTTTTATATAACTTTTTTCAAATTTCTATTGCATTTATATGTTATAGTCCCACTTTAAATCAACCTACAAAATTATTTAAGCTCAAAAACGAAAATAAATAAAAAATTTGGTTATTATAATAATTTGGTTTGAACAATTTATCGGTGGTACTAACTATGCCTAAAGAATATCACAAATGTTTGGAACTAATCTGATTGCTTTTAAAAAAAAGTTCTGATGCACTGTAATTTTAAGTTGAAAATATGTATTATTTTTTAGTGATTTACTTAATTTTGAATGGCTGAATAATTTTTTAGGTCAACAGTGTCTTTCATGTATGATTTTGTACGACATTGTAAAAACATCGTCTTCTCAACTCCATATTGAAGCTAATATAAATCAATTTCAAAATTATTTAAGTGAAAAAAACTTGTATAAGATAATATTTTAATTTATAAATGAAAAACAAATTACTAATGATTTAAGAAAATGTATTTTAAATAAATTTAAAACTAAGATAAATGTTCTTTGTATTAATAATATATAAATAGGTTTTTGTATAAATATTAAATAACAAATAGTTTTATTTACAAATAAAAACTATTTTATAATTAGACAAAAAATAATAATTCTGAAAAATTATTTAAATTTGTCGATTACAATTATGGGTGAAATATAAAATACTAAATTGTATAAAACAGATCTTTCCTATTTTGAAGTTAAAACAAATTGCGTTTTTTTAATTATTTATAGTTAAACGATTGGTCCATTTTATTGTAATTGTTTACTATCTTCAAATCATCAACAAAATATATTCTACAATGCTCTAAGCGCCACATTTTTGTTTGTACATAGAAAAACTTTGAATTTATATTTTATTCGAGTATTACTTACCGTGTTACTGCGGCTACAGATGAAATATTGCGAGGAGCTGCTGTAGCCGATATTCGGGGTTGTGCACCAGAAATTCGGCTGCTGTTTGTGGGTGCTACGGGTGGCGTGAGAGCACGTACCAGTTCGTTGACAAACCGGTCGGCCACTGCCGGGCCAGCAGCCTGGAACGCGGCTGCCAATTCAGTGGTTACTGTTGTCGAGTATCTTTTTTGCAACTGCGAGACAAAAATCAAAATTATCTCCACTACATCAACTAAATGTTCGCGACATATCACTCCATTTGTTCTTTGGTATTTGGGGTGAGAGAACACCACTTACCTCAGCAATGATAGGCAGTATAAATGACAGTGCTGACTGTGGTTGCGGGGGCAACGATGGCGGCTGTGACGATGGATGAAGAGGAGGCGTCCGCTGTGATTGTTTTGCACCGTGCTAAAACAAAAATTACATTTTTTTTAAAAAAGGAATTTATTTGAAACAATGTACACTCGGTTTATAGGTACTTACGACATTGTGGACGGGTTCCTGGTGGTTTGATATGTCATCGCCACCATTTTGCTGCGGCTGCTGCTGGTGCTTCCTACCAATGGAGTTGGTGGGGTTTCCTGAGGGTGAGACAACCGCAGTCGAGTTTATGTTGGTTCCTCCAGAGTTGACAGCTGTTGTCGTAGCGACTGAATTATTGATGGTTGAGGCATTTAGTGCAGTAGGTCGGCCACGTACTGTCATTATCCATGAAGGTTCTTCATCAGCGTTATCATCCCTAAAAAATTAAATGAGCTAATAAATTCATAGTAGTGTGTTTAAATGATGTTTGGACATTTATTTCTTCTCAAATGCAGCACATCTCATGAAAATGTAATTCAAAAAATGTAATCTCCTACAAAAACCTTACAGTGAAAAAATTATCTCTATATAACTCCTAACTTAGTACATTTGATAATGATGTTTTATGTTTCATTCAGAAACTGGCTAAGTGTTAAGCAATACAAATAAAAGAGCAGTGCTGCTCATGAAAGTAGGAGTGAAGTGAGGTTATGAACTAAAGAAATAGCAGACTTGGCCACAATGTGGATACCACTACTTTGATAGGCTGACTTTTTTGGAAGATGGTCTGGAACTTGGCCCTTTTCAATGTTAGGTTTTTGTTGGAGATATCATTCCTTTTTGCTGGCTTCAGCTTTGTGGGTGACGTGTTAATATTTTACGAGACATTGGTGGGAGCATTTTAAACATTGGGAACAGAGAGCCGTGCGTTTGATTTACGCGGCTGCCTTGAAGATTTTGTTTAATACAATTTTTATTAGAAAAGCGGCACTTGCTATTTTTTTTATACTTAGAACGAACGAACGAATTCTCCGACGAAGAATAACACGAGTATAGAGTATATAGACATAATTAAATAATGATATTATTACGATTATTAAAATACTCTGTTTTTGATGACCGATAAATGAAATAAAATACAATAAAATTACGAAAACATTATGTTTGATGAGTATTTACTGTCAATTGCAAACAATTGCTTATTGCCATATTGTAACACTAAAAGAGAATGTTTATTTTGACGGCTTGGGTATCTGTGATTAATTAATAAAAATCTGTGCTAATTTAAACAAGAAATATTTAAGCGGTTACATCATGCATTTAAAACTACACTCCCTAAAACGGCATTCATTTTAAGAAAATTGCAACTCTTCAGATTTTTCTTTTTAGTTACACTATAAGACCTGCCTTTGTGCCAAATTTCACGTTCCTACCTATACGGGAAGTGTTTTATAATTTTGATGATGAGTGAGTGAGTAATGATCACTGGCATTGCTGGAAGTTGGCTTAGCGCACTGCCATGTGCTCAGATATTAATATACATGCCTTGCATAATAACATTTTTTTGTATATAACTGTCACACATACTCTTTTAGTTCTCATCACATCAACTTTAGTTAGTATATAATTATTATTTATGAAGTTCTTTTATACTTACGCGTCTGAGCCGTCAGTGGCAGCACCATCACTTCCGCTGTCGTCATCACTAGAACCTCCCGTGCCTCCCCTAGCCTGTTTTTGCGCCTTCCATTTTTTATATCGGTCTATCAAGTCCACCAAGTATACGCAGCTCTTTTTGGCCTTGCGTACAAATGGGTACCGCAGAAGTTCCCTGGCTGTTGGTCTCTGTACGAATGAGAAAAAAATTATTATACTTACAATATATTAAAAATAAATATAATATATAACTGTGTACTAATAGTGATAAAAATAAATAAAACCACAGATAGTACTTTTTAAATTTTGTTTCAAAACTATATTACATATTTTTTTATGATAATTGGCATAATAGTATGTTAGGTTAAATTTTCCATTTTTAAGAAAAATTTAGGTAACGGGTTTTTAATTTGGTAGTTGTTCATTCAATTTAATTTAATTTTCAATTAAATTTGTTAAAATCTTTTATAAGCACAAATATTTTTAATATATTAAACATTAATATAATAACTTATTTATTGTATTAAAAACAGTTGGAAAAAAAACCCAAATCCAATAAAACCCAGCTGGGTTTATCTGTTTAAGCCTAGCAAATGATTGGTATTTAAAAACCTAATTAGGTTGGGCTATTTAAAAAAAACTCAGGTTATTGTTAACTCTGATTTAAAACTCTTCCAAATAAACATTATGCCAAAATTGAATTAGTAATATCAGCGGTGATAGTCAACCATTTATTTTTTTTCCTTCAAAGTACACATGGGTTTGCGTAGTCATCGATATTACAAGTTATACTTACGTTGTCAGGATCTTTATTCAGGCACGCCTCAACGAACTCCTTGAACGCCTTGCTGTAGTTTCCCGTCAACTGCGGGGGATTGTTTTTTGGAATAAGGAACAGTACTCGCATAGGATGCAGTTCCGAATTGGGTGGTTCGCCTTTGGCCAATTCAATGGCTGTGATGCCCAGCGACCAAATGTCGGCCTATTGTGAAGTAAACAATGTAAAATATATAAAACTGTTAAGTTAAACAGCTGATTGGAAATCAGAGAGAAATAAATTACAATTAAGTGTATTTAGCGTTAGACATTTAAGTGTGCATACCTTAGAATCGTACGCTGATTGCTTAATCACTTCAGGAGCCATCCAAAATGGGGTGCCTACAAATGTGTTGCGTTTGCTGGTAGTCGCTGTCAGTTGGCCAGCAACACCGAAATCAGCCAGTTTGACGTGACCGTGTTCACTAAGCAGTACATTGGCGGCTGTAAAAAAGTAATAATATTACTAAAAGAAAAATGTTCAGTACCAAATAAGCTCTTCTTTTTTTTTGTTAGGCTTAATTTAAATTACGTTAAAGAAAAATATGTTTTAAATAATTATTAGATATGAATAGTAGGTATTAACATATATTTACATATTCATAATATATACATATAGTAGATATTAACATATCGTCGGTGTACAAGAATAGTGACACAAATCAAAAAAGTTGATTTTCCAGTACAGCTGTATAAAGGTTTCTTGTGCTATAAGCATTATGTAATAAGGAAACGACACAACATCTATTTAGCAGTAATTAATAGAATTATCAACAGTTGTTCTTGCACAAAAAAATATTGGTATTTTTGCTATACATTTTCATAATAATCTCAATAATGGCAATCAATATTGGAATTGTGTCACTATTCTTCTGCACCAATGATATATGCTTTTTTAGTTTTGTTTAGAAAAGACTATAAAAATCATATTTTAAGAGGTGTAAACATTTTTTTAAAGATACATTTTAATACTTTATAGATATGTTAAAATGGAAGATATAGAAATGGATCTTACCTTTTATGTCTCGGTGGAGTTTGCGCTCGCCGTGCAAGTAGTCAAGACCCTTGAGCACTTCACGTAGAATCACAGCGATGTGCTGTTCTTCAAAACCACCCCCACCTGCTCCGGCGGCCTTCATCAAATCCAAGGCGCTGCCACCACCCAAATATTCCATGATGATCCACAGTTTAGTGCCCTGTTTGTTAAAATGGTCATTAATTAAAAAAACAAAATAGATACCTCTTGTAATTTTTACAATTTAGGTTAAATTGAAATATTATTTAGATATTAGCATAAGAAAAATATTATATAGGTATTTTTTTGGTCAAATTTCAGGGTTATCTTGTTAACTTTGCATACTAACACATTAGTGTTAGTATATGATGTATGATGGTCAACTTTATATGAACGTTGTATTTAGATCATTCATTTATCATCAAATATTAATATAATATATTTACACTTCAATGAAATACGTCGGTTTTCATCGTCACAATAAAACAAATCGGTCAAAACCGATGACGAAACACGACAGTTTTTATATCTCACGAATCATGATTTCAAACACAATGTGTTTTGTCGTGACAATGAAAACTGACGTATTTCATCATAGTGTATAGGCTGCATAAAAAAAAATGTATATAATTTTACAGTTTAAATACTATTTTGATAACGTAAAGGCCAATTTAGTGTTATTACTTTTATTATTGTAAATTTCAGTTTAAACATAATATATTAAGACGATAATTTTAAAATATCACCAGTTATTAGTAAAGGAAATAAACCACACTACTAGTATAGTGTAAGTTATAATTAATTTATACTACAGCTTCTGATAAAAATAAAAAATGGCTGAAAACAGTACCTATTAGAACAGAAATACATTTGTTAAAACAATTTTAATATTCTGCAAACCTCTAGGTAACAAAAACCCACCAAAAAATCAATGACAACAGATGTCGAGGCTTGAAAAAAAATGAGTCATTGAGATATGACTTCAGGTCTGTGTTGTTGTGCTAGGCTCAATGTTATTCCATTCACTACTGCCTGCTAAAGAGTCTAGTGGCTTTAGCGAAATGAATAACATCAAACGTAACATAGCAACAAAAACCTAATGGACTATGTAAGAAAACTTTCGAAACGTTTGCCAAGCCAACATGTAAATGTAATCAATGTAATCAAAATGTTGTAAATAATAAAAATCTATTTAATTTATTAAAATCATGAACATAGGTATAAAAGATTCAAATGTTACTGGGAAAAATACAAGGTATAAATGCACTTTACCAGGCACCTTTTTTTTTTGCTAACTTGTAGTGTTTTTTTACGCTGATTTCAAATCTGAAATCAGAAATCCGCAGACTCTTCTAGTTTAAAAGTTACAGTTGCTCAATTTTCCAAAGTGAGTGGCCATGGGGAAGTGCGCGCGCTTGTGCCACGGCACAGTACAGTTGCAGCAGCGCAGCGACAATTATCGTGTTTTGTTTTAACATAACAAATAATTTGACTTAACTTTAAACCTGTTACCTCCTCCTAAACTGTAACCTGAAACCTAGTATATTTTTAGTTTAGCGGAGCAAAGCGACGGCGCCAAGCAAGCAAGTACTCGGTATAGACAACATTTGTTTACTACTGTATTGTGCTGTGGCACAAGCGCGGCATCAAATGGTGCCGTCCGCCACGGCATATCTCTGCGCCACTCACTGCAGCGCCTTGTTCAACTGTAACTTTTAAACTAGAATAGTCCGCGGATTATTCAAAATCAGCGTAAAAAACACTATAAATTGGCAAAACAAATTGCAAAGGAAAGGGTGTCCGCTAAAATGCATTTGTTCCAAAAACAATATTTATTTTAAAAGCATTATTGGAAAGGCAAAGAGCATTTGTTAGCTACTATGTTACATAACTATAGACAATACTGACTTTAAGATAGGATCCATAGTATTTGGTAACATAAGGACTGTCACACTGGGACAACACCATAATCTCTTGTTGAATGTCCTCGATCTCGTCTTCGGCCTCTTCCAGATCAATAGTTTTGATGGCCACTACGCGTTGGCTACGATTGTCAATGCCCTTGAACACCTCGCCGAAAGACCCCTTACCGATACGCTCCTGTTTGGTGAATATCAGCTCAGGGTCGACCTTCTATATGGGGACCAAAAAAAAAAAATGTATAAGCTAAGTCGGTCCATAACGAATGACTAATCAAATCGACAGTAGGTGAAAAAATTATAGTCACGTTTTTCACACACTGTGGACGTGAGTTTACCTCGTTGAACGATGCTGACGCCATTTAGACGGGCTTTTAGGTGCCAGCAAACACAGAAGAGACTTGTACTGTTTACCAGAAGCGACGACGGTTTATCCTCCTGCAACGCGGTGCTGTGTCGGCCGCTTCATTTTCGTTGTGAAAAAGTGTTGAAAACGCTGAAAGCCTGAGAGGCAACAAACGTTTCTTGCCCGGAGAAAATATAAAACAAACAAACCCGAAACCCGTCGATAATAATAATAATAATAATATGACCTCCGCAAAATCTGTATCAGTGGGTTCGGTCTACGGTGTCAGTATACTGTAGCTGCAGCAGCTATAGTGTGTGTATGTACGTATGTATATATAACCATATAATAATTATATTTGTTGATGATAATAATCAAAAATCCAGTTGAATTGTCGTCGTCGTCGTTGCCATCGTAGTACGGGTCGTGGTAGTAGTGATAGCGATTAGCGATTAGCGCATATAGCGGTGACAGCGGCGGTATTCGGTACTTCTCCGGGTGGAGGTAAATAATTATTCAGCCAACGCGCTATCATCACCTCCTACCGACCAACCGCGTCTAGCCTTGTTGTGCATTGTACCTCCATCGTTCATCGCCTAAATATCACCTCCAGCGATCGAGGCTAGTGACGTGCGACCGTGATAACGCTCGACCGCGGCTGCAGGTGGCTTGTGATAAAATTCCCCGTTTATCACACGCTCTGTGCTCAAAACATTATTGTTACCATTATAATTTATGTTCTCGTCTCTCCCGCATTTATTCGTTAGTTATTCGTACGCTTATCAATGGTAAGAAGCATTTTAGTGTATTGACGGAAAAAAAGACATGTCACACCACGGCGGAGGCGGCAAAAGCGGTTTTGTGAGTATCTAATGTGATCGAGGATTTGTCCGTGCCATGGTTCGAGGAACTCCTTCGAAAAAATTCACGTATTCTACATACTATAATATAATGATAATTTTCAACTTTGTGTTATCCCCGCATAGCTCGATACGCTTTTTGGCCGTCCCAAAAAGCATCAGCACCAACAGCCTAACGTTGGTGGCTCCGATGCTTACATGGGCTCATCGCCAATGGTGTCCAACCGCGACACAGCACCTTCACAGCAGGGGGTTATGTCAGGACAACGGTCCGCACTGACGGAGCAACACCACTATCATCGGGATCACGATGACCAAGCAGACCATCCAGATGACGGAAGCGATGATGGCGATTCCGATGATTTAAATGACAAATTTGAGGAGATGCTGGTGAGTCATAATAAATATTTAATACCGTTTAAAATCCCAATGTGTGGAACATGGCAAATTGAATACTCTTTGTTGAATGAAATAAAACTGTCTTACAATCGCACAGTTTTTATTATTGCTAAAGTCTTTATATTAAGTATGACATACTTGTGTAAAATATCATTTAACTTAACATAATAGATTAGACTTTCTGTTAACTGTATTTGCCCAAAAAAAAACAAAAATTTTAATAATTTTAACTACTTAAAGGAAAATGCGTACAAAAAAATGTATGTACAATGCATCTGACATAGAATAATAATAATCTATTGTAATATGGTTGTTACAATATTAATCAAATTATGGCTTAACTTAAATTTCAGATTTAGTGTTTTGCTTAAAAAGTATTTTCATTTAACTAATTAATCTATTGACCGGTTAAAATGTTTAGTAATATTGTAATACAAATTAACAGTCATTTTGCATAAAATTATTTTAAATAGCCAAACTTTGCTTCACAGTTAACTAGTGGCTGTTAGCTTTTCTTTCTATTATCCCTTATATTTATTTTTAGATTAAATATTACAAAATTTGTGTGCAGTATATTATTGATATAATATTATAATGTATTTGTTTTTATTATTTCCAGTATAAACATTTTCATTGTTTATCTTTTTTAATTTCTTCTATTTGTTTATAAATACCTTACCTATATACTAGGTATTTTAGTATTTATGAGTTGCCTCTGTTTTACGTATAAAAATTTGTGAATTTGTTTATCAATATGTTATGTACATACTTTATTTAATTTTTAATTTAACCTATTTATTAAAATGCCACATTTGCGGCCAAACTTTTTCCCTTGTAGTTTGTAAGTTGTATAACCTGTTCAGTTCATATTGACCCCTAGCAACTGTTACGTTCTCAAATGACTAGGGGTTAGTAAAACCACCAGCACAGAAATGTAGCCAACCTTTTTATTTTAATGTCATTTTTCATTTTTTTAAATAAAAAAAAGAATAAAAATGTAAACAAGATTACTGATACGATAAACTACTAAATTACATTTTTTTCGGTACAAGATTTATGTCATAGTATCTAAACTTATGCACAAATTTTGGTGTATCGGTATGGTAACACTGATATCAAAAACTGTGTTTTTGAACCTCTGACTTGTTATGAGGGTTCAAAATGAACTGATCAGGTTATTTGTTTGGGGAAAATTAATTTTGGTTGTTGGTATGTTTTCTTAAATGCCAATTTTTCTACAAAAATTAAAAGTAACATTATTTTTGTAAATTTTCTTCTTCTACTAGTACTATTACTGGTTTTCTCTACTATTCTCTAGTTAGCCTTAAGAAAAATTGTCTACATCCCACAGAAACTACTCAATCTATTAATTTCATATTTAGAATTTAGTTTAAGATCATTTTACTTTTCTTCACCTATAAAAATGAAATTGTATGAAAATAATAATAATAATAATAAAAAAAAAAATTATCTTAACATAATGTCATATAAAAAAAATTTTAAATAGACTTGAACTTAACAATTATTCAGGTTAGCAGGTACTAAAGTATTAAAACTAGATAAAAGTTAGAAACTAGTAGACCTCATTTTAAATTTTAAAAAAATATTTTCTTTTTTTCAACACAATATTTTTAATTATTAAATTTTAGATTATTCATTATTCATAATTCATTATATTAAAAAATTACTTCCTCGTCACAAAAAATGTTTATTAGAAAATTATTTTTAGATTTTATACTTGGCCGTAAACCATTACGTATTTCATGCTTTGTAAACTTAATTAGATACATATTTAACATGAAAAAAATGGGGGAGCTACAGAGCTATTTGGGTAGTTAAGTCTCACTAAATGTGATTTATACCCGGGGTCACAAATTAGTATTTTTAGAGAGCCACTTTAGGATTCAGAAAGTTTTTGAGGCGATCAAATTCTAATGTACGTATTTCACCAAAGAAAATAAAGGAACATATAAAATATACAGACCACATTAAATTTGGTCTCTATCTAGGGACCTCTGCTTTTTACCATTAAATTAATATGTTTGTTTAAATGGTTAACCTCTTTTTACTTAAATAAACATAAAAAAAGGCATTTTATTCTAAGTTATTCTTACAAAAAATTTTTGATCGATAAAGTTTCAAATAGAACAACGTATAAAATAATATCTTTTTTAATTTGTTTTTTTGTTTAAATATGTCAATAGAGTTTTACTCATTTAGACGAATATATTAATTTTATCATCGTGTAGCTTATCAGGCCTTGGTGAACCAACGCTGCCATCATGAGATGGTTTCTTGAAGTATTCGCTATCCAGGTTGGTATCAGTTCGTCTCCGGTGAGCTGAATCCTTTTTTACCATAGGATTTCTCATGCAGCAAACAGTAAACTGATTGAGTGCCAAACCGATAAATAACGATACATATTATTATTTTAATGTAATAAATAATATTTTATTTGGGGGTGGGGAAGACAGGGTACTGACAATTTCCATGGCTTTTTCGTGTTTCGTTTTTTTCATGGAAATAGTATGATGATTTCTGCTAATTGAACATTGAAACACTTCTACTATGAATTTCTGTATACACGCTCTTGAACATTTAAAAATTCGTTAAATTATTCAAGAACTCTTATAAAACAAGGCTTTTAGAGTAGGTACATAAATTTCCTAGCATCGCTCTAGTTGCAACTATGTCCTTTTGCATACGATTGTTTTCATTTATAAAAACCAATAATAATAATACACTGTAACATATGAATATTGCCCGCAATTAACAAACGGTAGGTACATAATGATCATGTTAAAACATTGAATGGTGGTGGTTGTGGAGACCTGTAATAGTAAATATGATGATATAATTAATATGATTCAATGTTTTTCCGCGAAACCGAGAAAATAAACATTTGTTTTTTAATTTTTTTTTTGAAATTATGAAAAAAACTTGTGTGTTATTAACGGTATAGTACTATTTACAAAATAATGTGTTGTAAATTGACACAGATAAAAAACTTGTAACTTTGGCCTTTTTTACTAGGCGTCGATACGTAATGTGTAATAATATTAGTAATATTATTTTTTTTTTAACTTCGACAGTCTACGTCGCGAATTCCATTCGACCCGTTGCAATAATTTAGCATTATCGTTTATTATCTTCTAAAAACATTTAAAAAAATAAAACGTCATTCTGTTTCGTTGCCGCCCGCGATGATCCTGAAAGACGGCCAAACAACAAGTGGCCGTACTTATTTATTTATTTTGCTAAAAAAAAAAAACGGCAACTACGATGACGCATGTATATTGTACATCCTATACATTGTACAAAATATATATATATATTATTTACAATGTACAAGTACCTAGTATATTATATTTAGTAACGAAGAATATAAAAAAAAATTGCGCACCTACGCATCGAAACATGTCATTCTGCAACTACTTGAACTACTTTTTATTTTTTTTCCAACAAAATCATGTTATTTTCGTAAACTATTTTTAAGTATCATTCGGTTATTACCGCTCGCGTGCAACAACGTTTTACATAAGTAGGTACTATGTTAATGAATAATGTGCGATTTACACCAGCGCTTATTACAGAGTGATTGTAATTCCTGGACTATGAACCAGCCTATAAAAATTAAATTCATGAATTCTACCTTGTGTAAACACTCAAATTCCCTTCTCAAACTGAATGTGTTTAATATTCAATAATCAGTTGTATATGTCCTAATCGACAATGCGTATGTGTATATATACCACATTGTTTTTAGCATAGCATCATTTGTAAAACGTTGGGCTATTTTTCTTTAAACGAGACATTACACTAAAAACACTGTCAAATAATTGGCACATAAGTTCCTCGGAAACAAATAACATACACTAGAAATTAATTCAACAGAAATTAACCTATATCCATAACCATAACTTGGCTGATAAGTTTGACTGATAACAGCGAAAATAGTCTTAACGTCTACAATTTTTTAGCTAGAGAACAAACATTTTAACACTTATCGAGTTCAACAATTCACGTAAACTGTGTAAATTCAGACGTCTAGCTTCAATAGATTGGTAAAAAAATGACATAAAATTACCCTCTAAAGTGGAAAAAAAAATTACCTATCGCCCAATCACTAACAAACTTCAGTTCATCTAGACAACTGATCTAGGTAACATTTTATGAAAAATTTCAACTGCAAGGAAAAAGGAATTGTACAAACGAAGAAACACATGAATGAATATAGTATCTGTCCCTAAGATACAACATTAATTAATAATTATAATTATTATTTAAAAAATTATATTGATATAATAATAATACAATTTTAATCAATATATCTTAGGGACAAAAACCTTAGCTATTTATTACTAATTTTGTTTCCCTTCAACGCGAAGTTTATAACTATATTGTACCTATATTTTTAATGAATTGATTTCAAAAATCTGCACTGTATTAAAAATATTATTTTATCAAGGAAAAACTTTCAAAACTTAATTTTGAATAGGATATTGGCTATGACTCTTGTCAAAAAACAATTATTTTTTACAATATTTTTTTTAATCAACAACTACTGGTTAGCACCCAAGTGTTAAATAATAATTATTACTTAATCGGGGCATGACAGGTACGCTGTATACTTCGTTCTTATTGTTTTGGGTGATTTTTAATGTTTTTTTATAAAATATTATAATGATAGCAATCCGTAAAAATATTATAATAAATTCCATTTAGTTTTGTTACGTTTCTATCCAAAACGAAGTCAAAACGTAGCCTTAATCCTTCTTGTAATTTAATTTCTGAAACTATAACTATTTATTTTATAAATTGACGCCAAAAAAGACAAAGAGTGCAGGTAATACAAGTGATACAAAGAGCAATAATACAGTAACAAATAATTAATAATGTTTATAATTTAGATTTTTAAAAGAGAGCTCTTTGTCGTGGTTAATGAATGCATTAACTTTATAACACATTTCATTACATTCCATTAACATTCGGCATTGTAATAATTTTGTTTCAATAAAACCAAACGGTATAGTATTATGAAATTATCGTGGTCGAATGGAAATTAGTATGAGATATGTAATAGTTCAAATCTACATAAATAGAACATATTTCTGTCTTTTAAAGCAGTAAAAATAATATCTGTAATGGAGTGTAACCATCGATTATAATGCCTATAAATTATAATTTAATTTATTTTTGACTATAATAAAAATTCTTTTGAGGTCAGCAATTTTTTATGTGTTACCAAACAAAGATATATATTAAACTATTTAATTGTAACATATTAAAACTTGTTAAATTTGATGTGATCACCGAAAGAACACCGTATATTTGGTTAATAGGACGATATGAACCTGACCGAGGAGAAAAAAGAACCTCTCCGGCGACAGAGTACGGCCAACAAACACAAGATGCTGTCAATGCACTTAGGCGGCGGCAGTGGAAGCATCGGCGGTGGTGCGGCCGGCACCTTGGCGCAATCCGGCGTGAGTACCAAAAAACATTTTTACCTTTTATTGATAATATTAATTAGAATATTAATTCGATTAATATTAGTTCGTTAGTATTGCGTCAATAAGAGCAACCGACCCTTGGCCTGCCTGTTCAGCTAAAATATAAAGTTACAGTTTTTAGTACATGAAGTACAAGCAGTGTCATCAAACGTTCGCCCGTTGCTGATTTATTGTTGCCACTGGGTTAATAATTAGCCAATACTGGCAGCTCCATACAAAATACCGTTATCATTCCAGGCGTATGCCAATAAAGTACTGCTGTTTGTAGCACGTCCGCATTCTAGACAATGCGGACGCAGTATTTCGCCTGTTGTAAAATCCTAAATGACTAGAAATCATTACCGGTTACAAAGCATTCAAAAACCATACAGTTTTTGGGATTGAAACATTTTTCAATCCTTTAATTGGTTAAAACAGAACTTTATCAAATATGTTAACCAGCTGCTTAACTTTAAACCGTCAGAATGTCTAACCCTTGTTTAAAAACTGTTTAAATTGGTAACCCTGATTCATTATTCCAACCCAAAATTGGTATGAGACATAAGTTGACACCTGTTTTCGGTATACGAAAATAGCATTTACGAAAGTGATATAGTTTGTTGTATGACTTTTAAAGTTTGAGTCGGTGTCAATTTGTTACGAATAATGCAATGTATTTTCCGCCCAAAACTAGGACGGCAAGAAGAACAAATTGTTGGACAAACCCGCCGAGTACATACAATACTTAGGACAGCCTGATCTGTCGGCCAACAAGACATACACGTGTGTGGTGTCGCTGCGGATAGCCCTCACCAATCACCCACTAAGTTGGGTCAATGAGTTCACGGCGGCCGACGGACTCGGCCGTCTTCTCACAGTCCTCAATGAGTGTTATCGCAAGTAATTATAGTTATTGCATTTATTATTGACCTAACACGATGAAAAATGTTTGTTAAAAAATACAAAATTAAAAGAAATCCAGAAAAATAATCTCAACCCGTGATGGAGACATTTTAAAAATGCATTAAATACTCTTTGTTTTGATGATTTTATATTTAAATTATAAACACAGTCCATCAAGTGTGAACCCTGTAACTAATAACAAACACATACTTGTATAAAACAACTAGATAAATTATATTATCACATTTTATAGTCATGTAATGCATTGAAATTTTACGTTATGTTCAGTTTTTAGTTAAATTCATAATTGTGCTGCCATATTGTATAACCTTGTTATCTACTCTACTAACAAGATACGGATCTTTTGTCCGCCAACAATGCCTTAGACAAATATTATATAATTATTTATAACTGCGTCCGGTGCGTATGAAGCGGACGATTACAAATGATAACACGCCAGTTAGCTATTAGTTGTTTTAAATATGTGTATTAAAAAAACACTTAAACAAATGATTCAGTAATTTTGAAAAGCATTTGAATAGTTTTTAACGCTGTGGATGGGTATAATGTATCTACCGGGTGGTACATTTAAGGCATGCTAAAAATTCTTGTTTTACGTCTAAAGAATCATCGTTCATATTAATGCAAAATAGTTTCCTAAGTGACATTTGGGCAAAGCTTAACCTCCAAAACTCCCTTGATCTCTCACAAAATGTGAAGAAGATAACTTGTATTTAAATTCATTATCTCATAATATTATAACGTAACTAAAATGAAGTACATTTATTATTTTATTATTATACAAACGTTTTGTATATTATTTAACGTGGAATTTAAAAAAAAACCTGGAAAATTCAAGCGAAATTTAGAATCTAAGTTACAGGACATTAAGTTTTAAATTTAAATTGTTAAAAAGCTTATAGCTTTATGCAAATTCGTTTTATGAAAAATTTCCTTTGTAAAATTTAGAAACATTATTTATCTTTATTTTGTTATAGTGTATTTATACCCAAAGACTATCCAGTTCTTTAGTGAGCTAAACTAAGGGATATATATTTCCTGAGACATGTTTTACACGAACAATAAAGTGATAGGGACTCTCTTAATTTGATACCAGGTTTAAAATTTAGATTATATATTAACACTTCTCGCACAATATCTCATTAAAATTACAATATTAGGTAAGTTTGACTGTAGGTAATACTGTTATAATAAGGTACTCTCTCTACGTTCCTGCAGTTAGCCATTTTATAAGGTAATTCTGTTAATGGTAATGAAACGTTTTGGTAGTCAATCTCATACTTGTAGTTGTCCAAATATGAGTGATTAAAATGTATTTGGCATTTGTATATGTGTGTTATAGCGATCGAGGCAAGAGCTCTGGACAGCAGCAGCAGTACGCGCGCATCCAATATGAGTGCATCCGGTGTTTGAAAGCCATCATGAACAACACGGTAGGCCTGCGACAAATGTTCAGTCACCGCGAGGCGCTAGCCGTGGTGGCTCGGTCCCTGGACGCTCGAAAGCCGGCCGTCATGGCCGAAGCGTGCAAAGTGCTGGCCGCCGTCAGTCTGGTACCGCCCGACGGCCATGAGCGCGCGTTGGAAGCGCTTACCATTAGCCACGAGATATCTTCGTCGACCCGGAGCACCGCCAAAGACGGTGGAGATGCTACGGTTGGCCATTACGACTCGGCCGATTCCAACTCATCTTGCTTTTATTGCGCGAACGGCGGCAACCGGTTCCGGCCAGTGGTTCAGGGTCTTATGCGCCGTCCCGGAGTCGAAACGCTGAGGGTGGGTAACATAGTTCACTATTTTTTTCTGTCTGATGATGTACTCTAATAATAACTAATAATGAGATAATTTGCTTGCACTTAGGTCGCCTGCTTACAGTTCATCAATGCCGTCGTCAGCACCCCGGACGACCTCCATCACCGAACAGCGCTTCGCAATGAAATCTTGGGAGCGGCAGGCATGTGCGCTGCGCTCGATGTAAGAATAGGCGTAAATAGCCGCCGATCAACTCGATTCCTTTTAAACTACTCTTTATATACTGTGATACGCTTGATGTCTAAGAGTATCCTTATTCGTTTAATTTGTTAGGAGTTGGACAAAGAGACAAAAAGTGAGGATTTAGAAAGACAGCTGGGCATATTCAACACCCACCGAGACGACGATCATGAAGCAATGGCTCAAAGGTTCGATGGAGCTCGGGCCGACTACGATGACCCCGCCGACTGTTTCGAAGTGCTGCGAAACGCCGTATCCGGTACCTCCGCCGAACATCACTTGCTGGGTATCGTCCAACATTTGTTATTCATTCGTGACGATCCTGTCGTTAGGTATGTCTCAATGAGTACCCTCACTACTATTGGTTATTAACGGGCCGCCAGATTTCATTATGCCCAAGTCATACTGTACTTATACTATTTTATTAGAATATTGGTGTTTGATTTGTAGACCTGCTTATTATCGGCTCATCGAAGAGTGTGTATCACAAATCGTGATGCACCGCAACGATCCTGACTTTCGGCGGTTCCAGATGGACGTGCAGCCACTCATAGACACGCTAGTGGAGAGAACGCCTAGACCGGACGAGGAACGGCGGGTGGAAGAACTCCGGGCCAAGTTAGAAGAAGCGGTGGCCACTCGACAGGAGGCTGAAGCGCGGCTGGAGACCGTACTAGCCGAACTTAAAAATCAACAAGACGTGAGTTAATTTAATTTATGTTTTTTTTATTGGCTAAGTTTATGGTTGCACTTTTAATGGTGACTTTACAAACTGGACTTCATTGGCTCGCGGGGCTTTTTGTATTCATAGCAGGAGCAAAACGGCGGAAGATCGCCTTCTGTAGTAGCCGCGCAGAGGATGTTGGCTTCAGCGCCAGGGGCACCCGGAGGAGGACCTCCGCCTCCACCTCCTCCCCCACCACCACCACCGTTTCCTGGTGCCGGACCTCCTCCTCCACCACCCATGCCCGGTTCTGGTCCGCCACCCCCTCCACCCATGCCCGGATGTGGACCACCTCCTCCGCCGCCAATGCCAGGGGCTGGTCCTCCGCCACCGCCGCCACCACCCGGTGGAGGTCCGCCGCCACCGCCAGGAGGCATGCCTAGTGGCTTGTCGCAACTACCACCGGGGCTGAAACCAAAACGTCGTTGGAACGTAGACGGTCCTATAAAGCGTGCCAACTGGAAAACGGTAAGTTTTCACATTCCTTAACCAAATGCGTATCTAAGGAAAGAATTGTGTGAGGTCGTAACCTCTGGTTAATTTTGAGCTTTATAGGATCATCCAATGATAAGTGAACTTTAGCTATTGTCGGGAACTTGAAAAATAAGCGGCGAGAAACATATTACGTACTATAGGAAACTTGAGAACTCCTGATCTGTGGAGCATACTATGTGTCTCACAGCTCATTTTTCGTGCTCCCGACTAGGTGTCAGCCTTTGTACACTAGGCGATTAAACATTGCAATATTTGTCCTATAGATAGGTTAAAGTGTTTTAGTCTTTTCATAATTTTTTACTCTGTGGCTGGTACGCAGGTAACACCACAAACCATTTCAGCTGAATCGTTTTGGACCAGCGTCAGCGAAGATAAGCTGGCCACCACTGAACTACTTCAGGGGCTTCGCCAGAGGTTCTCTTCAAAGCCCGTGTCTGGTCCAGTGTCTGCTACTGGATCGCGTACTACGACCGGCGAGGACCCCTCTGACAGGTATAAGTTTAATTATAGTTTAAGCCAGTAATATGCTTAATTTTAGTAATGGTAGATCTTGGTATGGCTTTTAATTTAGCGTACGACGAAAATACATTTTTTTTTTTTTTGTCTACAGAGCAAACAAGCAGGCGCGCACGCCTCGTGTTTTAGACAATCGAGCCGCCCAAAACCTATCAATTCTGCTGGGCTCTTTGAAACACCTTAGCTACAAGGATGTTAAGCGAGCCGTACTACGGTGTGATACCGGGGTGCTCACTTCTAACGTGTTAGATCAGCTTGTGGCTTACCTACCGCCACCGGATCAACTAAAAAAGTTGCGAGATTTGCTCAATAACTCAAATGGCGCCTCTGGGCCTCAGTGTACATACTCCGACTTGGTCGAAGCAGAACAGTTCTGCGTGACGGTAAGATACCACAATTCGGTTTGGAATGCTTACTAGTCCTATATTATATACTCTTGAAGACTCCGACGATTTTCGTTACTTACACCACGCTTTATATTAATACACCGTTTCTTTTTTTTCCTGCAGATTGGCGAGGTTCACCGGTTAGGGGCTCGTCTCCGATCGTTACAATACAGACATCAGCACAGGGAGTTCGTGGATGACGTTAAACCGGCCGTGGTAGCGGTAGCAGCGGCGTGTGAAGAACTCCAATCATCCACCAAATCCGGTCGCTTTGGACACCTGCTCGAGTTAATCCTGTTGTTGGGCAACTACATGAACGCCGGCACTCGATTACAACAGGCACATGCCTTCGATATGTCGTTCTTGCCAAAGGTGAGTACACCGTACTTTAAAATTATACATTTATTACTTACGCGGTACCTCGTTATGATAATATACAATCAAAGTTCCTAATAAAGTATTAATACATATGCTAATTTATAGAAAATCTGGTCATTGACGCTTTAGTAGTTATAATTATAGAAACTGTGTATTATGAAAATTTATTAACTCACGATTAGTTATCGAACTTACACACACACATTGAAGTATTAAAATATATAAACCTGTTAAGGCATTTGCTGAGAACATCTAGGTGGTTTATATAATAGGTACATACAAGTTCAAAAATCATCCTAATCAGATTCTGATACAGTAACTGTTAAGTTTATTATGAACTAAACCACGATGATTATAACAATATTGATATTTGATGTATAATTCAATCGGCAAAAAATCTAATTATAAATATTTTTGTAATTTTTATTTAAATTTATTATTATTATTAGGTGTTAATTTGATTACCATCTGATGTCATCGCGTTTAAATTTTTTTCCGCCGGGAACTATAACGGTGAGATTTAGAAAAATGTCCAGTTTTTTTCGTTTCCTGCATGATCTCATTTGTATTGTTTGGCACATTTTGAACCGAATTTCTAGAAAACAATTGGAGATCTTAAGTCTCTAATTTGCTCTTAAATGTGATTTTATGATAATGTATACTATAGCTACATAGTATTTCTCAGTCATAACTTAAGTGTTTATTAATCTTATAATATAATTGTTACATCATTTTAATATTTTTCTGTTTACTGCGCTGATATCTGTGAGCTCCGATGACGCATTTTTTTGTTTCAATTACTCCTTTTATTTTCACAATATCGTAGTATTATGTGATGTTATTAAATTTATCCGATAGGTTTTGCCATTAGTTTGTGTTTAAACATCTTCATATTATTATTAAGGTTACCTTTTATGCTTTCTTTATTTTAACTTTTAGTTAAATTCTTGAGTTTACGTGACAGAACTTCTTAAGTGTTTATTATTATTTAATATTTCATTGTATTATTTTATCACAAAATAACCTTCTTACAATTTAAGGTATCCGCTTTTGGAAAAGGTCAACTTAAATAATTGCATGAACTAGTTGACAAAAAAACCCACCCCCAATAAAACCATTGGGTTGATATACGATATAACAAAAAAAAAACTGTGTTAGGTTTTTTAGGACTACTGCAGTAGGTTGTAGTCTTTACGCTTTTCATGTTTAATCATTACCCTTTTTGCTATCGTTTTTTTTTCACCCGTTTGCTCTTATTGCTATAAACCGGATTTATTTATTTTCCATTCTTAAGCTTTGTGCATTTTTTTTTTTTTAACCTGGTCGTTTTTTTATACTCTGCTATATGTATAGCTCACGGCCATTAAAGACGTCGAGAACCGAGCCACGCTGATGCATTATATCGCCGACGTGGTTGAACGCGAACACCCCGAGTGGGCTGCTTTTGGCGACGAACTAACGCACTGCGACCGGGCTGCTCGAGCCCTCAGTACCGATGTCGTGGCGGCCCGGCTGCGCATGATGGACGCCGGACTGCGGCACTTGGACGCTGACCTGAGAGCCGCCAAGGCGGCGGGCACACCGAAACCCTCCGAGGACGCCGACTCAGAAGATCTGTTCGTGCAAGTGATGACCGTAAGTATGACATTTCAATTGCTTTTGTAGTTGACAACCCAAAGCAAACGATAAAATTACGTAATCACGGAACAAGTGGTCTGGACCTGTAATTTCATGATGTCATTTCGAAAATAACTCCAACGTTTCTCTATTATATTATGTTAATATTATACAGTACATCAATTAGTCGTTAAAGTTATCATCGTGTCTTACAGCCGTTCGCTAAAGACGCCAAAGGCGAAGCGGACACCTTGAAACAAATGTCGGCACGAGCTCAAGCAGCGTACGCGTCTCTGGCATCTTACTTGGCGTTTGATCCCGTCGCTTATCCCCCCGACGAACTGTTCGCCGACGTGCGCACCTTCAAGGACTCGTTCTACGTGAGTGGCAGTTGCATAACTGTAAATGTCCCTACCATGGGCTTGATTGGCTTTTGTTTATTAGGAAGCAATGCGGGACAACCAGAAACGGAGGGAGGCGGAACAGCGGGCTCGACGGGCCAGGGACGCCCGGGAAGCGGCCGACCGGGAACGCCGGGACCGGGCAGCGGCGCGGCGGGCCGTCATGGGTGGTAATGCCGGCGGCGCAGGAGGTACTACGGGCACTGGTTCTCCACTTGTCGACATGGACAAACCGCAAGAAGGTGTAATGGACAGCCTGTTCGAGGCGCTGCAATCGGGTTCGGCTTTCGCTGGTGTCGGAGCTGAGCAAAGGCGACGCCGACCGGTGGCCGCTAGCGGCAAATCTTCAGGTAAAACTGCTCACCTGTTGCTTACTATTGGATATTCTACTGTACAACAAGAATTTTGCTAGAACCCTAAAACAATTACTGAGTAGGATTTTTTCTCGTTCAATTCAAAACATTGATATAAGGGATACGACTTAAACCGTTTTTGTAGTTTTTGGAACTTAAAAAAAAAACGAAAGAATGTATTATTTGTATAGCTTCTTCAGTTTTTTCTCTACAACTTATCGCCCCGTGTTTCTAAAGTAACGACAATGCTTTTTGTTACATAAATTTTGTCAACTGACAGAGTTTCATATAAAACAAAAGTTTGAGTACCTGATATGAATGCGTTAGAGTACCTATTCATCTTAACAAAAATTCACAATAGACTATAATAAACCAGTTAACGTATTAAAAAAAGCATTCCTTTATTAATTTTTTGTAAAATAACAATGTACCTAATAATATATTATTCTTATATTAACTAATTACGTTTAATTACATTCTTGGAGGGAGCGTGATGTATATAGTATAATGGCGTAAAAATATCACGTTTTAGTAATAACTCGATGCGGATACGAAGTCAAACTAGTATGCATTTATACAGTAAAAATGCGAGATTGGCATTCGCAGACATAGAAAAAATACATATGTATGTTTTATATTTAAAAATATCAAGTTTCTATTATTCATTCGGTTTTATCGTGAACATTTTATGATTTTATTTTATTTTGTGTTTTTTACCTTATTGCGGATTTTATAATATTTTATTATATTCGTCGGTCAATTGGTAATAATTTAAATAATAATTGCTACTCTGGAATGTTACGCTGGTAATAATTATTGTATCGTGTAAAATAACACGGTAGATATATTAATTACTACTGCAGTGCTTTTATACTTGGTTTTATTTCATAATAATCACGTCGATGATGAATGGTTCCTAAAAAGCGATCGACTCAATGAATTCGCCGAACTACTGTGTAATAATACCTATTATACGAACATTTATTGTTTGTCAATTCGAGAAACTTTATATTATAATGTAGAGAACCAACATCATTATGAGTTGGATTACTAATTAATTTTTTTTATTGATTTAAACACAATTTTCACTTGCCATTACTTCGAGCATTGATATAGCATTCAATGCACTTTATTCAATATTATGCCTGTCTAAATTATTATAATATGAATAATTATTGCTGTCGATAAGTGTAGACAATCAAAATACTACTCGTATAATATTGCCATTATAAATATACATTATAAAAACTGCAATTCCGATGGACACAACTGTAATAATTGTTGTTATCCTCGAAATCGTTATCTTACATGGAACTTTGGAATTTTTAAAAAAATAAAACGAATACTTCATTACACTTTTTACTCAACATTTTAAATTCTAATAGGTTTGGTTAGGAGTGTTCGCGTACGCTAATTTAATAGAGCGTGTCAGGGTTTATTGACTTTGAGCGATACCCTTAAACTTCTAAGACTAAGATTTTTTCATAAAGCAAGTCTTATGGTTTTGTTCTTACCCGAAAGGTACATTATAAATCCAAAAATGCAAATAGTTTACTCCTTCAAAATCGAGTTAACCACCTTTTAAATACATATTTATATTTTCATTTACATTTATATGTGTTACATCATTTTTTTATTTACTATGTACTGCAGATTCATCATATTTCAGCTGCGACACGCTATAACTTTTTTTAAAAATGATCAAACACTTCCAAATTTGCGTGAGGTATTATTTACATTATACAATAACATCGATAACCAATAAAAAATTTTTTAACTCATTCTCCTAGTCGGGGTAAAAATGTTTCCTTTATTGTTTTCAAAATTCTATTGTCAGACTTTTTAATTGGAATAATTTCAATTTGTTGTTTTATTCCAGTTTTTGTCATAAGATAATCATTATATTATTATTGTGATTATGAACTTTTGTTTATTTTACAGGAGGAGCTAGGACCAGAGCACCTGGGGCGAGCAGATATGCTGCTGTTTACGACAGTAGCAGGGATTTACCTCCTACAGCAATCAAATGACATAGCAACAATGAATTTTACTACCACCGCCTTTGTACACAGACGGTTGTGCTCAAACGGCCATGTTTGACAGGGTGCGATTCCGTCTTACTACCGACAGTGCCTATTTTTACTTATTTATTATTATAAATATATTTATATATAAACATTTACAATTGCCAATTTAACAACATAATTATATGCATACATGTATGATCAATATTGGTGAAGCCGTACATTTTTTTTTATATGTATATGTATATATGTGTGTGCTTTTTGTATGTATATATTGTATATACACAAGAGCCACAATATTGAGCCCACTAATCCATATTTACTTTAAAACGATTACTATAATTCAATGAATATTGAGTCATTAAATTTAGTTTGATAGAGTCAAATTTAAAAAGTGTTTTGTTAAATTACTTATAAACTGCATTTTCGATTTTTATACACTGAACGTGGATCGTCAGTATGACTACTGAAAGAACTTATTTAAATTTTACACAACCAGTCATTTAAAAAAAAACTAATTATTTTAAACAATGGGAGCATTTGCTTATGAATTACACAATTTCCATTAACCATTAATGTTTTTTACCTAGGAGTTACATATTAATGGAAATGGATAAAAAAAAAGCGTAAAACCCTGTTTACGATATACGAGTATCATATGTGATTTATAATTATATTTTTTTTTCTAAATATTTAATTTTCTAATTTTCTGTAATAAACATTTTTACCAAACTTGTGACACAGCAATATTATATATAAAAGACAAACTACTACACAGAAAACTTACAGAGTTACATTAGATTTACCAGTATGTACGTGCATAATTAAGTTATACAATACAAATTTCATAGAGTTTAAAACATGTCTATAAAGATTACATTAGGTACTATCAAATAGAAACTTTGCTCACCTCTAAATAAAATGTTTACTTCATTCGTCAAGACACGAAACATTCACTAAAACAAAGAGTTTTTTTAGTGTTTATTTAATTGTAATACCTAAGTTTTCAAGAAATGTTTTAGAACAATTTTTTATTGTTGTTTTTGTACTTCTAAAAACATAAAATAGACACAACCTTTGTATTTTATTAAACCAACCAAGTTCTGACGTCTTAATTTTTTTATTTTAAACCCCATAAAAATGTTGAACACTGGAAACTATGCAGTTATGTATCATAAGCGGTTAGCAAATTTATTTTGTAAATGTCTAAAGTCGAAAAAAGTATGATTATATTTTCATCAATAAAAACAGTATTTTAAAAGTTAACCTTTGTCACTTAATAATGTCTTAAAATTGGGTTAGACCAAATGAAATATACTCATCACATTTAATGTATGTGTATATTAGTACAAACAATAACCTGAAGTTTTAAGTTCTTAAAAAATATCTGTAGTCCGCGAATTTGTTTTAAATAAAATGACAATGAGATTTACCAAAATAATAATAGAATCGCAATTAATACCTACTATGTATTTATAATTGAATAATATAATAATAATAACAATTGCAAATATTTACTGATACTTATTGTCTAAAAATTAACATTCATGTGCATTTTCAAGATATAGCCTTCCCATTCTACGTGTATGACAAGCCTACAACAACAAAATGTAGGATTAAAAAAGTGGTGTCGTTGTTGGCGAATAAAGCCGTTATTTTTAAACTTTTTTAAAGAGCTTAAGAGAGTCAGCTCTCGTTGAAAACTATTTTAATGAAAATGAGAAAAACAAACGAGGCAACCCCGAAATAAACCTAAAGAAACTTCAGTTTTCCACTTAACATTTACATGTGAAAAAGTCTTGGCCATTTTAAGATAATTTAACCATCATTTGGTAAGGAGGATTTTGGAGAGGAAGACGAATTTTTTTTATCACTTGGATGACTTCCAGATATACCCGTGTCAATTGTTGCTAGCCGACGTTTTGCTGCTTCCATATTCAGTGCAAAGATGGTCACTACTGTCCCGCTGCCGTGGCTGTACTGAATCTGTTTCAATTGTTTCTAGTTGTGTAAATTGTGAAATAAACGTAATGAAATACAAGCTGAACGGGTTTAATGTCAACTTTATGAGGCCTATAAGATTTTCGAAGTCGTTTAAATTTTTTAACATCTGATGATATTGTAATATGTTATCCGCTGTATGGTTAATATGGACAATCGGCACGTTGTTTAAAACGTCGTCCCAATCGTTGCCGCCCGCCAGACCTGTTAGGCGATTGACTAGTTCTTCTTTAACCTCCCCTTCCAGAACGTCTAGGGTTTTTTTCGAAATTTTCTTACAAGTCCCCAGGAACGCGAACAGAGACAATGTGAACTTGTGGCTCGCGTCCAAGGCTTTGGCTATTGTTTTGAAATTGTCGAGGAGATTCAAGCATTTATAGCTACGGGAACCGCCGTTCGGTAACGTCTGACACGTTTTGAAATGATGCCAGATGAGGTAAACAAATTTTGTGTACAACAAGTCCGCGAAAATAATATGATATTCCATGTACTGGAACGGATCGCGAACCCACGAGTATGTAATGTACGCTTTGCTTATTCGGTTTTCGGCCACGGCAAAACGGTCGATCGTCTCGTTCCACCTGTTACGGTCGCCGGGCAAATTTTCAAAGAGAACCTGGCCAAATTGATCGAACAAATCGGACAAGGCGATTTTCTGTGGATCAAAATGGTCAGCGAATTGGTAAACGGGGGCGTTGTCATCGTTGCAGTAGAGCTCGTATAGGAGGGAATAGGTTTTTTGGTTTCTCGATTCTGACAACGGTAAGCTGTTGTCGTGTTCCGTTTGCAAGTAACCGGACTTCCGGCATTTGTCGATGAATTTCGACAAGCCGCTGGACAGTTGTCGATCACCGTATAGTTTGTACAAAATATCATTTTTCTCCGTTTCTTCGTAACTCGTCTTGGTCACGGCAAACAGCCGAACGTACACGGCCAATAGCCATGGGTATGTCAACGTTTTTGCCATATACATGACCGACAGCATTCTGGCCAAGCATTTAACGTACTGCCGGAGTACGACTTGTTTATAGCTGGCGACGTTTCTGTAGTGTTTCAACGACTTGCCCAAGTGATCTAAAATGTACCTGACAAACACGGCGTTTGTGCATTCGACCGTCCTGATTTTCTTTTCGTATTTTTTGAATGCTACCATTCTACGTGCCCGGCATTTTTTTAAGTTTGTTGTGCAGCCCGAAGATAAAGATTTTACATCGTTGGCGTCGAATACCACTAGGTCTGAAGATTTGTATTTGTTTAGAAATTTTAATAGCTCCTCGTCGATAACCCGATGATCACTATACTGAACAGACAAATCCCATTCGCATTTCTGAAATATAAGGCCAAAATGTAATTAAATTAATGCTTAATGCCCCTCTAACCAGAAAAATTCCAGCTTCCGATTTCAACCCCTTAATTAAATCCACCTTGTTTTGACAATGAACCAACGCACGGCAGGGACTTCCTGACAATTTTACAAATCTGCAAACCCTCTTATTATACCATTCCCATGGTTTCACAAACTTAATATTTCAAAAAAATTATTAATTTCCTACTCACGTCTGAATAGGCCTTAATATCCTTCCTTGTCATTCCTATTATCTTTCCATAAATAGCTCTCCTTTATGTACTATACTAATCCTATTAAATGTGATGCCTCACATCTTCTCTTTTAATGTTCAGCTCTTCGTAACGAACAATTTATTTTCCCTCTATTCCTTTATTTCCTTCCGTAATGTCCCTTTATCGTTTCCTGTTATCCTTCAATCTTAAGACGTTATTATCCAGGAAAATGTTTTTTGGTGTATTGTTCTTAAAATTGTATTTGTTGTACAGTTAATTTAGTTGTGTAATGTAAAAGTTTGTTAAAATAATTCTTGAGATTGATGTTTCTTTGGAATAAATCTTTTTAAAAAAGATTATATACAGCTAATTGTATATAGCTATAAAAAATAAATTTTAACCAGTCACAGGCCCAGGACTATAATACAACTTTTAAAATAGTTTCTACAATCATTTAAACCTAAATAAAAATAATTTGAAATAGATATTATGTTCTCTATGTATTGTAGTACGTACTTTACCTGACTTAAAGGAATACACAAATAATATAAAAGATGTCCAAAAGAGTTCATTTTGTCTCGTAGGTAAGCGAAACAAACTTGCGTGTTGACTGAGTCTTAACTTGACACTACTAACTTTCTATTTTGTATTCAATGTTAACTTATAAAGACAAAAATGTAGTATGTTTATTACAGTAACTATTATATGCATGTTTTTCCGGCTGTTATTGTAGTATTCGTTTGCGTCACTGAGAATAAAACTTGATTATTTAGCTGCTTGCACTTATAATTCGAAACACTTAAGTAAATCAAATTCACTCACAGTACCAAGTGTTAACTATTTATGTTAAATAACGCACAACGAAAAGATTTGAATACTTTTATTTGAACAAATTAATAATTACACGAACATAGAACAGGTCAACCCCAACTGTCTCCGTTGCAGGCCACCAACCAACTAACTAACTCTAACCTATTATACACAATCATTAGATATACATGATATGAGATAACACAAGCTACCATTCCACCAAGGTTTGTTCAAGTTACTATTTGATCTACATTTAAGACAGCGACCTGACCTACCGTAGTTGTTTTTTAAAACATATAATTTGTCCAACATAGCATTTGTAACAATATTAAAAATCTTATTAAATAATATAATGCAACTAACATTCTTATTTTTCATTATATTATTCTAGAGTTTTAAGTACGGATTTTTAAAGATTTTAAGTTTCTCTGTTGAATTCTGAGTTATTATCAGAATTCTTATATAATTTTGTCGCAGAAAGAAAATAAAACTTATTTTATTACAAGAAACCATAGATAATATTATATTATATTATAAGTACAAATATTGAAAAAAAAATATAATCAAAATTGTATTAGTATATAAAATTAATTGAATTCTTTGAAACTCAAATGTAGAACAAAATTGAATATATATACTGTATAATTTCTTAATTGCTACACATTTTGACTATACTTGATTTTAAACTAGTTTTAACTTTAAAACTTTTATGAACAAATGAAAAAACTAATCGATTAAATTGAAAATATTTATAGATACTTCAGACACATGTTATCAAGACCCACAACGTTTTCTTTAACGATGGACGTGTATTGAATTCCTTACGTTATACCTATAACAGAAATAGTAGTGTAACGGGTGACTGTAAAAAGAGTAGATACAGGTTAAGTATATCGGATACCAATAGTTATAAGTAAAAAATTGATGGCCTGTGTTTTGTTAATTATACTGTACTGCACTCTCTTACCGTGTACATTTGTCTTCAACTTATTATAGTCTGTCCTACACTTGTCGTACACGTCTATCAGCATCTTGAGTTGATCGCACGTTCCACTTGTGTAGTCCAAGTCTTTTTTTAGCCATTTGAGCCGATCTTCGAGCGAGTATAATGTACACTCCAAATACTTGTCGTTCGTCCTCACCCCACATAGCAATCGTCTATGTAGGCGACACACGAATTTCATCAGATTGTTTACAGCCAGCTTGATGACCGTTAAAGGCAACGTGTCTAGACAAGGTTGGTTGCCTATCGGTATAATTCTGCAATATTTGCGATCGAACTAGAAATAGTAACGCAACGAAGGTTTGTACATTTAAGACAATCTCTGTCTATAGGGATTGAGTAGATTTAGATATTTCAGTATAAATGTAGATTTCTTTGTACCTTTTTACGTTTAATCTGAACTGCTCTCGATTTTAGAACCGGGTCAGTCGTTTTTGAAATATCCGATCGTGTTTTACCGTTGTCTTTTAATGCTTTTGATGTCTTCAAATATTTGAATTTCTCCTTCGATATGTCCTGGTATGGTCGTGCTAGCATATGTTCCCTTATTATGTCACCGCTCGTCTGTTGGCTTTTGTCCGATGTTGACACCTTCATTGATTCGACGGTTTTCAATAGTTGTTCACTGTCTCTTGTCGTTTCTAACGGGTCTTTGATCTTAGCCGTTTCCAATTCTCCGAGTTGAATTTTTAACGTATCACCACTCATCTGTTGGCTCTTGTCCAACATGAACAGCTTCTCCTGCTGATCCAACCATTTATTTTCCTTCGAGACACTTATCGATATGTTAGTCTGCGCTTCCTCTTCACGAGTCTCTGTTCTAACAGAGACCGGAAGCAGTGACGCCTGTTGTGGTTCAGCTTCATGCAACTCATCCGGTTCGACTTGCTGATTTTTATCGAACTTGGGCGACGGTTCCTCTGGTCGTATTTCATCCGGTATGGTTTGTGGTTGTATCTCTGTCAATTGCGGTGGACGTAGCTCTTCCGGTCTAGGTTCTGGCTGTGGCATTTCATCCGGTATGGTTTGCGGTTGTATCTCTGTCAATTGCGGTGGTCGTGGCTCTTCTGGTCTAGGTTCTGATAGTCTTATCTGTAATGACTTGGATGGTGGCTCAACTTGTCCAACATCTTTCGTTCTAGGTGGTGGTTTTGCTTGCCAGCCAGGGGCCGTCGATTTTTTCCGGACTCGCACTATAATGGGCTCACGGTCATCCCACAGCGATTCATTGCTCGACAATGGCGCACCCCGTATCTTGCGATAATGGCCTATCTCTTTCATGTTTTGTTCGCTGTAGGTGCTCTCAAAAGATGTATCCGACCGCCGTCTCGAGAACCGTTTAATCTTGTAGAGCTTGTACTTGCCATTTTGATTTTGGGTTTTGTCATCATTGCCCATGTACTGTTTTCGCCGTGACCGTAGAATAGTGTTGTAAAACAAATAAATTTTGATTTTTAAAAATGTGTAACAGCGCACTATTATTATTGGCCAGCCCGTGAAATCTAAAACTAAATATATAGTTCGTCTTTTTTTTTTTAATTTACTCTGTAAACACTATGTCTACAATAAATTTGTATTTCTATTATTAGTATTATCAGATATACAAAGTACTGATTAATATCTTGACAACCTTTATAAAAGGCAAAGGTAAATAACTTAAATATTAGTATCAAATATATATATATATATATATATATATATATATATAATAGTTTCAAATAATTTTTACTAATCGTACATTTTTTTTAGAAAATAATGTATCAAAGTACACCGTTTTTACGGTCTTCCTGTCGATAAATTTATGAGTACCATATTTTCAGTTATTTATTATATAACTTGAAAATTTAATTATTAAAAAAAAAACTGTTTTTACACAAAAAGCTAGTTGTTTGAGGTAAATGAGATGTGTGTCTATATCGACAATACCTTTATACTTATAAGCTCCACTTTTAACACAAGGCAAACAGCCTTAAAGCTACTTATTGGTTATACTTAATCAATAGTTTTCACTAAACACACAAGATAGACTATTAATTTTATTAGTTAAAAATCAATTACACTCTAGGTCTATGATGACTCTGTAAACTAAACAGAGTTTTTATAAAAGTTGTTTAAGGAATTGAACACACTTTTAAATTTGTTTAATAAAACACAAAAAAAGGAAATTGAAATCGCATTAGGCATTTGTTACTAGGACTACCTATATGTTATGGAATAAACACATTATCGAGTATCGTATCTTAAATTTATAAAATAATGTGTGCACCGCAAGTTTATACCACCACGTTAACTTTGAGTCATATCATAAGTTGTTAAAAAATAAAAAAGGTGCCGCTTCTAAATCAATATTTAATTTATTGAAACTGAAAAGAATAATTGTAATTATAAATTTCAAGCTAATTTGTATAATGATATTTATTGAAATACATTTTATGTCAATACTAGTACATTATCAGATTGAAAATATTTAATTAACGGTAATTTTTAAAATTTCCACGCGAATAAAATGTCAAGTTAGTTTTGGCATTTGTTAACATTTTTACGAACCAAACGTCAATGGGTTTCAATATCTCCTGTATGTGTACGGTGAACTTGTTTAGCTCCTCGACGTTATTTGCGATCAAGGTTAGATTATTTTCTGAATCCGCCGATGCGCCAACGTATAATAAACGTTCGTTGATATTAGCTACATTACCGAGCTTTAGACGTTCCGCTATTACTAAAAATGTTTGTCTCGCTTTCATTTCCCAATCACCGAGTTCTTTCTCATTGGGTTCGTCCATTAAACCGCGCAGCACCGTCCAGTAAATGCCGTCTTGCAATCCAAAAACGGTCATGGCTTCTCTAAGAGGATCCGCCAGACTGTACCAGCTAGAGTACAGAGTTTGATAGAGTTTGAATTCGCTTTTGCCGGTACACGACGCTTTAAGACTGGTCAATATAGTAAGGTTCGTCTTCACGTGCAACCACACATAGTACAACGTTTGCACGTGGAGATATGCCGAGAACAGTTTGTGGTATGTTAGATTGTCGAATAGGTCTAGTTCCCATTTGTGAATGCTGTACATATGTTTGTTAACAACGGCTCTGTTGTATAGATTCAACGAGAAATCTACCCATTTCAAATCGATTCCATGCGTTTTTCCATAAACGATTTTTTTACCTTCATACAAGTGATACATCATCAGGTTCTTTGTGGTGAACTGTTCATCCAGGCTGAAAACTTGCTTCAACTCGTTGTTGCCGTACAGAGTTTTCACTACCAAACCGACATCGGTTGTATTATTCCCGCTAGGTAAGTATCCTTCATCTCTACATGCATCAATGAAAACCTCCAGATCTTGCTTGACGTTTACAGTAAACGCGTTTAACCGGTCCTTGTACATCTCGTCCATTGCTTCTGAATTCACAAACCCGTCCAGGAAGATAAAGGCACCGATTAGCCACGGATAAGCAACCCATTTGGCTTTGTGTGTCAAAGACAACATACGAGACATGTAGACCAGATAATCTTTGGTTTTTTCATTGAACGCTTCCCTCATGGCGCCGTTGTTCGTCAATTCGTCCAAACCGTCCACGACGCTCATCACATACAATCCGTTGAGACACTGAATGCCTTGGATTTTCCTGTTGTACCTTTTAACTTTTTTTTTTTTGGTCATCAGACATTTATCGTCTGTCTTACAATCTACCATCAAGAACTGTACGTCAGATTCATCGAACACATCGTGGACCGTGTCAAACGTTTTCACATGATTCATTAACGACACCAATTCCTTGTCGTACACCATTTCCATTGTAAGTTCCGCTTTCCATAGATAGCTGTTTCTCTGTGAAAAGAGACGCCAAGATTCATTATTCAATAGGAAATTAACACTCTATTCATGTTAACCCTACAATTTTAGAGTAATTACTATTGAAAACTCTTAATTGTATATACATAATTATGATTTATATCGTTTCCCTCGTAGAACAAGTTACCGAGTTATTTTTTTATAGTTTTCGTTTCAATATTAAAATATTTATATGTCGAATTGATGTGAAGTGTTATAATAAAACTGATGACTAATCGAACATCAATTTTGAAATAAAGTTCTAAAGTTATTCGCGTTTAAATATAGACTAGTAGTAAAGTTTGCTTGAAAATTTAATACACATTTTATTATATCAGATACCTAAGCAAACAATTAATTAGATTTCACAACTCTAACTTATTTTACAATCAGAAGTTACTAAGATCAGATCACATGTTTTAAAAATAAATATATTGTTGTTATTACCGATTCCTGTATACTCGCATCATTAATTGTTGGCACCTAGAAACAACATTTACACTTTATTATTAATTATTTAATTTCCAATAAACTATTATCAATAAAAAGACCAAGCTTAATAGACTGAATAATATTCTATACAATAATCATGGGTTTTATTTTAATAATTCGATTAAAAATATTTTAGGCTGTTGATATGATGTACCTCTTTTATAATATAAAACATATAATATAAATATTTATTTATTTATTGTAATAAAAATTAATTAATTATATTAAATTATTTTAGATAATTTAATATATATATGTCAATTTGAACACGGTGGAAATACTAATAGCCATTAATCAATAATGTGCATTACAGTATACACATTACATAATATTGGTGGTAATAAATTTGGCTTCAAATTTTGAATATTTCATGTGATTATTTACTATGATATAGTTAATTTTTTTAATTTATTTAAACTGAACGATATTTTATAACTGAAAACTGATTGAACAGTATTTTTAATAATTTTGTTGTGTAATTACACTGCATAATACGACTTTGGAACAAGAACCTAATATTTATTTATACTTTTTTGGTGATTCTGAATCTAGAGTCTGAATTTCTCTATCATCACCAAATTTCTAAAAAAGTCTGTTTTTGGTATATTTATCATGTTCTGTACATTTGAATCATTTTTAAAATTTTATTTTTAAAAAAACGTATTTATAATTCAAAACTAGTGTATCTACCACTTAGATTTTTTTTTATTATTGAAAAATTCAGATTTTAGTTTTGTATGTTGCTTTTAAATTTTGGACGTGATTTAAAAACAAATGTACGTGCAACAGTAATACCGAAAACAAATTACAATTTAACAAAAAATAGTTGAATTTTGGTTCTTATTTCAAAAATGGTCAAATTTTGTTATACAATCTTGTTAAATTACTGTTATAAGTTGCAATTTATAAATTTAAAATTACATAAATTGTATTAATAAATATACAATAAATTAAATACTTAACTGGAAGAGAATTCAAAACATATTTAAAACATATTTGATTAAATATGTTTTATATAATGAATTTATACATAATTATTACATTATGATATATTTTATGTTTACACGTTAGTCACTCATATGGTTTATATGACTTAATTTTGTTATTCAATTTTATATTGTAATTTTTAAATTAAGTAATACATAAAAAGGAGATTGAAATACAACTTTTTTTACTTAAAAAAATTATAGTTGCTATGTATAAAAGACTATATTTTTAGTATTTTTTATTATTTTTTTGTTATTACAACTAATGAATAAAAATCATTATAAAACGTAATCGTATTACAAACTCGTTTTATTTTTTCCTTACTATCCTTACTTCAGTTTACACAGTACACAATAATTATTTTGAGATCATTACTTTTGTAATATTGATTTCAATACCTTTTTTCCTTTGTTCTTCTGAAAAATAATGTAACATATTAAATTTTTGATTAATAAATGACCTTATTGTTAAAACAATAACTAGTTGTCATTTTTTAATTTTGTTCTATTAAAATACAAATACATTTTAATACCATTAGAATGGAGTACCTAACTTAATATTCGAGAGGACAAACACGGATCAAAGTAAACGTTTTTCAATAGATTTTGGGTCCGTATCCAAAATTTGAATAGTGCATACAATTCAACTTGGTGCGTTCAAAATTCTTTAAGGGCAAGTGTCATCTAACATTTTTTAAATATTTTCTATTTTTGAAAATTTTCAGAGCTGAATAAACGTTTGAAACTTAAATAGTATAATATAATTTTTATTTAGTTTTTTATCGAAGAACAATTTACTAAGCATTTAGACTAATCGACCCGTTTTTGATTAATTATTTTTAGTTATTAGCGCTTAAGCAATTAACATAAAAAATAATAATCGTTCTAAACTGGTTATTGAACAGCAAAAAACTTCGGTAAACGATCTATTTGTAAATATAATGTTATCTACTATTTAAGTTTCGAAAATTAAGACAACTATTGAAAATACTAAACACTTTTAAAATTAATACTGACAAACAATATTATCCAATAATGTTTGCACAGTGAAAAACTAAAATATTGCAATTATTTTCTGAGAGTCATTGTCTCACATTAAATTGATAATTCTTTATAGTGTTATCTTTATTAATAATAATTACTAGGTATTTACAGATTCGGATCGAAAAGTTTTTTTTTTGTATTCTTTGATCATATTTAGTTTGTATTTTTTTTTATAAATAATAAAAAATAATATTATGTTTACCTTAAATATTTTTAGACATGACCAATCTTTGCAGGGTGACACGCTCAGGGGTCCATACATTACAAATAAAAAAAGAATATTCCAATTCATTTAAACGTGTAAAAATGCAAAATTTTATTAAAATCAAAACTATAGTTATGCACTTGATCAGTTTTCAATAAAATTTAAACTATATTTAATTAACATGTAGATACTAGATACAAATGTTTTTTTGATTACAGTATTCACATGAAAATAGATAAATTTATTTACAAAGATTTACTTGATTTTAAAAGAAAATCAAATTGATAAAAAATGTATTAAAGTGTTTTTACAATATATTTGATGTTATTGTAATATGTTTTTCTAGAAACTCATACATTTGTATATCATTTAGAACCTAGAAATTGAAAAATATGTAGTAATACGTTTAGAAACACATTTGTATAACAATTGCTGTGTAGCACACTTGCTGGTTATCCTATAAAAAAAATAGTTTCTAAACAAATACCAAATTCATAGTCGGGGCAAAAATCACTGTTTGTTTAATGAATATGAATACAAGCAAGTTAAGAAGAACGTTTTTTTTTTTTGTTTTTGTTAATAAGTAAGTAGGAGTTCAAACTCTAAAGTAGGTAAATATGTATGTTGAACACCTACTACTAGGTCAGGTAAATTTTTTCTTTGTTTGCCTTTTGTTTCAAATGACGCTTCTCATCTGGATGTTGTGTATGTTTAAGCGTTACAGTCAATCCCATTAACCTCTGTTTTTCTTTGCGGCTTTTATAGGAAATAGGCGTTTTTCAATCAATTATATTACTGTATTATCGACTGTATCATCTTTCTTTTTTGTATTGTTTGTATTGTCTTTTATTTAAGAACAAATCTTGTAAATTTGACGTCAAATAAAACAAGATGAAGAAAATAATATATTTTCTAAAAAAAAAATGTTATCACTGAAGTGACATCCGCAGCAGTAAAAGAAATAGGCCACTCTGTTAAAAAAAAAAATAAATAAATAAAACGTTGTATACCATCAAACCAAAATAAACCCACTGCCCTAGTTTTTTGTGTACTTCGAGCCTGAAGGAAATAATGATGAAATTTTCAGTATTACATTCCTGTTACAAACAAAAGTCAAAATTGAAGAGCTCCATATAAGCAACATATTTAAAGTAGATACTTTTATATACTGCCGATGTTAGTTTTCTACAAATGAATCTGAAAATCAGCGAATAATCAATAAATAATATTTTGTATGATTATGACAGCATAAAAAAAAGTCTCAAATTTATAACTAATCCGTTCAACCAGATTATATTTTTTTTTTGATAATTATATAGTTATGTTATCGTATTTTATTGTTATACTTTGGACCAATAATTTTTTGCTTATAAAATATTTTTAAAAAATGTTTAGTGTCTATATACCGCTGTACAACAAATTACAATTGATTTTCCCTACTACAGAACGTCAACATATATCTATCTCGAATGCGTGCACTGCAGTTTACTCAAGTAAGGATGATATCATCGCTTATGGTAAATATTATAATTCTAATATCACAGGTGGTGTTTCATTTGATAGTACTAAGGTATCTATCGCCAACGACAAATAGTATCTGTAGAATACGCAAAGCTAACACATTTAACAAATACTTGCATTAGAAAAGTTCACGTATTGTAGTGTTCTGCTGTTTTATATATTGTAAAATTTCAATGCGAGATGAACACAAATGTATCGCGTATCGGCTTAGCAATAACCTTTTTATTTTGTGCTATAAAACAAACAACGGTAAATACATAATAGTACAAAATTGTTAACGTTTGGTTAAGTATAAATAGCATTATGTTTTTTTTTATAACTAAATAAGTTAATCCTCGTACAAATAAAAATTATTAAAATATCTAATTTGTACAAAAGGGAAAAAAGTCAAAGAAAATGTTAAATATTATGATTAATGAATTGAATAGCACGTTTTTTAAGCCAAAATTATAAACAACCAATTTTTTTTTTAATTCCATTGAATTTAGACAGGTACAATTATTGAAACTTAAATTGACTTTTTTTTAAAATTTGATTTCATACTGTAGTTTTTTTGTATAAATTGATTTAGTTTCATCCTATTTAGACTATTATATGTTGTGCTTGTATCACTGCCAATAACTTTAACTAATACACATATAGAAAATCCTTCCAAGTTAGTTAAAGTTGACAATTTTACTAGGTTAAGAGTTATTACCGCATAATTCTTTTCATTCTGGTAATATCTATGTATATTTAATTAACTTTGTAATTAAGAATAATTTCCTACTTAAATACATGTCTTAAAGTCTTAAACAATGTCGTCATTTTAGAATAAATAGTATCTTGCGCTTCAAACTGAATTTTAATCCACTAAAAACTTCATTACAAATCGTTATTTAAACCAAAGCGATTGTATTCATAGTATTTCTAATGCTTTTCCAGAAACTCTAAGAATTATTACAGTAATAAATATCCAGTTATCGCTTGACATAAAGAGACCTTTAAATGTGTATACATTCACATTTGTTGGGTTTTTTTAATATAACATAATATATATTATTTTGTGTAAATACATTTATGCATAATACACAATGGAAGAAGCCAAAAATAAAGCGGGACTGGAAAGGAGAAATCCCCCTAAGCTAAGTGTTCATCAAGTAGGTACAATAATTTTTGTTACACCCCCGAGTCTTTTTTTTTTTGCCAATATTCTTTCAAAAAGTGTTGGGCATTTGTCCCGACTACCGATGATAACAAATTAACAAATATAAAAGTATTAAAGCTTTCGTGGATTAAAAAATATAGCGTGGATGAGCAATAGAGCCATAAAGGAGCAATAGAAATAAAATTTAATGCAGCAATAGAACTCGAAAAATTCCCTGCAATGACGCGGCAGTACACGTATGACATTCACTGGTCGAGATAGCACGGTGGTTCTATAACTCGGTTCGCATAATCAGCGTTAGGAAACAATCATGGTTGAAATATACAGGTTATTGTACATCGTTTCGAATTGCTATAAATTTTACTATTACTGAATATTATATCCCAACAAAAACACTTCGTTAACTCAGTGTAAATGGTAGCTAAGTAAAAAAAAAAAGTGTTTCAACATAAGCCTTAAAATACGTGATATAATATAGGAACTAAGTAAATACCATAATGTAATATATTTATTATACATTGATGTCAACAAATAATATCACTCGACATATCAAACCAGTCATGAAAAAATCAAAATTTAGTTTATTTGGCCGGAAGTTGTAAGTCTGTTTTCCTACTTCCTACCTAGTAAATATAGCACGTTATAATAGGGACATAGTAGGATAACTATAGCAGGAAAAAAATTGAACTTCCAGCCAAGTAAATTAAATTTCGATTTTTTCATGACTGGTTTGATATGTCGAGTGTTTTTATTTGTTAACATCGATGTATAATAAATATATTACATTATGGTATTTACTTAGTTCCTATATTATATCACGTATTTTAAAGCTTATGTTGAAACACTTTTTTTTTTTTTTACTTGGCTACCATTTACACTGAGTTAACGAAGTGTTTTTGTTGGGGTATCAGTAGTTTTTTTTTTATATTATTATATAAAAATATAGTATTAATAATATAGTATTAACCGTCAGTATTACCATTAGCAAATTAAACACAAAGACAATACACCACAAGGTAGCACAATACACAACAATCGCATGACAGTGTAACTGTAGGCATAACAATGGTGGGGACTTCCCCGATCCGACCCCTCACCGTCATAAACAACGTCTGGCACCGCGCGGTCATTATAATAATTTTTTGACTAAAACAAGTATCTCGAAACCTCAGAAATGTTGAACTATTTTGCTTGTCACTAAGAAAGTATTCAACCAATCAATATGTTAATTTGCTCGATCCAATCTACACAACTCTTCCAATCTACTGATATCTCATATGTTCATTTCTGTCCAGCCATTTGCCCTCAAAATCATTCCAAAATGTATGCGATAAATTTACACACTACTTTCCACCCTTCCTCTTGTCCTAAATTTAAAACTTTAACAAGTTTAAAACTATATATTCAAAACTGATTATCGACCAGTCAAAAATTTCAGAAAATCATTCTTAACTTAAAAATTTAATAAAATACGTACGTTACCCAAAGTTGATAAAGCTCCAGAAAATAATAAAAAGATAAAAATGTAATATAGCTTATACAGTATTGCAGTATAAGTAATATAGCCTAAACATTCATTTTTTCAAAAAAAAAAAACCTAAAAATGTCCATTATTTTAAGAGAAAACTGAGAATAACCTGTAATGTGTATGTACAGTAACCTTGTATATTTTAATCGTGGAAACAATTGAGCCAGTCAGTGTCGTGACGACATCGGAACGGTGTCTATCGCTCCGAAGATGGACTCTGTAATGAGTCCAAAACGTCAGCATAAAACTAAAGACATGAATAGATACAGTTGAAAATTATCCACATAAAATATAAAATTATGTAAGAGTGTACAAATGCGGGAAGAAGCTCGCCAGCTTCTCGCTCATTGCTCGTTTAATGTTATCAGACCATTTTGGCTTATTCTCGTGCTATTTTTATGAAAATTCAAAATGTAAACTGCCTAGATTTACCTATACCATTTGCAATTTATTTTTTGAATTTAAGGAGTTTGACTTGGATAGCGCCCACCGGGGATGGAACTACGGCAGCGGTATAATTTTTGAAGACGTGAAAGTAATGGCCATTAAGGCGTTTCGAACGATGGAAACGATACCGTTGGACATCGATGACGACGACTTGACTCTTTTGACCGGAGACAAAGGCCAGGACGGACCAAGAGCCAAGGCCCGCGCTAAATTCCACGGTAAAATACAAGCGCTGGAATGCGTCAACGGGCTGTTGACCAAAGTAATTTTGGACGACTTAAAAATAATAGCCAAGATTAAAGGCGGAGGTCGGCGAAGAGAAGTGATCGAAAAGTATGTGCACTACATGGGCCGCACGCTGTCGGTGTTTTATTATGTTGAAATTCCCGTGTACGGATGGCAGATAGCCGTGTATGTAACGCTGAGGGCTACTCTGGACGGGAAAGTTCAAATGGGCAACGTCAGTCTGTTGGACGACTCGAACGTGGCCGATGAGGTCAAGGGGTTCGTGGACAAATGCCGCGAGCATCGGTACTTGCAAGCGTTAGACGGCCAATACGGCGAGGCTGACATTTACAAGTCTGCCAGACGACTGATGGTCGAGTACGCAGGACAAGTAGAAACGGGCGACTGTTACAAGCATCTAAGGTTGTTCACCGTACCGAATTTGGCTTTGTCCGGTATATTTGGTCGATACGATGTAATTTTCAGGTCTTCAACAACGCCATTGGACTGGACACCCGCCGCAGAGCTTCTCGATCAGTTTCGCATAGATAACGTGGCCGGATGGGCGTTGACGCGATGCCGAGTCGATCATCACGTCATTTTCAAAACGGCGGTGCGCGCGAAAGTCCTGTACCACTCGCTGGTTCACTTGATGAACTACCAACAAGTAAGGGTGAATTACATTTTCCCGATTCGACGCCAGTACCTGTGGGGACTGCTTTTGAATCCGTTGAAATGCGCTTACGAGCTTTTAAAATCCGACTTCCCCGGCGCCACCGCGACGTTATTGCGCAGTCTGATCAAAAGTCACAGAGAAGGTACCATGCTCAGCCTGACAGAGTTGAGTTGCCTTGTGGGCAACACGGTGAAGGTGGTTGAACGCTTTATGACGAGTTTACACGTTGCGGGCGTGGCCGACATAATTAATAACGCCATACCGAAATACATCATGGGAATTGACGATGGGTTCATACACCAAGAGCTGATGAAATCCAACGCCGAGGAACTGGACGTTTATGTGAAAGACATTAGTCAAATATTGGAGCCGATCGATTTCGACTTTATATCGTTCGTTATCAATTCCAAACAGAATACTTCGTTTTATACGATGCCACCGATTAAGGCCTAAGATAATATGTATAGGTACGTGTTAATCCTGGGAATTAACGTTGAAGTATGAATAATTTCAATAAGCATCTTATGTTCGTGTACACGGAACACGGTGATTATTCTTCTTCGTCGCCACTCCTCTCGATTATTTGGGCCTTGTCAATAATACTTTAATTACTCCTGACCTAATCCTTTTAGGCCACTCTTAAGTTTTTGTTGATTTCAATTTCTATCGTTTTAGCTCATCCGTACTAATTCCATGGACTTTTCTAGGACTCGAATTACGAATGTGCAAAAGAATACTTTTAAGTGAGCCTTTTAGGAGATTTTATATATATATATGACCTTAGACCACTAACCAGAAAACGCAATTGTTAAAAAAATGCAAAGGAAAAGTGGAGGCATTGAGGCATTGAGCTTGACCCACATTATTAAAAAAAATGATTCATTTTAGCATACTTTTGAAGTTCAGTTTTATTGCATATATATATATATATATATATATGGCATTAATACATTGCCACGATTGGCTAACCTAGCTGAAATCAATTATAAGCTTATAGAATTGTTGTAGAGTTTCTATTTGTGCATACAAGTGCTTGTGCTTACTTAGTGATTATCGAATTAAGTTATATTTTAATTATTAAATTTCATAATAATGCTGTAATAAGAATAGCACACAACTTGTGTACAATTAAATTATTTATTGTTAAAATATATTTCCGAATTATTTAACTCTGTTGTCAGATATCGAAGAAATCAACTCCATTCTATGTTTCCCATTATCTACGACACTGCCATCTGAGAGGGTTTTACATGGAAATTACCTAGTATTTAATACATTTTGTTGGGAATTTATGTAAGCTAATAACTTAAACGATTTTTAGTTTCTGAAAGCTACTTAAGTTATTAATTCACATAAATTACCCATACTAAATAAAAGTCTTGACACAGTTACTCAACAATAAAAAGCGTAAATAACATTACAAGTTAGAGCTTTTAAATCAACAAATTGATATGACTTTAAGTATCTATAAGTTGTAATAGGAAAAAATTACTATCTAATAGGCATGATTTATTGTACACATATTATTTGTCATCGTGAATGTTAACATAACTATGTATAACATAATTCCTGGTTACTGTATCTGGGTTTTAAAGTACTAAAAGAGCTATACGTAAACAAAATCTTATTCATTTCAAATAAAAATAAATTTATTTTATTTTAAAGTTAACATTTTTGTAGTTCCAATTGAAGGTACAATGGCAAGAAAAGAATAGCAGCCGTACTTCCAACGATCCATCCACAGTTTCGTAAATAGTAAGCAGCCACTGAAAAACTCGCATATTATTCAATTTTCTGTTCAAAAGTATTATATTAAAATTAGTCAAATTGGAAACCTTTTATGTGTTTTTTTGTTTGGTTTCCTGCACTACACATCTTTTTGACAGTAGACTGAGGCAAAGCGTCAGTTAAACCCCACATTCTCTCTGTCCAAGTCTCGGGTTTCTACAAATGACCATTTTTAATCAACAACTTTAAGAGCGAGACTGCCGTGTATTCCTAAAGTACTTACAAACTCCGCTTCACACGCTGACTTGTCGGTCCTTCTATCCATTTCGAAATTTAATTTTTTAGTACAGATATATATGTCAAGAGAAATGATTAAATAAAATTATAAATTAAAACAAATTGTGTATAGCAACAAGAAAAGTTTGTTTTATTTATATGTTAACAAGCAATTGTAGCGATTACGAAGCTGAAGAGATATATTAAGTGTGTATAAAAATTATTTAAAAAAAAAAAACTATACATATTATTAGATTTTTTTAAGCCTAATGACGGTAGTGGCAAAATATATTCTAATGATGTTATCGTGTTAGATGTATGTCATATTTTTCAAAAAGATTCGGGGAACTTCTTAAATATTTAGTATTAGCACTTCTGATTGAGTATTAGACTTTTAAAATATTGAAATCATAGCCTGAATGATGCTAACTAGTAAAGTGATCGTAAAGTGTTGGTGGTGGTCGATGAGAAGAGAAAAGAGCGGTAGATGGTTAACTAAAAATATCATACTAGCACTATTTAGAACTTTTCAAATCACTTTTTGGTCACCATGCCTCGCTGTGCGAGTCCCTCGAACCGTTTACATGTATAGTTGATAAATACCCAGTCTTTGTAAAACACTGGTAGGTACTTCGGCGGGGAAACTCAGCGTCCCTCGCCATTTACATTACAAAAAAATGTTTTGACATTCAAAAATGAACTAATTTATCACGTTAAATGTGATTTATCAGTTTTAAAAATATTTAGTCCAAAATTAACGACGTCATTGGCTAATAAGGTCTGCTGCTTCCTACTGGCTACTACTATACAGGGGTCTCAAAAAGAATGGTGGGGTTTCAAACGGCTGTAGGTTGTGAAGTATTGGACCTACAGCGCTCTGGTAGGGCTTGAATGAAAGAGGGAGTTGTTAGGTGTCAAATGACTGCCACTAGAGAGACCCACATTCCTGTTTGTGTCGCCAGTCTTCATTGTTCAGTTTGTTAAGATGGCGTCCGCACAACAGAAGTGATCGAGTTCGCGAAGCGTAATTCAGTTAAGACTGTGAAACATCTAGACACATCTAGTGACAGTCATTTGAAACTTGACAACTCTCTCTTTCTTTCAAGCCCTACCAGAGCGCTGTAGGTCCAATACTTCACAACCTACAGCCGTTTGAATCCCCACCATTCTTTTTGAAACACCTGTGTTATACCGAACATTTTACACCTATAATACAATAATTTTGAAATTTATCTAGTTTTTTCTTTAAATAGGTATGCCAATGTTTGACACCAATAGGCAATAACTATTATTAATATTAACCACAAAGGTATATGAATACACATTATTGAAGAAAACCGAATCAACTCAAATTTTACTTTTATGAACCAAACATTTTATATTTTATGTACATAACAACTAAACAACAAAATAATAATAATAATTATATTAATAATATATTAACTGATTGTGTGTCAATATTATACTATTAAAAAATTATAACAAAATAATTTCCTAAACATTTTTTTATTATTACTTAGTCGTCATAAAAAATATCAAACGGAATTAATTTTTACAATTTTATCATTTTAAATAAGTCACAATTTGACAAAAGGAATGATAGCAATCACAATAAGATATACATGTTACATCGAGATAAAAATATATGATTTAACTTTTTTTATTTACAAAATAAATTTTTTGTGAGTTGTGTATTAGTAGCCTAAGTTAAAATAGAATCCTACAATGTTCACTGGGAATTAAATAGAAAGTATGTACATTGTCTAACAAGGTCAATTATTTTTTCATGAACAACAACAATAAAAGCATTAAAATAATTGTAAAGCAATAATTTTTAGAACAAAAAAAATTATTAGGTAAATACTTAAGTAAGGTAACATATTATACGCAAGTAAAAGTACAAGCAAAATAAGTACAATAAACTAGCAAAGAGATCAATATAATAATTATTATTAATAATGGTTATTAGTTAAACTTAACATCATTTAAGCGGGACGGAAAACCAAACTTATTGTAAAGAAACATTGAAAATAAATAACAATAAATTGGTGTACATAAAAAATCATCATTGAATAGATACAGCTAGTAAGTTATTTACAATTATTATTAATGATATAAATGTTAGCAGCGTTAAAGCAAATTTTGGAGTTGTCATTAAATATGGTACTTTTTTAGGAAACAAATAGAGGTTACATAGTATTATAATTTTTCTAAACTGGTAAAAATTAAAAAAAAAAATAATACTATCTAGTAAAAAATGATAAAACATTATTAGCCTAAATAACAGTTTTAGATTAATAAGGTGTTACCCCTAATTCAATATATAGCCTATAAAAAAATATTTTAAAAAAAATGTAATTTACTCAACATCTTAAAAAAATAACATACAGAATAATCTTGTACGCAATGAAAAATGTTATTACAAATATCTACTACTTAATATAATTATATCCAGTATTACAACATGAAAATCCAACGGAATAAAAATGAGCATAGTATTACTTGTCTTGCAAATATAACACAAACAGTAATACTTTTGAGCACCTTACTACATGTAAATGCATACAATTTCATCTATAGCTTGACGTTGTATGCTATTGTTCTATAATACAATAATTGACTAATGCTAAGCATTTTAATAATAATAATAATAATAATTCATAATTAAGAACTATTTCAAATTGCCTAAAATAGAAAAATAATGTACCTATATTATTGTTAAGGTGGTAAAATAAACGAAAACAACATTTAACACAAATACAGGTTGGAATATAACTCATTTAGATTTTAAATATTGTAACAGTAAATTAATTGGATAGAAAGGTTTAATGTATTGCACAAATGAATTACCCTACGTTTTGAAAATGAAATAAAAACAATAAATTAATTTAAAAAAACGCTAGGAAAACGCTATTAAGTACCTACGGTAATAAAAAAAATGTAGACTAGTCAAGTAGTAATGTTGTGATCTTTTTTTAAAACTACTAAATAAGGCTTTTGTAGTACATCATAATTCGGTAGGCTATCCAATATTTTTTGCGCTTCCAGACTTACAATAGTTTCTATGGAATTATTACAGCTCTCAGCAACATCATTTGATTGGGCTGTTTCATCTGACTGCGTTATGATGGTATTAGTTAATATATCAATGGTAGTATCCGTTTGATTGACAAATACTTCTTCAATATTGTCATTTTTATTGATAGTTTCCATCGCAATAGTGTCCTTTAGAATGGTATCTATTACATTTATAGCGTCTATCGCAGTGGTGTTCATTAAGGCAGTATCTATTGAAGTTAAGGTGTCAGGGTACAAGGTATTGTCTATTGTAGTGGAGCCCATTATAACGACTGAATCCACTATAGTATCTAAAGCATCTATTATTGTGCTATTTGTTGTTGCAGTGGTGTCCTCTAGAATGTCATCCATTTGTTTGGTTTCTGTTTCTGAGTCATGATTATTAGTCAATGACAATGACGATACACTGAAGAAATCTTGGAATGCTGGACTTTCAGAATTGTCATCGCTTACTTCTACAATTTCTGGTAATTCTTCTTTTACAGTCTCTCGTACTTTCCATTTTTCAGGTCGAACTATACAAATAAAGAACAATTTTCAGCAATTAAAAATAGCAAATTAATATAATTAAGCACTGCAATATACAAAACACCTTTAGGAATTTGCAGTTAGATGTGTTTCATCTTAAAGTACATTTAAAGTATTATATTACTGTTAATATATAAGAAGTGTTCATTCTACACTAAACCTGGGCATTATTATTACAAAAAATACTTACTCATTTGAAAATTATGAGTCATTTAAAATACATTGTAATTTGCACATTAAATAATTTTTGGTTTAAAATAAATTTGTAATTGTTGGATTAAAAAAATGTGTATTGAAATGCATTATTGTTTACTTTTTTAAATAATAAATGATTTGAAATAATTTATTACTTAAATTCCAAATCGTTTTTTATATGTTATTTAAATACCTATTTGTTCAAATACAAATATAATTTTAATTAAATTTATTTTTATTTAAACCAAAAATTAATAGTATAATGTCCAGGTTTTTTCTACATTAATCAAGCACCAAAACAGTTGACAGTAATGATAAGCAATGAGCATTATTTAAGGCAACATACCACTAAGATTATTAGATTTAATTAGCAATACAAAATAATAAATTAGTTGCGATCTAATTATTAAATATAATATAATCTACTTAAACTTCAACTATTTAAAAATTTGAATTGGACCTTAATAATAGGTTAAAGCATGCAAAGCATTTTTAAAAGTTAAAATCAGTTTTGAAGTACATTGCTTATGGTTTTATAAACAATGTCCGGTAAATAGTTGTATTTACTTAATACAGCTTCAAAGAAATTACTGAAAACACACCGCAGTAGACTTTTTTTTAATGAATATACACACACGCAATTATGCAAAAACATAAATACTCACGGGTGTTTGTACAGCATGGTGCAAGTGTATCAAGGAGCTCAAGATCGAGTAGCGATGAATTATTACCTATTTAGGCCATAATAACAAATGTTTAGCTCCACCACCAATATTAATTTAATAAAAGTCATATAATCAATGTTATAAGAGGATAGAAGTACATATTTAAGAAAATTATTATTAACTTAAACACAGTTCTTAGCAAAAACAATAAAATATTTATGTCCATACTTTTTCTTTGACTTTTTATCTATAACAATATCCCGGTAATAAGATTTTCGATGTCTAGATAAAAGATTGTGTACCAAAAATTGTAAACAATAAAGTAATTTTTTTTTTCATTAAACAAGTGTAAACAAAACAATTGTTGTATCCTGTATTACTGTTAAATCTATAATTTTGAAATTTACAAATTTATGAAATTTATAAAAAAAATTTTTAACCAAAAGTAGACAAAATGTTTAGACATTTTTCTTTATTAAATTACAACCAAAGTTAAAAAATAAACTCTCCTTTGTAAATAAACCTCGTAAGTATTTGCTATATTGAATTGTATGATTTGTTAGTAAGTATAATAACCAAAAATAACCAAATACAAACAAAAACCACACTTAAGTATTTAAAAAACTATTTTACCAATGTTGATAGAAAGAAAGGATTTATTAGATTCCACTGACTATTTGCTAGAAAAAGCATAAACATACTTTGTAAATATTTAATGCTTGATTATAAAAAAAAATTATTTTTTTATTTATATTGGGTAAATTGAAAATATTGACTATTATCTCAACAAATTAACTAAATTATACATAACTGCAGTAGTAATTAGTATACATCATTAGTTAAATACAAGTGTTTGTTTGTGCTGTAAAAAGCCTATTGAATATTTTGATGTTTTTGCTAGTAACTTGTCTTTGTATGTTAAATGTTATTATACTACGTAGATAAGTTAACCATAAGACAAAGATATATTCAAAAATTTGAATTAGTAGTACAAAATAACAGTATAAATACTACTCTAAAATTGTATTAGTTTAACTACTAAATAATGGTTAATATTAGTTTGTTTATAATGATCAAAGCAACCTTATATAATTACATTTAATGAATGGCTGAATTTTTACTAAATAAAATATATTTTGAATAATATTTATAAAAAAAAATTCATGTGTACTTATTTCAAATATATTTTTAATTTTCATAAAACTGAAATGCTTTGATTTTGCTGAAATTATTGATTATTTTATAATATATCTAACAATTTATGTGACAATTTTTTTTTAATACATTATTTGATAATTCAAATGAATATAATAGTCATATTTAGATTATGTGAGTATCATCTACAATGTACTAAATAACAAATTTCATGAATGACACAAATATCTATCAGCTATAATCTTTTATTTTAGTTTTAAAGAAAAAAGACAATCTTATTAATATTTTTATACTGTTAAATTTGTAATAAAGTTAATATTTTACAAAGTAGTTATGATAGGTAAAGGAATTCAAGATAATATCCACTAAAGAAATTAAAAAAACGTTAAGTTGGTATTTCACGTTTAACATTTATAGCTACTTACAGTCCAATGGGTTTATTAGACCACTGCTTTTCCAATCAAATTCAGGGTCTGGTACAGTTTCCTTTATGATAATAATAAGTTATTTAAGTGTGAGGATATTAGTCAAACATTTTATTAGTAAAAAAAAGTGAGATGAAATTCACCTGCGACGGACTAGTGGAAAAAGATGGAGATAGTTTTACTTCGGATGCATCGTTATTACAAGCTTTTAACGGTTCCAATGGATTATTAGACATATTTGCAGCAAACCTTGGGACTTTTGAATTCCCAAAAGCACCATATAACTGCCACATTTAAATAAAATTAATTGCGTGAAAAAAATAAAAAATAAATGTTATATTATATTTACATTTTTTTTATAAATAATAGAAATGTTATACACTCACTATATTTCTTGAGTCGATGGACAGAGATGATAGAAAAACATTATTTGATTCTGATTTGGACCAATTATATTTTAAAGCTGGGCTGGATTCTATATCTTTTAAACTATTCCAAACACATGACTCCGTTATCTCATCGTCTAAGTTTAGTACATGAACTTCTTCAGGTTGTAGCTATACATAATATGAAAAAATTAATTTTATTAATTATTAAAAAATTCATCTAATTCAACAAATTAAAAAAACTTACATAATCCTCTTGAAAAATATTATTGCATAATTCTTTATAGTCGAGCGTTGTGCTTGGAATCATATGTAGTTTTGAATCATCAAGTTCTTTTTTTTCTAAAAATTCAGCTACAGAAGAACCAGGTTCAAAATCACAAAAATTGTCATTTTCAATATCTTGATTTAAAACACTAGGTTGAGCATTTATTTTACCACTTGGTTTTGTGTGTTCACTATAGTTGTTAAACATTGGCATACTACTTTCAAAATCACAAAAATCATCATCAGTTTTGTTGGCTGTACTAGTTGGGTTAGCCACTGGCGCGGATGTGGGGAATGCATGGAAATCACAAAATTCATCAAATTCAGCATCCAAATCATGTTCAATTTTGTTGACTTCATCTTGATTTTGAAGACTTGAGCAATAATTAGTACATATTGATTTGACATGTTCATGTTTATTATTTTCAATTAAGGTAGGATTATTTTCATCGAGTTCTGTGAATTGGGTCTCTGGTACATAATCCACATGTACATTAGTTTTAGTATTAGTAGAATCATCACTAACTTTCTCAACAATATTCTCGGGAGTTCGATTCGGTAAAGATATATTAACACAATTTGTTGGACTGGTTTCAATGCTACAAAATTCAGTATAGTTACTTTGTTGATCACTTATGTTAATACCAGATAATTCATTTGTAATATTTTGTAAGCCATTTACTATATCAATTTTTGACTTGGTATTATAAATGTTGTCTTCCATGCATTCTGACACAACATTTTCAACACAATTAATTCTAGAAGCTGATTTATTGGTTTCTGTATATTCTAAATGACCATTTACTAATAATTTTTTATTAGGAAATTCTATTGACATAGGTTCTAATTGATGATTAACGTTATCTTCTTTATTATTTTCTACACTTGATAAACACTGCGACACAATATTATTATTGACATTTTCTAAATTATAAGATTGAATAACAAGTTCTTCACTTTTTAAAATTGTTCTATTCCTGTTAGATAATGTTTTTTGGTCAGATTCCTGGTCACAAATAAAACCATTGACTTTGTCAAAATTGTTATTAGAACTAATAGTTTCTTCATCTTTCCAAGTATTAATTGTTGTTTGATTAAAACTTGATTCAATTTCGGCTGATGATTTTTCTATAAAATCTTTATCAATCACATTTAGTGATAGTTCAGAAATCATGTTATCTTCATTGATTTCATTATGACCAACTACCTTCTCAATGGGCTCCTCATCAAAAGGCAGTTCTGGAATCCATCTGCTATTGACGGGACCTACAAAAAAACAAACGTAATAGTAAAACAAAAACCTCATAAAAAATAATAACAATAATTATTTGAAAATAATTACTTAAACTAGACTCGGATGGAATTTCTAAGGCTGAATGAGGATAATCCAAATAATCGTCATCGTCTTCCCAGTCCTGTTTGGTGATGGGAGGCGGTGAAGCTGGAATCAATGGTGGAATATTTTCGGACATTTTAAACAAAAACTTTCATTTATTCGAGTGTAACACAATTTTTATGAACCGCATAGGTAAGGTAATTTATATTTTTAAAATATTTCAAAAAAACCAAACTAAGAAGTCTAGAGCGGATTTAGAGGTGCATGCAATATGGTGGCAAGCACGAGTTATACGAGAAAACAAAAACGTAGATAGAAATATTTTAAAGAACAGTGAACGGAAAAACAAATTTTTAATAGAAACAAATTTTTTAAAAACCAGCCTAGCCCTATTTATGTTAAGTGGACACTACTAAATATTTATCATATACTTTCAAGTTCCTTATAAAATATAATCTCAATCATATTGCGTGATAACAATTGATTACAAAAGAAAAGTGAACGTTGTATGGTATGTGCAAGGTTATAACCGCGACCGTAGTTGAATGTAAAAACTAAAATATTATACGCCATTCACTTGAACTTATGGGCTTAGAAAATGGAATTATGCACTATCAAGTAACTAATAAGTAATAAGTAATAACTAATAAGCAGTAAGCAGTAATACCCAAGTATCTCCGAGTTGAATACGTATCAGTTACTCGAGTACTAGTTGCCCCCACGGCCTCCAAAATCACATACCATTAATTATTATATTATTGAATTACATTACTAAATAATAAAAAAGAAAACTAAAAATATTTTTAATTGACAATAAATATTTTATAATACCAATTTAAATATACAACTAATGCACTGTGCACACCATCTATTCCTTTTGTAATAAAACAATATGTTGAACGTTAAATACATTATTTTACAATATTTTTGTATTCTTAAAAATCATAGGATCATTTTTAATAACCGATTATAATTGAATTTAAAATTATAAAAATTATAGCTATGAATTTGAACTAAAATTGATTTCAATTTTAGAATAGGCCATGGAGGCGGGCGAGACTTTTTAGGGTAGGCTTGGACCGCTCCTATCATCGCCACTGCGTATCTCTTTATATTATGTTTTATAACTGCTGTTAATAAATAGTCTTTATTCCGATAAAGTCATGCAAATTATGTTATTACTTAGGTATGAACATAGTACAGCATTTATACATTAAAATCTTTGAGTAGGGTTTTGTAGTTAAACCGTAAATAAATTTATTTTTATGGAATTTTTTTACTTGGCCTCCCGCCTTAGTTCCTTTGAGGTATATTAAATATAAAAAAAAAGTTGCCACAATAATAATTGCTGTAAGTAATCTATAGGTCTAGATAATTGCGTCACTAGTAAAAAGTTGAAAACAATACCTATAGTCTTTACTAAACGTATTGTTCGTAGAAATAAATAGATTGCATACTATTAAAATTACATTAGGTGTAGATGCAAAAATCATTATTTATCAAGTGCAATTAATAAGCCTAAGTGCAGCTATTATTAGTTTTATAGGCGTATCGTTGAAATGAGTGTAATTAAATAATTATTAGGTATATTATAAATATAAATCACTTGCACTTATAAACAGGATGTTCTAGTGACGTTTGACAGACGTTTCATACAAGAAATTATATTAATATGTTGGTAATCGCCAATCGGTATGCACGTGACAATTTCAAATTTTAAAACTGTGTTGTAAAAAAACAGTCCTAGTAATAGTGCCTAATTACCTACCAATATTACCATAACAGTAAAATAACACGTTTTAATAAGTATTCTAAATCGAGTTTTATCACATTTGAAAATTGAATTAGTAGTACCTATAACAATAAGTAACAATAAGTAGAGAATAAATAATAATATATTACCATTGCCAAATAACACTTTATCATATCCATATCTTGGTTCGTTTTTTTTAATAAAAATTTAATAAGAAGGTATTTTACAAAAAAATGTATTTTTTTATTTATTCAAAATAATTAAATAATTTTATAATTTTTTAGCTATAACATAGTTTCTCAAAACCTGTGACCACCCCGTCGTCACTATGTACTGTTTCCAATAGTTATGCGGTATAAGTAGAGAATAAATAATAATATATTACCATTGCCAAATAACACTTTATCATATCCATATCTTGGTTCGTTTTTTTTAATAAAAATTTAATAAGAAGGTATTTTACAAAAAAATGTATTTTTTTATTTATTCAAAATAATTAAATAATTTTATAATTTTTTAGCTATAACATAGTTTCTCAAAACCTGTGACCACCCCGTCGTCACTATGTACTGTTTCCAATAGTTATGCGGTATGCTACTGTGTTGGCTTTTGTTTATTTTATTAACATCACTTAAACAATAATTTTATTTTATTATTTATACTATTATGTTATGTCATTGATTTTAAGCTAGGATTTTGGAATACTTCTTTTTCAAAGCAAAGACTATGAATTTCTAAGAATTGGGAGTGAGTGGTAAGGTTGAGAATCTAATAAATTATATTGGAAACATTTGGTTTAGGCCTTGTATTATTAAAGAATCAGCTAATAAAACTTAATTTTAAATCGTTCAATTCGGACTCTATTATCCATAATCGATTTTATACAAGATCACTAGTAATGAACGTCTTTTACATAATATTTTTAATTATTTTAGACTATAATTAATATTTAAGAACTCAATTTATTTCTGAAATTAACCTTACTAAAAATGTCTCCAAAAAATTATATATTTTACACAGTCAACCTCTATATTTTATTTTTTGTATTTAAAATTAAAACAAAATATCAATTACATTGTAGTGATGATTTACGTTGGTTATTATATATATGATACCTATGTCGTATATTATTATATTGACATAATATTGTTATGTCGTATCATTTTTGTAGTTCTTATCAGTGTATGACCTCACATGGTAATAATATTGATAAAGGCGTAGTACCTATACAACTTTATTTATTATCTATCGTGAGCGGAATAATTATTTATTGATTATTATTGTTTTGTTCAATGTTATCTATTTAAACAGCTAAATTTTGCTCGTGAAACATTCTTATTTCTTCTTAAAAATTAAAATTATAAGATACAAAGTTTAGACTTTAGTACATATGTGTGCTATTTTGAAATGAACAATAATTATATTGACAATTATATTTTCCCCCAAAAATGTTAAACTATTTAGTTTTGCTTAAGAAATCTTAATAGGTGATGTGAGTATTAACTTTTTTAAAATGATGCAAAGACCAATTGAAATGATAGACCCCCACAAATATGTTACTGTTGTACCGATCGAATATCCTCGGCACAGACAGCAGCAGCAGCAGCAGCAACTGCAGCAGCATCAGCTGCAGCAGCAGTTTATAAAACCTCCTGATGAGTACAGGTAATGCAGAATATATATTGATGGTGTAGTATAAAGTAATTATTCTATCAATGTCTAATTTGTATATTAAAGAGATGATTACCCTCAAAATCGGAACTGGCCACACACTAGAGTTATTAATTCTGAAGCTGAAACAATTCGAAGGAAACAACTGAAAAGATCGATAGAGCATAAATTAGCACAAAAACATCATAGAAATGAATTCATTCAAACATGTTCAAAGCAACTAATTAGTGCTCCTCCAGCATTCCAAACTAATCCTATACCTTCTAAAAAACGTAAGTGTTATTATTATATGAGACGTCAACTACATAAACTAGGGTAGGTATAAGTGCACTTTACCAGACACCCTTTTTTTGCAATTTTATTTTTACCATCTTGTAGTATTTTTTTACACTGATTACAAATCTGAAGCCAAAAAATGGTAGCCTCCTCAAGTTTCCAAGTTTTAGCTACTTGAAATTCATATATTTCTGCTGTAGTATCTTAATAGGCGGTGGCAACTGAGGTGTCAGGGGCAGCCGCAGTCGCCTATTGCCATACCATACATTTGTTGGTGAGGCAAGGGTAGGTTTGTTTGGGTTTGGACTTGTTAGGTCTCTAACGCTTCCAGATTGGTAGGTTAGGTTAGTTAAATCCTTCAGGCAAGCTATTTTTTCCGCTGAGAGTTTTAGGGCGTGAGCTCAACGAAGAGTCCCAAAAGGGCTTGAGTCGGCTCCAGAAGCCGGCAGGCGTAAGGAGTTGTTTTATATCATAGAAGATTTACTCACTTGAAGCTTTAATATTTAAGAAAATTGTATTGTTCTTCAATACAATATTGATATTACATCATTGATAATAATATAATAATCAATAATAATAATAAAAATAAATAATCAACTAATAATAGCACTTGCGTTGCCCACAAATGTATGGTGTGGCAGTGAGCGTCTGCGGCCGCCACCGCCAGCCGCCAATTGTTATTAATGCGGTAGTATGAAAATTTCAAGTAACTTAGGAACTATAGGAGTCAGCAGATTTTGTATACAGATTTTTAATCAGCATAAAAAAATACTTCAAGATGGTAAGAAAAAATCATAAAAAAAGGGTGTCCGGACTCGTGTACCTACATAATACATTATTTATCTAATAGATAGATTCTAATAAATTATTTTACTGCATCACTTTTTAACTATGATAAAGTTTAATTACTTACTTATATATAAATTCTAATATCTAGATAGGTGTATAAGTTCTATTTTTTTTCTTAAAATTTGTATATGTTCTTAAATAGCTATGAAAGTTTTTGTGTACACAATGGCCGATGTAGTATTGCATATGGATTTAGAGGATTCTAATTCGACAACGGTATCTGAACTTGTTGACATTATTTTAAAACCAAAAAATTTGGGACTACCGAAAATGGCAAAAAATGTGTTTACGATTTGGATGAAATCAAATGTTTTAGGTAACTTAATTTGTCTTTGATTAATGGATGCTCTAAGTAATGTACTTGAATAAGATTTTATTTGTTTAATTAATTCTTAAAAATATCTTTATAGAGATCCAGTTAAAACCGTACCATAAGTTGTGGACACTCTATCAGAAGTGGTCTGCCTTGGAGGATAAATATTGTAATGAACCAGATAAAATGGTTGTTCAACCACTGTTATGGTTTCAAAGAAATGTGTTCTTCCCAAAAAAAGAAGAGGAGAAAATTAAGTAAGTTATTTATTTATATTATGCTAATTTAGTAACAATGTTCTTCACTTGTTATTTCATTTTTAAGGGATCCAAAAATTATCGAGTTACTGTATGCCGAGGCCAAGTATAATGTTTTGCAAGGTCGGTATCCAGTTGAAGTCAATCACTGTTTGATGTTAGCTATTATTCAATGTCGAATAGAGCTAGGATCAAATAATTTGCAACAGTATAATTCAAGTTTTTTCAGGTAATTAGATGTTTTTAGTTGTTGAAAGGGTTAACTTTTATGATAAAGTTTATTTTAATATTATTACTGGGGACACTAAGAAAATACTATACTTATTGTTTTGTATGAAAATGTATAGCCACTTAAAGTTCATAAAATTATCTAAAATATTTAAACACAAGGTAATTTTTTTTATTGAACTTAGTAATTTATTTTATAAATAATTAACCTTCCAGCGGGCACGCTACTTGCGATAACATGAGTAGTCGTGCGTTGTATAATTTACAACAATACTAAAGGTTAGGTGATAAGCGTACATCCGATTAATTTGTATGAAATATAAATTAATATACTGTATCTTAAACCTTAATTTAATAATAGGCTGTAATAAAAAAAAATAATAAGAACATTATATACACACAAAACATATACATAGATAACAATTTAAGTAAAACAAAGTTGGTAAGAACAAAGCTAAGTTATTGTATTATTTACAGTAGAGCGCTCGCTGAAAAGTTAAATATAATTTATTTTTCACACCAGTGACGTCGTAGCTGTTGTGTAATGATATGCTATAAAAGATGTTACCAGAATGATATGTGCACGAGTATTATCTAATTAATTTTTAATTTTTAAATGCTTATTATATTTCTTGTGTTCCATTACCTGTATTTTTATTTGTACAGAGACAACAAAGAACGATTTTTGCCAGCACATTTGTATAAGAAATGGTCATCGTGGTTTAGACTAGATAGAAAAAGTACACCTCACTCTCGACTTGCTGAACATTTGAAACGATTACAAATTACTGGATCAGACCGCAAACTGTATCAAAAATATTTGGAATGTAGTTACATGCTTCCATTTTATGGGTGAGAATAAAATGAGTGTATACTAAATTGTAAATCAAAACAGTTAACTTAATTTTATTGTTAATACCCCGCAAGTACTTTGTTCCGTATTGTCTTCAGTTAAGTCACTACTGCAAATGTCATGATGCTTTTCTTAAATGTGATTCTATCCACCTCCATTTCATTCTTTTCTTGTCTTGCAGTTCTTTTTGTTATTTTTCTATCATATTTAAACTTTTTAATACCACACTAATTAGGTAATATTATTGTTCACTTTTTTACTTCTATTGGCTTTGTTTTAAAAATAAATATTTTTCATTATGGTAAATATAATGTATATGTAAAGTATAAGGCAATGTATGTTTTATATTACTTTTTTTTTTTAACAGTCAAAATTCTTTAGAAAATTCATGTTCATACCAATAACATAGTTTTAACTTATTATCTATCTTTTTATTATACGTTAACATATTATCATAGTTCTGACCTTTATTTTATATTTCATATTTTAATACTTCTTAGTTTGTATCAAATTTTATTGTGATTAGTACAATGTTTTTAAGGTTGTTCTGATAACCAACCTACACAGCGGTTACGTTAGGCATTAGCTGACTAGCATCATTTCAGTTATAACCTAATAGAATTAAATTAATTGTATCATAATCATTCATCATCATCAAGCAAGCTTATAGGTCATGAAGACCTAACGCTGCTGTTATGAGATAGTTACTAGACGAGTTAACTATCCGGGATGGGTTGTCAGTCTAAAATTAATTTTATAATATTTTTAAACATAATTACTAATTATTTTGTAAACAATACTATAATTGAATTATAAAGAATTGATGAACATTTTACAGGTGTGCGTTTTTTCCTGGACAAATCGAGCAGCCCGTACGAGGTCTAATGTCTTTGTTGAATCACAAAGATGTTCCTATTTATGTTGCAATAAACACTGAAGGTGTTTATATTTTAGATAATACTGAAAATGTAAGTGTGTATGCTTTTTATTAATTTATAACTCTTTATAAATTCTTTTACAAGACGTTACACCTATATAAATTTTACATTTACCTATTCTTATTATTTTAGTGTTTGTTATTGGGTCTTAAGTACCAAGACTTTTCTTGGGAATTCGCTAAACCGTCCGAAGGAAAAAACAGTCATTGCTTGCCTTGCATTTTTTTACAATTTCTGGTCCTCGAAAATGGCACAAGAGTATCAAAAATTGTACAAGTGTTTTCTAAACAAGTAACCTGATATACAGCTTTAAAGTTATTATAATGTGAATTATCTCATGCAAATATTATTATCTACTGTAGGCTGTTATGATGGACGCTTTAATTGCGTGTTTTGTAGAAGATTTTAGGCATAAACTTGCTATGAACGATTACGATGATGTAGACAGGACTGGTGGTTTTGAACACATTTCTGTTGCTGATGGTAATTATTATAAAATAATTTTAAGACAAAATATTTGCTTACAATAATATATTTTTGTTAATAGGTTCTCGAATACCTTTAGCTCACCTTTATCGCAGCGAACCGCAGTCAAGGTTGTTAAATAAACTCAACAAATTAACATTGGCAACATTTGACGAAGACGGTAAGTTTGTAAATGACTCTAAAGGAGATAATTTTTTTTACTAATAAGCATGTTATTTAATTTGGTACAAAGTAGTTGTTAGTTTTGTGAATTTTTCATATATTTTATAGTGCACATAAAATATATCTCAATTGTTAAAATTGAAATAATTTCTTATTTACTACCAAATGCAAGGTATTTTATTTCATTTATTGCAATGCCTACGATATTTATTTTGACTTCGATATAGTGCGGCTCGAACGATTAAAGCCATTAATTGACTTTGTCTAAGTAGATGTAATTTAATTTTTTATTGTTTTAAAACTAAAGTTCAACATGAACTTTGAAAGTATTTCTGGCTTGAGATATCCGTTTAACCATCCAGTCATAGTGAGCTGCAGTGGTCAGCCGTCAGTGACCCAATAATAGCGTGGGCATCCCAAAGGAAAACCTAGCTTAACTAGAGGAAATAAAAAATACCAACTCCGATAGCAAATAATTTATTGTGATAAAATTAATATATTATCTTATTAAATAAATTGCTGTTTTCAATGAAATCGCAGACCACAGCAGGTCACTGCAACCTTATGATGAAGCAGGCGGCAGGTACCTGGGAGCACCGCTGGTATCTTGCTTGACAATAATTTTTAAAGTTTATGTAGCTATAACTTTTGAACTAGAAGATTCTGCGGGTTTCTGATATACACTGAGATTCTTAATCTTCATAATAACACTACAAAATAGTAAAAAAAAAGTTTTTGGTAAGGTACGTTTATATCAAACTTTTTAATTATTATTAAAACACATGTTTTGTATATATAAATTTACTCTGAATCTATGTATTCTTCTTTTGATAGGTATATATAATGATTATTAATCGTTTAAATAAAAATTCCGTTGGTGACATTTTTTCTGGTACCTACTACTTATTGTTCACTTATAATGCAATGATTTTGAAATATACTGCTTTATCCTTTATATAAGTATGTCAATATTTTACTTAATTTTTCAATCATGAGACATCAATAACTAACTAATGATATTAACCACAAAGGTTTGTAAATACACATTATTGAAGAATGAAGAAAAGCTAATCAATTCTCAAATTTTACTTATCAATCATACATATTTTATTTTATGTAAAAACAACTATACAACAAAATAATAATAATCATACTTATAATACATTAAATGTATTATTTATCAAGTATTATATTTTAAATCAGTTATAATTTTACAAGAGGAATGATAGCAATCACAATAATACTAACAGATTATGTCGAGTTTAAAATATTTTTGCAAATTCTGTAATTAAGAGCAATTTAAGTTGAAATAGAATGTTCACTGGCGGTGGGACAAAAAAATTAGTACGTTATCTACAACGTATATAGGTTTTTTAACAACAACAACCTTTGTTTTGACTCCAATATATAATTTTGTATATTAGTTTTATTTGGTAATAATTATTATCATATGTTACTTAATGTTTTATCATTTTACCGATTAATTTTAGTTTTTAGTATTTTTAATTAGTTGTAGATTCTATTGACGGAATAATTAATTGTTTTTCTTTATTTTTTTTCAATATTAAAGGCATGGATGTGGAGTATCACCGCTTAGCTAATAATTTTGCAAGTACTTATATAACAAAAAAAAATATTATTTTCTTTTAAACATTACTAATTTTATGTTTTAGGTCACTGTATAGGGCAAACGGGGTCGTGGTCGTTCAGTTATTAAGTTAAAATAATGATCTCAGTTTACAATTATAACTGTATATCTAACATTTATCTTTAGAGTGTATATTGAAGCTCCTTCGCTTTCCGATATTATTACCAAAATAGCCATTGAATGTTAAAATGTTAATTTTGGTTTTATAGAAACCCCTATACGAAATACCGTTAGAAAATTTGTATTGTTATTTATTTTTTACCTTTTACTTTAAACATTTGTTGATTAAACGTGTGATTCAATTTTTCGACTTTATAAAAATTTAAATCTTGTAAAAAGCCAGAGAGTACAATGTCTAGGGCATATATTGCAGCTAAGTGAGGATGCAGAAGTTCGAGTAGTGATGGACTGGAAGCCAGAAGGTAAATATCCACCCTTTTAAGAAGTTAATAAACGTCGTAGAAAAGATCTGAGAATATAGTGCTAGGTTGAGAGAAATGTAGGGCATTAGTGATGGTGGCATAAGCTCATGGAGAGTACCAGAAGCCAGATAAAGAAAGAAAGAAGAAGATAAGCATTTAAGGATTCATCTATAAATGGACACCAGTATAAATTATACTGCAGTTAAATTATTGTGTTCGGCATTATTTTATATTATTATTTCTTTAAGAACTTTAAACATTTTCATGTTTCACACTTAATGTGTTAATATTTGATTTAAAAAAATATTATCCGTCGCCCTAAATACTCTTATATTACAATATGGTAAGGTAAACTTTTTAATTGTTGTACATTAAAATAAATAGCTATTGCAGTCTCAAATCATTTTAATATTTTGTAAGTTACCTTATATTTATTATAACTTGTATTTTCTTTGCTACTAATTAAGAACCTAGTATTAATAATATGGTTTATCTAATAATTACTGTTTCTTTTTAGCCTTACTAGCTCTTTTCACTCTTGGTTTCTAATGATTAATTTAATTGTAAAACTAGTCATTGTAATTGTATAAATTATTATTTTCAAGGTACAAACGAAAAAACGTACACACGACTTACCAACAAATGTTTATCTTTTTTATTGTGTTAGATTTACTTTATATAGTGGGCTACTGCATATAACTTAATTGATTCTTTAAACCGTGTCTGGACCACTTGCAGTGCTCTAAAATAAGGATTTATGGAATCAAGAAAATTTGGTACAACCTATCATTAGTCTGATACATAATATACTATTGATATGTTTTATTTATTATGCCATTGTATAATTTTATGCTATATTAGTTTTAATAAACATCACCCTATTGAGTTAATACCTAATGTATTAATTAGGCCATTTTTTAATCAAAGCTAGCTTTTGACTTGTGTGTTGTGATATTTTAGCTGTACACAAATAATATATTATATCGTTTATGGAGTACTACTTCATGTTTTATTATGATAAAAAATGTTTAGTACATATATTACGAAATAACTTTTTTCTTGATATTTATTAGAATATAATTTAATGTATTTTGCTTTTTAAACTACATAAAATATATCACATTAAAAAAAAAATATATATTTAATTTATTTTAGCGTAAATATACTGTAATAACACATATTTCGACTATGTAATAGTTACTTACTTACTTTGATTAACTAATAAATGAATACTGATTGTCTTAAAAATAATAAAATATAAATATCTTAAATATTTTGTTGAAAATAGTTGCATATTAATTATTTACCCTTTATTAATAGGCTACAGTCCCAACATTTTTAAATAAGTATATTTTATTAAACGCGTTAAATAGCACCTTTGTAACATTGTCGGTTATATTGTTAAGAAAATCATAAAAACCTTTCTTATTATTATTTTATTTACAAAATAAGTATAGTAGGTAAAAAAATGTAGGGTTTTTTCAAAATGTCATAAATAATATAAAGGAAGATCTAGATAAGAAAGAAGTGAGCTAATTTAATAATACATTACATTTAATCAGATGTTCTATATAATAGTATTATTATAAATTTATGGTTCTTCATCATAAATATTATTAATAAAGTGTACATCATTTAATCCTTCTCGATTTCTGGCAAGCTCAATCGCATAAAATTGTATCCTAATAACTATAAAACTATTAACTTCAGTATAGTCTCCATGTACGTCTTTTCTTATTAATGTTCCAAAATTATAATTTTCCATATTTTTGTAAATTTCACAAAATCTTCGCCATTTCTAAAAAAAAACATAAAATTTAGTATTTTTACTTATAAATAAATAAATTTAATCAAAATTATTTCTACAACTGTTAATTAGATATACTTAACAAAAATTATAAAATATCCCTCTTTTACACTTGAGTGTTTTACAAGCATTGTATCATCTAGTAACCTCCTTCCCTCTTTTAACATACCAAATCATTTCTAATTACTGTCTATTATAAATTCTCCAATCAAAATTACACTATGTTATAATAAACAAAATTTGGCTTTGATGAGAAGCTGAGAAGAAATTGTTAACATATGTTTTTATGTCTGGACCCATTATGTCTAAAATCGCTGGACTAATTTCCTTGTAGGTCTATGGATGAGAAATTATATCAAAAAGGTATTTTATTAGGCCAAAACTGAAAAATATTTACCCAGTCATTTCCGAAATAGAGAAAAACTTATTACGGCATATCATAACTTTTAAAAAGCAGTTGAAATAGAAAAAAAATGTAGCCAAACTTATTTTTTACTAAAGAAAAACCAAAAACACGATTACAAACAAAATAATTTGACAAAACGTCATATTGTTACCTGTTGATACTTGATTTTTAATACTTATGGCTTATTTTGACCCAGAGTAGACTAGGAAAATCTATGTACGGTAGCATTAAAGGACAATGGAAGTTTGTCGCTTTAGACAATCGCCTACCCAGAGAGATAGCCCGTGATGGTGAGTGCCAGCACACTGCCCCTTACTTACTTTTTTTTTTTAATTTTATATATGATAATGTATAAAGGTAATCATATGGCAAATTTTTAGTTTTTATATTTTTGAAAATACTTTTGTTGATTATAATATTACGATATTATAAGCTTTACAATTGACCAATCAATATTTTCAGTAGATTATTTTAAACTAAATAAGTTGAAATATACATTACCATATTACCATACATACATTACCATATTTTTACAGAAGTTAAAATTTCTGTAGTCAAACTTTTGATTATAAGAAAAATCAAAACTTGTTTATAAAAATATTTAGTGTCTATACAACTACTTACATTAAATAATTTTTACCATTTAAACGCTTATTCCTAAGACTTGTAATCTCTTCAGCTCTTCAATACCCCGACTCCACTTTTATTTGGCTTTTTTTTTACAATAATAATAATTTGCTTTATAATCTTTAGACTGTTCACTATAACTTACAATTTTAGACGCTTCATTTTTAATGTCTTCTTCATCGAGTACATCTATTTGGAGGTCAGGAAATAATCGTCTAAATTCTTTGTATATCTTATCATCATGTGGAGTCAAACGTAGTAGTTTCGGATCCACGGAACATAATAACTGAATTAAATATATATAAAACAAACATTCAATAATTATCTCAAAATAATTTTGATTAAATTGCTTATTTAGATTTCAAACCAAAAATCAGAAACTAATGAATATAACACTAAATAAAATTTTTGTTAAAAATAAGCACTATGATTCTAATATCATAATATATGACTTTTAATATAGATACTTATTAAGTATACCCATACTTTAATAGTGAATCAATAAATTGTACTATATAACATGAAGTTTTTGTGTCTGGAACTGCAAGTAAATAATTTACAAAAAAAAACAGTGAAACATTTGTAACAGTGTAACATTTGTATTTAAATAAGTCTAGATTTAATTATGTACCTTATATATATAAATCTGAAAATATAATGAACCTGTTAAAAGGAATGGAAAGCGCCAAATTTTATACAAATAAAAACTAAACACGAGGTCTCTTTCTGAAGTGTTACTAAACAGATTTAAAAAAAAAAATGTTTTTGTTGTAAAGTTCATAACATTTTCTCTAAGGGAGCTAACAGGCAGATTTTTAATTTTATTATTAGCATTTATATGTTTTCTTTTTATAATAAATTTAACTAATTTTCAAATAACTAAATTAAAAATAATAAGCTTTACATAAAAAACATTGAAATCCGTTCAATAGATACACGAGAAAATTACTTTTATAAAAGTTATTTTTTATCAAATCGGAGTAACTCAAAAGTAACTTAAAGTTTTATAACTAGAAAAACTTTATAATTTTTCATCTTAAAATGAGTGGGTATAATTAGATATCTACTAGATAAATTTGTTTCAAATATTCTTTGCCCCTTAATAAATAGCACTTTTTGTTCCTCTTCCATGTTTATAGTACATTTAATATTAATGTTGACAATAACATTATAATTTGTATAGAGCTAATAACAGCTTATTTTTTAAATAATATTTTAAAAATGTAAAAAACTTACATTAAAATATATTTCTGCATGTTCAAAGGCTTTCACTGCCCACAGCATTTCAACCTTTCCCTAAAATGTATACACACTATGCTCAGTAATAGGTATGATACAATTACAAAACATCCTCAGAATACATAATACGTCTTAATATTATTACACTACTACATAAGATAAAAATGTCCTCATAAGTCACATTATTGTCAAGACATTTATAAATGGATTTGAATTTCTTGACATTTTGTTGAGAGAAAGATTAGTTTACATTTTAAAGTTTTAGATGTAAAACTGATCGATATTTAATTAAAAAATGAAAAAAAACCTACACTTTAACTAGGATAAATACAAACAAAATTTGAAAAACAATTCTCTAGAAAAATATAAAGGAATACAAATTAGTGTTAGATCATTAACGTGTTACAAGATCGATTTTGTTGGAACAAAATTACATCTCAATTCTGACAATGAATGGCAAGAAATATCAGTTTTCAATCATAATTAAATTGATGTTTTTAAAATGTTTTAATTATGTATGCTATTTATTTATGCAGCTAGACATATTCTCATGCCTTCTTATGGGGACATTTGAACCGTTGAGAGCAAAGTGGTGTAAGTCACGAAAGTTCAAAATTAAGAAACAAAAGGTTAAAGTAGAAATGTTGTGGTGATTTGTTTATCCACAACATTAGTCTTTTTATTGGTATACTGTACTAAATGAAATTATTTGTAGTTCACAATATTATTTTCACTTTAAACTTTCATGTGCGATTTTCAACTTACACTATATTTGCAGTGACTTTTTTCATGAAATGCTGAAACTAATGACTTACACCATATGTATTCATTTTTATTTCACAAAAATGTCAGCTTAAAGTAAAAAAAAAAAATTGAACAATTAAAATATTTTTTTCATCATTATGAGTTTTTTAACTTTATTAAGCATAAAATAGGTAAAGTCATAATACATCATTAGAAAAAACAGAATGAAGATTACTCTCGACGGCTCTTTTATCGTAAATATAAGCAAATAATATTTTTTAAATGTTTATTGGTTTTACATCATTTCCAAACTCATCAGCCGATCTTGATAATAGATGAGCTCCCATGGACAGTTCTGCAGCTCCCTAAAATCACAAGTAATCCAATATTAATTAAATTAACAAATTATAATATTATTAATATTTTAATGATTATTACATTTAAGAATCCAGTGAATATTAAAAAAAAACAATAGTATTTTATAATAAATAGCTAAAATGTTAGACTTAATAACTTAAATTTAGGTATGATGCAAAATGTTGTAACTCAGACATTACAGATTAATATATATGATATTATATTAATTTTGGACAGGTAAGAATGCAAAATAACTAGAGTGATACCAACAGGTGTTTCAAGATAATAGTAAGCTATATACGAGTTTAGTTTTCACTATTAAAAATATTTTCATTTATAATAACTACATTATTAACATTTATGTAATATACTATTACAATATAATTTCTTTAGAGTAAATAAATATTTCGAATATTCGTAAGGAACAAATATTAATATTATTATCTAAAAATTGTAAGCCTTTAATCTTAAAATCAAACCATCTCACTTACCACACCATTGGCGACAGTCAGACTATCCATTTTGGAATTCAGAACATTAGCAATACAAAAATCGTAGGTACACGAAATCCGAATTTCCAGCGAAAAAAAAAAAAATAATTTATAACTTTACAAACGACATTGAAAACAACGTGTTGACATAATATACACACGAGTCGCTCACCTCAAAAGTGATAAGACTGATAAGTATGATAAGATGGTTACCTGTCCCACGGTTAATATTTGTATACCCGTTAAGCCGTGTACCACTCCGACCTCATTAGTGGTATGTGGTAACCAAACAGCTATCACGGCTATTTTTCATGTTGCACTAAACCAAGAATATATTCTTTATAGGTCTAGGCACTAAACATCCTATTACGGTCTTACATACAAGTTAGGCAACTACATAGGCTACTTAAGGTACTTAATGTACATTAATGTAGTTACTCAATGTATGTATTTACCAATTGATGATCTGAATGTTCGTGGAATCTAGTCAAGAACACCTAGGACAGTTTTTATTTGAATCCATACCTAAACAAGTATACTATGTATAACAAGTATAATATAGGTAAATATAAATATGTGTGATATAACAGGTATCTAGTTGAATAATCATAATATTATATTGAACTGCTAGTCTTTTTGATTCATCAGTAATAAGCCAATCTATTATATTGGAGTACCTACATTCTAGTTGTATAGACTGTGCGTTCTACTTACAACTTAAATGTTGAGATTTAAGATATTTTGTAATTTAAAATTACAAAATACAGCAGATTAATTATTTTGTTCAATGGCAGGTAATATATATTATATATAGTGTATATTGTACAGAGGGATGATGCAATATGCCTTTTGCATTTAGCATTATGTATAGTGCATAACTAAAGTCACCAAAGTCAAAAATAGTGATACTTGTTTAATATTTTCTAAGAAATATTTTGAAAAAACCCTAGCTAATTTCTCCGCTCCACGAACAAATATTGAACTATGGATGTCTCTTGATCAAGATTATTTTAATTTATACGTATGATATGGAACACATTTATGATTTAACGTACTCGGGTACACAAATTCATAAATTGACAAAATCGTGACGGAAAGCCATCCATGATTCAGTGTTTTCCGTGGAGCGGAAAAATTAGTTAGGTTTTTTTCAAAATATTTGAAAGACTTGTAAGATGTAGCACATGGATTCAAAGAGAAGTAGCAAATCTTTAATAATTGTGGAGGTTTTATTGACGGTAAACATATTACTAATATAAAATTAGGATACTAAAGCCTCCTAAACCAGAAGCATTACAACTATAAAATGTTTTATGGCGCTGTTTTAATAGCTGTGGTAAAATCAAATTGAGTTTTTATTCGTAGACGTTAGAAATCAGGAAAGTATGTCAGATGAAGGAGTTATTGCAGATACTGTATTCTACGAAAAAAATATTGATAGCTCTTTAAATTTGCTAAACATTGAAGATAGTGATGAAAACTTAATTTTTTTCTTTATAGGCTATGAAGCTTTTGCTTTGAATGAACATGTTTTAAAAACCATATTCTCAAAAAAATGTTTCTTACGAAAAACTTATTTATATTAACTTATTTATTTATATCTCGAGCTCGCAACCCAGTTGAAAACGATTTTGGTTTAATTACATAAACTTTTAGAATACTACACACACCTATAAATTGACCACCTATAAAAGCCAAAGTTGTTGTGATGGCTATTTGCGTCTTACATAATAATAATATTGGTTACACAAATAATTTAACGTTCGACACAGAAAATCGAATTACCCATGATATTAAACCTATAAAGAGATTATAATCACTTATTTATTTTTTATGTAATGATTCTATCGCATCTACAGCTTCGTATCAATAAGTTCTTAAAAGTGATTACAATAGTTTCAGTTATAATATAATAACTTCTAAAATTTATTATCATTGTTGTTTATTTCTTAAGTAGAAAACATGTCGAGTTAAAAAGTTTTTTTTTTTAAATTTGTTTGGACATTATAATTTTAAAAAAATCAAGGCTCTCGGTTAACGATTTCTGTCAGTATACAATAGAAAAAAAATGTCTAGAAGTTTAAATTGTTCCAGCTATTAAAAAAAAAAAAGTATAAACACTAACACCAGTAGTGTTAAATACAATTTACAAAAAATCAGAGTACAAAAAAAATCGTCTTTTTTTTAATTGACAAGTATGCTGTTTCAATTGTTTTTCTTAACATTATTGCGTGTTTTATGTTCACAATACTTAGCTATACCTATGCATTAATACTTATACGGTGTATCGAATACTATCTCTTGGTTTTATTAACCATATAGGACAAATAAATGGTATTTTTTACTTAGGATTTGATCATAACGAAACAATTTTCAATAATAAACAATTAATTTTGTATTTTTTTTTACTGTCAAAGAAAAAAATTATGATAATGTCACCTGATGCTATTTTAGCTAAAACTTTTGTAAGTTGTCGTATAAGCCACATATATTATAATGTTATATGTTTTGTCGACCTAGAATCAAAAAAATACCTACTAAATTTTGGCTAAAGTAAATAGAAAACTATGTTCTATTTTTTTTTTTGTAAAGTCTTTTCGTCGAAAAAGTCGTGGTGTTTAATAAAGGTTCACACAAGAGAAATATTATTGATACAGATGTGCCATGAAAAATGACTACGAGTAAAGGCATTGGCGCGAAAACAGCATATAAGAAATTTTAACAAATAATAACTTAAATACTATTTTTTTAACCAGACAAAGTATTACGTAACATTTAAGATTAATGGTGTTTTATTAGAAATAGTTAGAAATGTATTCACAATAAAATTGACCAACGTTTTATGTTTAAACGAATATAAATAATCTGTTACTATTATTACTATTTTCTACTTAAGCACGTCTATTAATAAGCGTAACTGGAAAGGCATTGTAAAGTCTTTAGTTCGGCGGAGCCTATAATAATTTTCTTGGTTTTTTGTGAACAAATTGGTTCCACATAGTAGTGAGTTAGTGCTACGGCAGTAACCTTAGATTAGGTGTTAGGAGGTCAAAACATGGCCGTTGACCAGGGGCACAAGGAATGTTTAAATAAAAAAAAACATATCGTGGTTTTTGTATCTTTTTTTAAAATTATTTTGTTTTAATATGATTCATATATTTGTTAATTGAGTGGGGCGCCGGGAAAGCCAGTAGGCATAAAAACCGTTTGGAGAAAATTGAATTAAAACAACAAGATGCTTATTGGTGAGTCATATTTTGATGTCTGTCAGTTCACAGAAAATGATGTGAAGAGGCAAAGGGGAATTTCAAGTTGCGTCAGCGGCGTTCAGGTGGCGGAGTAGTGTCACCCGTTGATGATACCTACCGCTTGACAATCCAGGTTACAAACAGACAAAAAACGCGCCTATTTATTTTAAACACACATAGTGAATTTTGTAGCATTACATATTTTATTCCAAATTCAAAATACATCCAGTTATTTTATGTAACTTATCTTGCGGGCATTGTTACCAAGTCATTTTTTAACACGTTACCTAAACGTTAAAAACGACCAACAATAGGAAAATATTGGGAGTATTTACCAACTTTTTCTCGAAAGTAAAATACAATGTGTAATAACACATAAAAATGAAAAAAATAACTGTTTTCTCCTTGTATAGCAAAATATTTTTTTTATTTCTTAAAAAAAAACGAGTGCAAATAAATGCGTAGTGTTATTATCACTCATACACCTAAGGAGTCTTACAATGATGTATTGCCTTGTTTTTTCGTTTCGTTATTTATTTTTGACGCACAGATGCGATGGTAAAATAATGTTTTTGCATAATATATTTTAACGTTAACTGAAAAAGTTTTACATTCATAAATATACAATATTTACGAATACATGATAGAAAACAACAAGCTTTAGGTTTATATTATGTTTGCACTCACCTGAGTAAATTTAAAGAGTTTTTAGTTAATATCAAAAAGCACTTGCATACCTACCTACCAGTCTTATTTAACTGTTCAGTACATAAGGTTTTTTTGTTTTACACGTAAGCGAATTTCGGTTAGAAACTAAAACAAAGAAAATGTTTTTCAAAATACCCGTTCTATTATGCGTTTTATACTTTTTTACAGTAGCTTGGGTAAGAATAACAGATAATAATAACAATTGAAATTTAAGAATTTATAATATTATAAGTTTAATATAGTTAAATAATTTAATATTAATTTTTCTCATTAGATTGCACGTATTATACTTTACAGAGCTATGGATTAGACAAGGACCAAATCGACGAATTAGTTGTTCTGTACCAGAAGCACGATAAAGCACAAAGCAGTAATATTAAAAATGAGGCTATATTTCCCCACGAAGATACCGTTACTTACTTAGAGCAAGTAAAGTATACAGGTGATATCGAACGATTTCAAAAAAAAAAACCGAAAAGCAAGCAAAAAGGTAATGTTTTAATATTTTTCTTTATACATAATAATACTGCTATTGAAAATCATTGAAGTGCTTCAGATATTTAAAGTGGGGGAAAGTGTACAAAAAACATACATAATAGGTATCAAATCAAAAGTGAGTAATAGGGACTTCTTAATAATATGTTATAGCCCAAATTTTTTAAGAGATAATATAATGTTTTTATTTCATTGATTTAACAAAAAGCATTGATCTCGTAACGACGTAACTCGTTTTCTGTGCACCAAAAAATATGATACTCGAAAACAATAGAAACTAAAGATATTTACACTGTTTGTTTTCTGTAAGTTCATACTTCCCTAAGTTAAACTTAATAGGCATGTTATTAACTCCTACTATCGCTGAAAATTATTTTGCTTCGCCGAGCACAATTTTAGCTTTGTTAAAAAACTGTATTTTTTTTTTTTGTAAATGTATGATTATCTTTTTTTAATTGCCAATATATTTGTGTAGAATTTGTGGTCAATAACAAGACCATGCCGCAGTTTTTGATAATGTTGGCCAATAACAATAAGACATCTGACTGCTTGTTGGTAATACCGAAATAGTTTTATTTAAATTTAAATTATTTACTTACAATTACCCTATGGGGAGAATGATGACATTTGAAATATTAGGATTTCTTGATTAACTTCAATCCGAAAAAATACTTTTTCCAGTATTTCAACTTATCACTATAAGTCCCCGTAAAGAATTAAAATAAATATATTGAAAAAAAATACATCCTGTTGGTATTCAAAATTAGGTTCAAAGTTATATTATTAATAATTATTACGCTCTTCTAATATACATAATTATATTTGAATAAAAAAAAAAAAAGATTAATTTATGTTATTAATTTGTTCTCTTGTATTTGCAATTATACCAGAATGAAGGTTTAACATCATATGAAGTAAACATTTTCATGGAAATGTTCATCATACATGATAAAAGAAGAGACGGGGTCTTCGGCGAAAAAGAATTAGATGTGTTACTTAATGCCCAGTTTATAGGTGGCCATAAAGTGATTATGATGGAAAAACTTGCAAGTAATGTTCATTTTAAGAGTCAGTTAGTAGTTTAATGAACTTAAGAGTTTCAATTTATTTTTAGAAAAAGTACCAGTAAATGCACTATTGTACTTGGAGGCAATATTGAAAGAAAAACCCAGGGTAGGAAAATGCTTAAATTAATATTTTTTATTTGTACACCTCCATAATATTGATTGTGATTAAATAAGTCTTTTGTAAACTTTAAATTGATACTGATTTTTCAAAAAGTTATATGTCTTTAGGATCACACTGCACACTTATGCCTATTTATACTACATTTAAATGTATACTACAGTCTTCACACCTATACCTTTAATCTAATTTTGGACCTAAAATCCATAAATTACGCCCAAATAAGTTAAAAAAAGATACATTTTTGTGGGTCAATCGATGGATATTCTAAGATTACCGGAAAGTTAAGATAGAAAAAGGAAAATAATCCCCTTTGAAAAGATGAATAATTTTCATAATTTGGTTCATGTAGGTACATAATACGATTTATCTTTAGGCTAACATAAAAAAAAACGTAATAAATTAAATAAGTTTATAGTGTGTAAACAGTAAAAATTACAAATATATGACAAACAAAACATAAGAAATATTTTTAAAAAAAGCCATTTTTTTTCTTCTCATTTTATATAATTATTTATATTACCACATAAACTCAACCATCTTAGTATGTAATCATAATTATTATAAATATTTAGTTTCATCAACACCTGAACAAAGCGCAGATAGACAAATGTCACGCTTTATACGACAGTTCTAAAAATCACCTTGATAGGAAAAAACAAAAAGCGTTATTTGAGACGTTGAATATTGTTCCCGATAAGTATCATTACTTATTGGATATGAAGTCTGCCCGTAAGCATAAAATAGTAATATTTTATAATTTATTTAATATAATTGAATGGCGTTATGCAAAAAGCAGCCATCTCACAAATCTATGTTTGGGAAAAATTTGATGTTTTACAAAACAATTTTTTAACCCGTCACTGGTCGCATGGGTTATGAATGTACCCCAGTCACATTTAGTCACACTGTGATTCGGGTAATAAATGTACACCGGTCACACTTTCTTTATGTGTGGCCAAAAATCGCACGACTAGTAACAGGTTAAAATTCATAATATTCTGTTTGTTTTTGAAACATTGATAAATAAAGCGACAATCAAAATGTTTCTTTTGCATTTTACAAAATGCGAAATAAGACATTTTGTATCAAGTAGTATCGAAATCTAATTTTATATGATTTTGATGGTATGGATGCTTTCTGCATAATGACATTTAATTATAATTTATAAAAAAAAACAAAATATCCAATCATTTGTTTATAGGACCCGCCACTCATGAGTTACAAGAGCTTTTGGTATTTTTGTCGGAATATGACAATGATTTCGTGAAAACAGTAATGTTGTTAATTTTGAATCTATTAGGCTTGCATGTGCTGTTTGCATTATGCAATATGCATACATAGTATGGTACGACGAATAAAATTATACATTGATGATTCTGCAGGAACCTTTTATAGCTCACGTTAGGCAGTATGTACATGATTTCTCTGTCTACTATGACAAAGACCGTGATGGTTTGCTCAACATTCAGGAATTTGAAGAGGCCACTAAAGAAATTAGCCCTGAATACAATTCGGAAACTTTTTTGAATAAATTTTTTCCCAACGGTAATTTTTATAAATAACTCCGATGACCATTTTGTCTTAACTAAAAATAAATATTTTTCTAATTTCAGGTACTCCTATATGTATTGCAGAGTACTTGAACATGAGATTATCTTTGGATCCAAAAGATCGCAATATGAAAATTCGAGGGTATACGCCCTTTTATTAATATTGTCCTTAATGATGTTTGTTTCATTTGACGCGTGTTGTAAAATTAAGTTTTGTATATTTTAAAAGTTGAATTAGTACATCATAACTTTGTTTAAAAAATTAATGTATACTCGTAGTTTACGTAAATTTACATATTCGCGGGTACTAATTATATCTTTTGGACTTGTTATATATTTTGTGGGCTAATTATATTATAATAATAGTGTGATAATTGTGTGTGGTTAGCTTTATTACTATGAGTATTGTTGTTTGAAAGTGTTCTAAAGACAATACGTCATGTATGTCTCTAATTTATTCAACGGTTTCACCTTGAATATAGCCATTTGGGCAATACTAGTTTTCGTAGTCCCTAACTTTTGTTCCAACACGGAGTCACAGGTCCAGCTTAGATTATAACTACATATGTTCTCACGATTGACAATCGTATTATGTGTCACTGGCTAATTATAGTTCTATAGTGTGAGTTACGTTCACTGGCTGTGGTATAGTTCCTAAAAATAATACTTTCATTATCTGATGGCTGTTGATACTACCATATCAACCTGGGAATTGACTACGGTTAATGTGTAATTTTCCTCTTTTTTTGTGGTTATTCCATTTTTTTGGATGTGTTTTTCGATTTTAAAGGGGAAGATGTGAATATTTTTAAGTTCTGGCCCAATAAAGTACTTTTCAGGTACGATTCCTGCTCTATAAAGTTGCCACATGATGAAATCGATTCAGCGGTTTAAAAATTATCGAGGGCCCAGACACACAAAAAAAAAAAAAAAAACCACCATTGTAAATACAATACTTTCTCAGCTCCACATCGAAGCTAATAGTCAAGGCCAAGACTCAATTCAAGTGGTCAGTATAGTATTTTAATCAAACATTAAGTAAGTATAAAGCAATTTTTTATATTAAACATATTATAATTAAAACGAATAAAATAAAAAATATTGAAACAAAATAAAATTAAATCCACAAATTATAGATAATTATTTATTTAAACAAAAAACAGTAGTTTATTTGGTTTTAATGTAAAGTTAATTAAATTTATTTTATGTATGTTTTTAATAATTTAAAAGACCTTTAAACCAAAAACTAACAAAATTAATAGGCCGACCGGTGAGGACCAAGTTAGCTAAAATCCCGGTCAATAAGTCCACACGACATTATTAATACGAATTAATTTATATATTACATACATTTGTGTGTTTTGAACAGAAATTTTATTTTCTGCAACCAGTTTTTAGCATCGTCTTGATATTTTGCTAAATATTCCGCCTGCTGTAAGAAATGTCTGTAAGTATTGTTTAAGACTAAATTCTTTAAATTTAAATTAATTTTAATTATAATATTTGTATAATTTATGGCATGTAAAATATTATATAGTATTTTGCAACAGTGCTGTGTACCTCAAGTGACATTTAAAAAATGTAATTTTACGATATTTAGGTCTAATCAATCGCCAATATATATTTTGAAAAGATAAAATTCAACAATGAAAAAAAAATTTAATATAGTACATTTTATTAGGTACTTTGAGTATCACGGGACTTATTAGTTGTTTTAAATTTTATACATTTTAATTGATAAATATATGGTAAGTTATATTATTAATATTGACCTGTAAATTCAGTAAAAGATCATATTCAATTTTTTATCTATGATAATTTATTAATAATTTTTTTTTTAATTTTTTTAAACTCATTTTCTCTGAAAATAATTTTATGTTGCAGTTTTTCTTCATGGAAATGTTTTAGTGTTATTTTACAGTAATAAGCAGTAAATATTCAAATTTGTATCTATTTTGATAATGTAATTAGTTCTATCAGCTCATTAAACATGAATGGTAACGTATATATTTTGTTAGATTTTCAAATTAAAGGAGCACACAACACAAAACTTATATTTTTATCTGCATTACTTAGCTGCACCCCTACTCCCGTCCTAAATTTTAAACTCAAATAACTTTAAAAGTAGTTATTTTAACCTGGTTATTGACCAGCCAACATTATCAATAGATTAATCTCATTTAAAAAAGTACACGTTTTCATTAGGTTTTCAAAGGCTTAGAGTACTCTGGAAAATATTATATTAGTATTTCAGTACTATAAAATATAATAATAAATTTCAAAATTAAAATAATGAATTTATATTAATTGAAAATTTAATTATTAATTAAATTTACTTAACAATTATATGTATTTCAGTTAGCTAAAGGTTAACTCGGTTCAGGCAGAATCTGCAGTAAATATCGCACTCAAGTATACTGAAAAACATGGCCTTTTAAAATGTGAAGAACAATCCAAAAAGGCCACCTGGGGTAAGTTGGATACATTTTTGTTTTATTTATTCAGTGTGTAATCAGTTAGATATTTAATAACGCTTGATGAAAAATTTGAGCCGTTATACATAGCTAAGTTTCTCAGACGGTCGAAAAAGAAAAGCGAGCTGCATAAAATAGCTCCCAGTGGATATTATGTATAATCAGATTAATAATCTGATTATATTTTTTTGTGTGGGTAACAAAATAATTATCAAAATAGAATAAAACCTTATACAAAAATTTTAATCTTTAATTAGATATGTGGTCTAAGTACAGAGTTATTTCAAATAAATTGTATGATTTTAACTAGTAATTTTATTTTACAAAACTATGATATTTCATTATACGATTATGTAGGAAATACATAAGGCCGATAGGTAATGGTAAATGTGAAATATTTAAATAAAGTTTTTAAAATGTGTATTTATGTCATTGAAAATAGAGGCTGTCCTTTAATAAATAGAAATTATTTACATACAATTAATTAGGTAAGAATATAAACGGACAGACTAGTAGTATAAGAAATATATATCCCTGCAAAGTCTATTAAATCAACTCAGTTTAATTTTGGTAAAATTTCCACCTTAACATGTGAACATCAAAACACTAATTTTTTTAAACGTGGTTCAATAATAACAAACTATACAAAAATTAAATATTATAAAATTACAAAAATATTTTTTGTCATAATTAATTTTAAAAGTTTGTTAAAGTTATTTCATTAGTGATTAGAGTTTAGACTTAAACAGTGTCAACTTTACTTTAGCCATTTCTGATTTCTGTAAACAAAAAAATAGTATTAACATTTTTACAAGAAAATATAAGGGACATATCTTATTTAATTAAATGCTATCTAATTTTCGATTCGATTTCAACTTTTTTTCGAAGTAGCAATAAAAATTCTGTTAAAAACAATCGAGAACCAAATGAAGTCAATTGGGTCAAAATTATAAAGTTCAATCAAAACAAATCTACCAAGAAGTTGAACAATCAACGCAGTTCAAATAACTACAAATAGGATCAAAATGGCGAAACTAATAGACAAAGTGTCAAGTCGTCAAAATCACAAGTCAATCGATTGTGAGTACCAAGGCTATTCTTGTAATTTATGTCATTTTGTAGGGCTTTTAGCTCCTATGTGTATAAATAAAAGTGACAATGTTACCCAAAAAGAAAACTTATAATTCACATTATGTAAAAAAAAATATTGACATTTTTTGGGGTGTATCTGATAATTACAAATTAATACTGAATGCCTACAGCCTACATTCTCTTATAAATTAAAAATTATAATTAGATATTTGTAGTCAAGTTATGTAAAAATGATATACTAAAAGATTACTTCGCAAAACATTTTAAGCCTTTAGGCAAACTTAATTAAAATTGTGTTACTTATATAATTTTTTGTCTTACAAATATGATGAACCTAAAGATATTAAATTAAAGATAATATGCCAAAAGTACTGTAGAAAGGTCATTGAGAAAGTGTTGGGGACTTTTTCGAAGTATGAAATTACTCTTTTTATAGATAAAGATTGCCCACTACATTTTTTTAAACCTACATTATTTACAAAATAATTATTATTATTTAAAGCAAACTTTATTAAGTTGAAGTTGAAATAAATAGGTTGGTTAAAATTAAGGTTTTGATTCTAGTTGATAATTAAAAATGGACAACACCTGTGGTGATTTTAGCGTAACTTAAAACCTTGTTTTACAATAAACCTAAATTCTTTACTCAAAATTGATTATTTTTAGGAAATCATATATTTCCAGTCTATTTTAGCAGATTTAATCTTAGTGATTATTACGCACAATTCATTTTATCTGAAGAGTCTAGAAGATTAATTATAATTACTACACATTTAAGGTTAAACTTTTACACTATCTTAATATGTCGCTTAATGCTTATAATTTTAATTAATCCATGTTTGACAAATTACTTAAGCCTCTTATATTAAACAATACAACCCAACTCTGACAATAAACTACCAAAATTATAATTACTACTTCAGCCTACTCGAGTTGATATCTTTTTATCTCCGTATTATGATGTGTGCACTAACAAACTTACAGTTACATATAATATAAATCAAACAATTAATCGGTTTTAAGCTCAATGTACGGTTGACGGCCTACCTACACCAAATCTTATAGTTTTTTGAGATTATATTTTTTATTGATACATTTTACTATTAGTATACCAACTTGAACGATGGCTAGACTCTTAATGTTATCGTCTGTGATTCTGTTTAGTGCTTACCTAACGGAACAGGTGCATTTTCTTCAACCAGAGTACATCAAAAAACTAAATGAAGAAATTTCGACATGGGAGGTAACTAACATACAAATAGCAATAATTAAAAATTGTCTAACGATTAACATTTCAAAAAAACAAAAAGATATTTATATATATATATATGGGTTAGGGTGGTTCAAAAAAATTATTTTTATTATTTTTTGTTCTTCTCTTGAGAATATATTATGTGGGTGAAAAGATAACTTTTGTTATTTTTTTTAGATTATTAATCCCATTCCTAGATGTGGCTATATCGAAAGTTTAATTTTAATAGATGGAAATTTTGGATATCTTGATAAAAAAAAACTCACAAAACTATCTTAAACCATTTTTTTTTAGAATAAAAAAAATTCTATCATATTCTCCATTTAATTACAAACAAAATCGTTTTAATAAAAAAGTATTTTTTTTCTTTTAATGGTGAAAAAATAAAAAACCAACCGCAACAAAAATAATATACCGTAAAAAATAAAAAAACAATTCTAGTCATGAAACTTTTTATTTAATTATGTAGAATACTTAACAATTATTGAAAAGCACAAAAAAGAGTTTCCTGAGGCAATAAAATCCGGTATTATAAAAGGAAATTTATTAATTGTCCATATATTTGTTATTTATTTTTGTTTGTCTATAATTGTTAAGTATTCTATATAATTTTAAAAAAAGTTTCATGATTAGAAATGTTTTTTTATTTTTTTACCACTAAAAAAAAAAAATACTTTGTTGTTGTAAGGATTTTGTTTAATTAAATAAAGAATATGATAGAATTTTTTTTTATTCTAAGAAAAAAAATTGTTTAAGATAGTTTTGTGGGTTTTTTTATCAATATATCAAAAATTTCCATCTATTTTGGTCCGTAGCAATAGCATTTTCGTATTTTTTTTATCAAGTGAATATCAACATTTATTTATTTTTTTATGTTGATAATTTTTTTTTAAAAGATTTTTTTTTGAAGCAGTTTTTTATAAAAAAAATATTAAACTTTTGATATAAAATCGACCCGAACCACATCTAGGAATGGGATTAAAAATCTAAAAAAATATCAAAAATTATCTTTTCATTCACATAGCATATTCTCAAGAGAAGAACAAAAAATAATAAAAATCATTTTTTTTCAACCACCCTAATATGGGTCAATACGAACGATCGTTTGGAGCGACCCCTTCGGATTTTATTGAAAATTACACAACATGTCTGTTACAATAAAAAGACTGTTCCCAATTCTTTTTGGATTTTTTTGGATTATTTTGACCATGGTCGTTTAAAGAATTTGGAACTTTTTTTTATCATTTTTTATGGTATTTTCGGCCATCAACATTTTTTAAAATTAAAAATCAGTTTCTTATGTAAAATAATCTCAGCTTTCTGAAAAAAATATTATAAACATTTTCATGTTGTGGGCAACACGAAAACACCAACATTTTAGATTATAAACTCAATTTCAATAACTTCTATGATTCTCTGAGAAATAAATCAAAATTGTTTTCAGAAAGATGAGGTTATTTTACGTAAGTAACTGATTTTTAATAAACTTTAATACCATAAAAAAAAAGTGTCCAGAAAAAAACTGCAAATACTTTATACTTCAAACTACCAAAATCGTCTACAACTTGAGTATCTGCCCAGACATCAAGCGGAGTGCACGTACGTTGGCTGTACAAAACTGTTTTATTAAAATAAACAGTTAAAGTTTAATTGTTAATTAAAATTTAGTTAGTTTTAGTTTTTTAATTAATTGTTAGTTAAAGAAATTAAATTTGAAAATACATTTTTTGTAATTTCTGAAAACATTTTTTTTGAGTTGCTACAGTTTTGATCTATGTGTGTGATATGGTACTGGGTGCCCAACAGAGTAATGTTATTTTTATCTGCGCGAATTATCCAGCCGCACTCCACCTCTAATCCTAAATTTTAAATTTTTAAAGTAATTATCTAAAACTGGCTTTCGACCAATTAAAATTTTCTGAAAAATATTCTTAACAAAATGGCTATGTTGAAAATAAAAATTTATTAAAGTAAAGCAGTTGTGCAATGAAATATGCATCGTTCGTCGCGCAAATAAGTATATATTAATTTAAACAAAAATCCTAATAATATTTACTAGAACAAAAGTTTTTTATTTATCAAATCATTGTGAGACACCCAGCACCTTGTATTAAGGAAAATCGCGAAACCCCTATAGCAGTAGGTAAGCTACTAGTAAGCTAGTAGCAATAGGTAAATGTTTAATTTTCTACTATTGATATAATAAAAAAATATTAAAAACAAATAGAAAAGTTATCTTATCGATGAATTATATTGTTGTATCGGTTTCATAGGACATATAAAAATTACGGTATGATTAATAACAAACGATTTTTTATGTTAAATATTTAGCTTAATTTTTTCAGTAGTTTACTTATTACGAAACGTTTTTAGGCTGGAGAAAATTTTCCTCCCGATACTTCTATTGAATATTTAAAAGGGTTGATGGGATCTTACGGTGTAGAAGCTGCAGCCGAAGGTCCATTCAAGACCCACGATTCCAATTACGAATCCTTTCACTACATTCCCAGAAATTTCGACGCCAGAAAAAAATGGAAGCGTTGTAAAACGATCGGCATGATTCGTGACCAAGGAAATTGTGGTTCATGTTGGGTAAATATCTTTCATGAGGACAAGCACTTATCGACAGCTAACTATTTATTTCCAACAGGCTTTTGGCACTACTAGTGCATTTTCCGATCGGTTGTGTATTGCCACTGACGGTGAATTCAACGAAATGTTGGCGGCCGAAGAACTCGCGTTCTGCTGTCATTTGTGTGGCTTTGGGTGTCACGGAGGATATCCCATTAAGGCATGGAAGTACTTCGTAAGACACGGTATCGTCACCGGTGGTGGCTATGATAGCCAACAGGTAAATTAAATTAGTATTTAATGAAAATACACAAATGCTTTAACTAGTGGCTAATAAATAAGGTGTCCACTACCAAACCTAGACTAAAGCCTAAATATTTTTAATTTGAATACTTAATATGCTAAACATTATTCTGGTAATAGAAATTAGTAATCGAACAGCGTGTTAATGCGGAATATAAGTCTATTTTGCAGGTAAGACATTGGGAGTTTTCACTATATATATATAAAAATGAATTCTTGTTTCTTTGTTTGTCCTTTATGTATTAGTACACCAGTCATCCGATCGCCATGAAACTTTGGGAATTATTTTACTCACCCCTGGCAGACTAAATCTCGGGCAACGTCGGGTCCAGACAGCTTGTTTAAAATTATAATTAAATGTTGTTTCAATGTGAAAATATTTAAGTTGTTAACAGATCACTAAAAATAATTAACGATAAATTATAAAAATAAATGAAGCGATTTGTCATACTTACCAGTATTACAATAAATATGCATTGAGCCGGGAACGTCTTAATAATTATCGTGGTTGGACTCCTCGTCAGGTCCTTAAGTAGCAAAAAGTAGTAGGACGAATTTGTAAGGGATAGTGTGTAATGTTAGAGCTTACTGACGACGGTTCTAATTACGGGCGATCTTTTTTTAGGCAGACAACTGTTTAGAGAGTAACTATTATTCTCCTTGTTCAATTATTATCCAGCTCAATAAAATACATACGCAATAATACTAATATCAATAATGTATCAAATTTTTACAATTTATTTTAAATACAATCAAGTGGAGTGTAGTATTATTTTTATCTGCGCGCATTTCCCAACCGAACTTCCCCTCCCATCCTAACTTTTCATTTAAAAAGTTTTAAACTCTTATAATTTCCAAAATAGTTATCCGAAACTGGTTATCGACCAGTCAATATTTGTAATATATTCTCTATATAAAAAAGGTGATAAAATATATACGTTACCATTTAAGTTATAAAAGCTACTATCATAAAATCTAAGTTGAGAGGGGGGTAAAAACCAAAACAAATGTGAAAAATTGAGATCACATTGTATAAAAACAATATGGAAAAAAAAATTAAATTATTAATTAAACCCAGTGAAATATTGACTGGTTCGTGATAAAAGAATCACCCTGTATATGCGCTAAAATAAATTGTGTTTTAAATCTAGACACAATGAACAGTTTGTAAGATTATAATGAATTTTATGAGGTACCTAATGAATAAAATACTATATCGAGAGTTAAAAATATTTCAATAAATAAAAAATAATTGAAACATTTTTACTGAACATTCGTTTATTTGATTGGAAACGTTTTTGATTACATTTTTTTTCCTCGAAATTCCATTTAAATAAAAAGTTTAATTGTTTAATTTTTTGCATTATATTGTTTTTGACACTTCAAATTGGGAACACAGGAAAGGGGAAAGATTGAGGCACTTAGCTAGCATTATATTTTGTCTGAAAAGCTTATTGCACTACATGGTTTTACTAACTAAAATGTGCATTTATCTGTAGGGATGCCAGCCATACCGTGTCCCACCTTGTGTTCACGGTGTTCCGCCAACTGAAGAAAACTCTTGTCAAAGTGCACGGTTCGAGAGGAACCACAAGTGCACTAAAGAGTGTTACGGTGACACAGAAATCGATTACAAAGACGACCACAAATATAGTAATATATTATTTATTGTTAACAACAGTAATAAATCCTAATTGTAATTCGACGGGTTTTTGCTTTGTTAAATATAAATATAGCCAGAGACGCGTACTACCTTACACCTGGAACCATCCAACAAGACGTTATGCGATACGGTCCAGTAGAAGCGTCTTTTGACGTCTACGACGATTTCGTCACTTACAAATCCGGTATTATACATACAAAAATTAACTAATGCGCACTTACTTATCATACAAAAATATCTAGGGATCTATGAAAAATCGGAAAATGCTTCGTACTTGGGAGGTCACGCCGTGAAATTGATCGGATGGGGTGTGAAGAATGGAATTGAATACTGGTTGATGGTGAACTCGTGGAATAAATCCTGGGGAGATCAAGGAACGTTCAAGATCCGAAGAGGCACAAACGAATGTGGAATTGACAACTCGACGACAGGCGGTGTGATCATTACTTCTTAAAAAATTACCGATGTGCACATAATATTATTTACTTATTGTATGATAAATAACTTAATGAATACATAATATACATATAATGGTTTCAATAATAAATGACAACTTTTAAATTAAACAGTATATAAATAAAAATTAATTATGGCCCAGTAAAATACTAAGTAAAATTGATTACTTTGAACTTGCTAAGACTATTTTGCAGCATGCGTTCTCAGGCATTTAATGATTAATTTATTGCAACAGTTTGTACAAAAGTTTCTTAAAGTCGGAGGAACGTAGTTAATGTGAATCCTTTAAAGTTTGCTTTTAAAGCAAATGGGTATAATTTAAATTTGTTACAACTGACGTGTGCGAGCATATCAACTAAATATTCCTCATAAATTTCAACTCGACCCGACTCTTTTTCTCGAAATTAAAGCCAGTAAAATTTCCATCTTAAAAACTCGTATGGTTTTTTTCAAATTTTAACTATGAAGAAGTAAACTTTTTCAACTCTAACCCCCCTCCCCCCAACGTACCAACTAGATGAAATTTGTGGTTTATAGAGTTGCTACTCGAAGGTATTGGTCCAGTATTCAAAAAGTTACAGTGTACACAGACAAAAAAAAACCCACATCATGGGAGAACCAATACCTTCGCTGCTCTGCATCGAAGCTAAAATGTAGTAGAATTTTCAATTTATATATTTTATACATGTTGTTATTGGCATATTATTATAACTATATCATAGTTGATAGCACTACTAGTCTTTTTAATTTATCAATGAATAAGCCAATCTATTAAATTGTAGTATGGTCTATAGTTGCCTGACCTATATTACGTTTATAAGACCGTGCATTCTACTTACAACTGACTAGTTGAGATTTGAGATATTTTGTAATTTAAAATTACAAAGAAAATTAATTATTTTATTTAATGAGGTATAATTTACATGGTGTATATTATATAGAGGGTTAGCATTGTGGTGATAACTAAAGCCACCATAGTTAATAACAGTGATACTTTTTTTATAAGAAATATTTAAAAAAAGGATTTGTCATTCCATTTCCTATTATATTCATTACAGTTTTTCCTCTAAAGTTACCATGGTCCGAGTAAAAAGGCGATTGTTGGCTAGAATATCTGCCAGTCAAATATGAAGGCAGAACTATTTCAATTGTTGGTTTAATTCCTGATTTATAGTATACATTGTTTATATAATAAGTCAGAATTTTTACTTGTACTTTGAGTTATTATGACGTTTCGCGTACCTACTTATTACGTTGCTTAATGCTTATAATTTTTCTTAATTTATATTGATATGTTTGTGAATGCTCTTATATGTTAAAATATAACCAAATTCTAATAATAATCTATCAAATTAAGTACTGCTACAATCTACTCGAGTAGGTAACTTTTTATCTTTGTAACAAGATGACTGTACTTACACATTTACACGTTCATATATTATATTATATAAATCAAAAAATCTATCGGTGTTGAGCTCAATGTACGTTTGACTGCCTACCTACACCGAAAATTATAGTTTTTAGGGGTTATATTTTTTATTGATACATTTTACATTTCTACTTTTAGTATACCTACTTGCAACGATGGCTAGACTTTTAATGTTATCGTCTGTGATTTTGCTTAGTGCTTACGTAACGGAACAGGTGCATTTTCTTCAACCGGAGTACATCAATAAACTAAATGAAGAAATATCGACATGGGAGGTAACTAACATACGAATAGTAATAATTAAAAATCATCTAATGATTAACATTTAAAATATATATATTTGGTGATTCTTTTAAAGCCTTACACCAGTTTTCTCTTTAAATAATTGATATTTTTCAGTTTTCTTATTGAAAACATTTTTGTTAATGCCAAAATACATTATTAGACAATATTTTAATTTTTATTCTTTTCAGTATTTTCTAGAGATTTATCAACATTTAAAACTATTGAAACAATAATTCCCTCCCATTATCCACTGGGAGAGTTTTCTCGTTTTATTTTTCATTTGCCTTAAATAGTAAAAAGAGCCAGTAAACCTTTCCTTTTGTACATACAGGTCAACATGAAATAATTATTTAACAATTTTGATGTTAATTTTTTTTCTTACTGTTATATTCTACTACGTACTATTCGCGAAAATCCTATGAAATGTTATAAGTTAGTAGCCAATAGGTAATTATTAATTAGTCTCTTTTTCATCTATCGCCTTACTTTCTGAACTACATGGAGTCGGTCATCATTAAATACTAATTGATATAATTAAATAATAGTAATAAAGAGGAGGAGTGGCCGAGTGGGTAAGGCGGCAGTGTGTTAGCGCTCACTGTCGCCGGTTCGACACTCGGTCACAGGCGCTCCGTTTGCTGGGCGAGCAATCGTTCGGTAAAAAGGAACCGCCATCCCCCTCTCCGGCGACGGATTGACGACCCGTCCCGGAAGCGAATTCGTCAAGAGACCATCTCATGATGGCAGCGTTGGGCCTTCATGGCCCGTTAAGCTACATGATGATGAAATAATAGTAATATAAAAAAAATAATTGTATGTTTTTGTTAAATAATTAGCTACATTTTTTCAGTAGTGTACTTATTAAGAAACGTTTTTAGGCAGGAGAAAATTTTCCTCCCGATACTCCTATAGAATATTTAAAAGGGTTATGTGGATCTCACGGCGTAGAAGCTGCAGCGAAAGGTCCATTCAAGACCAAAGATTCCAACTACAATTCCTTATTCCACATTCCCGAAACTTTTGACGCCAGAAAAAAATGGAAGCGTTGTAAAACCATCGGCGTGATTCGCGACCAAGGAAATTGTGGTTCATGTTGGGTAAATATTTGTCGTGAGGACAAGCACTTATCGACAGCTAACTATTTATTTCCAACAGGCTTTTGGCACTAGTGGTGCATTTTCCGATCGGCTGTGCATTGCCACAGACGGTGAATTCAACGAACTGTTGTCGGCCGAAGAACTGGCGTTCTGCTGTGATTCATGTGGCGAAGGGTGTCTCGGGGGAGATCCTATTAGTGCGTGGCAGTACTTCAGTACAAACGGTATCGTCACCGGTGGTGGCTATGACAGTAATCAGGTAAACTAGTATCTAATGAACATATATAAAAGCTTAAACTTGTGACTGATTAATAAGGTGTACACTACCAAACCTAGACTATAGACTTATGGTAGGTGATGATTTAAGGAATAGACCGATTCTATGTACCAAGATTCTGGGTACGCTATTTAACATTTTCAGGATGGAAACTGGACCTGGGACTGGAACTGAGACATTTGAGTAAGAAGGGGGTATAATCAATATAATGTAATGTACATATGTAGATCCAAAAAAACGACAAGTCCATACTATTTTGTGTTTCAAACCTCTCTTTGAGATTTGAAAGCTAATCGTACTACAAGTTTTTGCTGAATAATATGTGCATTTCTTGAAGGGATGCCTGCCATATTATGTCCCACCTTGTCGTCTTCACGGTGTTTCGGCGGAACAAGAAGGTGCTTGTCGCAGCCAACCGATGGAGAGAAACCACAGGTGCGTTAAAAAGTGTTACGGAAACACAAGAATCGATTACAAAGAAAACCACAGATATAGTAATATATTATTTATTGTTAACAACAGTAATACAACTTCGTCGTAATTCGACGGTTTTTTTCTTTGTTAAATATAAATATAGCCAGCGACGCGTACTACCTTCTACCAGACAACATTCAAGAAGACGTTTTGGCTTACGGTCCGGTAGAAGCGTCTTTTTTTGTCTACGACGATTTCGTCAATTACAAATCGGGTAAATGTAGATAAAAAACTTAACTCATTCGCACTTATTTATTATAAAACAAAATTAGGTGTCTATGAAAAATCAGAAAATGCTTCGTGCTTGGGAGGTCATGCCGTGAAATTGATTGGATGGGGCGTGGAGAAAGGAATTCCATACTGGCTGTGTGTAAACTCGTGGAATGAAAACTGGGGATATCAGGGAACGTTCAAGATCCGAAGAGGCACAAACGAATGTGGAATCGACTACTCGATGACAGCCGGTGTGCCCGTTATTGACTAAAAAATTACCGATGTGCATATAATATTATTTGTGTTGTATGATAAATAACTTAATAAATAAATAATATGGAAAATAGTTTCAATAATAAATGACAGCACTTAAATCAAACAGTAAATACAATTAAAATCAAGTATAAAATGTAGTTAAAATGTATTATTTATAAATTATAATACATTTTTAATAAATATATATATATATATATATATATTTAATAAACCACGTGGCCTAGATCTATCAAACAAATTACTTTTAGGGGACATGTGTGGGTTCGTGCTAAGAGGTGGCACCAAATACGCCACAAAATATGAATACATGTCAAATAGGAGCGCCAAATATGATTTTTCTAAGTGTTAATAATAACATTGATTATAAATAATATAGATAGTCCACCGGAATGAATTTTTTGCTGCGCGTAAATTTATTGTTGCCGTGGTAGAGCGCTTTATACTGTTTTTAGTTATTGTGGTAGATACCATGAGCGCTGACGATCGATGCCTAGGCTTAGTACAGCCAGGAACGAGGAAGCTGTCATAGGTTCCCAAGCCATTCTATAGTATATATTATGTTCTTGTCAATAACTAGGTTCAACCACAATGCCGTAATTAAATATTGTGATATAACAATTTTAATTTTTGTGATGTGATAAACGTACAATTGATAAAAAAAAAAATTATATTTTATTCTAATAATTCTAAATAGAATATATTATTATTGTTATTCGATCATTATTTTCTAATTTTTTTAATACAATTAATACAATTAATTAACCAGTTCTGGCCTATATTATTATACTCATAGTTCTAATTTCCCTGAACTTTATGGCCAAATTATGTACTCTAACTTATACATTAGTAGGATTTTTAAAAGTACCAGTCAAAAGTATAGAAATCTCTTAGGATGGTCAAAATTGTTCTTGTTTCTAGTTTGTTTCAGTCTTACTCTTCTTTAACTCGTATCTGTTATTGATTATATGATATTGTATTTTATGTTAAGTTTTAACATAGTCACTATCAACATTTATCTACAGTGTTTTAATGAATGGAATTGTACATACATAATTTAAACAAAAACTTAAAATGGGAAATAAATGTTTATATTCCATTAACAGTTTACCTATGACATTTGATAATATATGAAGTGTTGTTTTATAAAACAACAAAATTGCAGTTTTTAAAAATTGTTTAGAATATTTGATCAAAATATTAAAATATTAAATAAATTCAGTAACCTATTTAATTGCAAATGGAAAATATCTGTTGCATAGAGATGGACTATGTATTTATTGTTGTGTTCATAAATCGAGTTTAATGTTTCCCAAATATTAGGGATTATTATTTTTTTTTTTAAATAGTGGTTCATTTAATGGTTATTATCATACCGCATACGTATTAAAACCAAACTTGATTTGTAAGGTTGTTTAATATTTATACTCATACTAAATGTAATATTGACTCGCGAACATCCGCGAACACTGAATATTATTAATAATAAGTTATGAATAATAACTAGAATATTATGGTTAAGCCAGTAGAAGCCTACCACACACGCATTAGTGTTTAATAAGTTCCAACTTACGATTTAAATTAAGTTATTATAATAACAAAGTTATCTAGATATATAAATTTAGTAATACTTTACTTTCATTATTAATTAAAAGTTAAAACAGTTATGATAATATGTTGTGATAACATAAACCACTGTGGTAACTTGAGAGCTTCTGATCATCTGGGAACCTATGACCGAATATCCCAGGAACGACGCAGTGCCCATGCGCGACGATCGTCAGCGCTCACGGTACCTACCGCCATAACCAAAAACAATATTATTAGTATCTTATTAATTTTAGAGTTCAACGAATCCAACCATTGCAAAACTGCAACATAGCCACCGATTTATTTTGAAAGTTTAAAAACGATTAGGCATAACCGAAGGTCGTTAAAAGCTTACCAAAGAAGTAACCCAGAAATTGGACGGTAATTTATAAAATCAGTGGGTTCGCCTGACTTAAAAATTGGTGTGACCCTGCTGATTTTCCAAATTACAGGGAAAATCTCTTGCTGAAGTAATTTATTAAAAAAGTAGTAGTGATTTAAATTTAAAAATCGAATAAAATATTAACAACGTACTATCATCATCAAAAATGTCTTTAAACACAAGTTCTAGTATAGATTGATGATGAAAAAATCGACACAGCTATATTGATAATCAATATCAGTCCAATACGTAAAAAAAATGTTGTTTTTTTTTTTTTGAAAAAAAAATCCCAGGAACGAAAAGGTTAAGCCTCACGACATTGAAAAAGCAGAGCTGCAGCATCCTATCTGGTCCTTTACTATGGAATATAATAAACCATTTAGTTCTTCAGAGATATCTTTCTAATTAAAATGAAACGCTAAAGGGCAAGTGAGAATATTGATCTATTGAGAGGGTAACTAAATTATTTGGTTTTGTATTAGGTGTTTTATAAACGGAAGAGAAATATAAAACAAAGAGCGCTAAAATCTGTGGGCATGATACATGTTTATCCCTAAATGCATTTCTTCGGGAATATCTGAGCCTTTATCTATATTCCGTACATTATTCCAGAATTTAGCCGGGTTAGTCATAAGACTAATTTGAGTTTTGCGTATGCATATGCGTTTTGAGAGATTTCTTTGAAGCCGCATTACATCAAGCTCGCAAACTAGAAGAGTAATAAATATCAATAGGCCATTTTTTTTTAATTATAAGAGCTTTTAGTTTTCCCACTGGGGAAAGTTATGACTTGACAAGAGCATAAATTTAATATTTATTCAAACATTTTTTTTTATATTTTTTACTTTTTACCTCAAAATATAATGTGCTAAAAAGTTAATAAATAAAAAAAATCTTAATTTTCCGGTGGTTAAAAAAAAAATAATAATTTTTCGATGTATAATTAAAGTACGCTTAATTATATTTTAACTGTGCAGGTTTCATGTTGACACCACATCGGGGGCTAATTGGGAACACAGGGTGGTTTTTTTAAATCACACCACCTAGGTCCAAAAAAAATGTTTATATATTTTTTTTAACATAAGTTGCACACACATTAGGTTATTTCACATAGAACGACTCTTAAGATATTGCCTTGGCTCATATCATAAAATGAACATAATAAACATAATGAACATAATATATAAACATAAATTGTATAGACATAGAATGAAAAACATAATATTGGTGTAATAAAAATCCGACAGATCAATGCGCCCTAAGAAATGCTGCATTTGTTACTGCGAAAAAAAAACTTAATAAATTAATCATTGAATGTTGTGTGAGAACGCATGCTGCAAAACGTTTTGAGAAAGTACACAATTTTTTTACTTGGTAATTTACTGGGCCTTAATTAATTTCAACTGTCTGCTCGATTTTAATGTTGTCATTTATTATTAAAACCATTTAACATATTATGTATTTATTAAGTAATTTATCATACAACACAAATAATATTATATGCACATCGGTAATTTTTTAGTCAGTAACGGGCACACCGCCTGTCACCCAGCTGTCGATATCACATTCGTTTGTGCCTCTTCGGATCTTGAACGTTCCCTGATCTTCCCAGTTTTCATTCCACGAGTTTACCCAGAGCCAGTATGGAATTCCATTTTCCACGCCCCATCCGATCAATTTTACGGAATGACCTCCTAAGTACAAAGTATCTGCCGATTTTTCATAGACACCTAATCATTTTTATGATAAATAAGTGTGCAAAAGTTAAGTTTTTTTATCTACATTTACCCGATTTGTATGTGACGAAATCGTCGTAGACTTCAAAAGACGCTTCTACCGGACCGTACGTCAAAACGTCTTCTTGAATGCTTTCTGGTATAATGTAGTACGCGTCGCTGGCTATATTTATATTTTAACAAAGAAAAAACCCGTCGAATTACAACGAAGGTATATTACAGTCGTTAACAATAAATAATATATAACTGTATCTGTGGTCTTCTTTGTAATCGATTGTTGTGTTTCCGTAACACTTTTTAGTGCACCTGTGATTCCTTTCCGTCGGTTGACTCCGACAAGCACCTTCTTGTTCTCCGAAGCACCGTGAAGACAAGGTGGGACATAATATGGCAGACATCCCTTCAAGAAAATGCATATTTTATTCAGCAAAAACTTGTAGTACAATTAGCTTTCAAATCTCAAAGCGAGGTTTGAGACACAAAATAATACTAACGTTAAGTGTCTCTCTTCTCCATTCTCGTGTGTCCAATTTTAATTGAAAAAAACAATTTAAAAAATAAAAGATTTTAGTAAAATGGAATTTTGAAAATAAAATAAAATCTAAAATGTTTCCAAATGAAATTTCAGTCAAAACATTTTATAAACAAATATTCAGTGTATTTCCTTAACTTAAACATGACTCGGAAGTTGTATAATTTATAAATATGTTTTGGAAAATCTTAGAACATATCAGATAAGATACAACTTTGTTTCCCACTGTCCTGATGCCATAAAAAAATTTTAAGATTATTATTTGAATAATTACTCAAGTTATTTAAGTTTAATGTGTAGGATTGGATGTGATATGCGGTAGAGTAATGCGTGCGTAAAAATACCGCGCTTTTTAATGAATTAACCAAAACTATAAAAACCGTAATGTTTAAATTGCAAATGAGTATATATTATTTAAAAAAATCAATTATTACAGTCTACATCAGTATAATGCAAACCAAGTATATTTTAATCCAGTATGGTTCAAACCAAACACAGTGTAAACCAGCACAACCGTAACTATTTTAAATTAAAATCTATAATATAATATTATTATTAGATTATTCCTTTATTTATAAAATTATATTTTCCTTTAAATGCGTTTTATATGCACAAACTAGAACTATGTTTATCACGTCATCTACCACTCAAATAATTTATCTGTTAATAAACTAAATACTTAAATCTGACAATATTATAATTATTCTACATTAGGAATAAATACTTGAATTTTTGTTTAAAATATTGAACACTCCACACGATTAAACCCAGTTTAAAACAAGCACAGTTTAAGGCAGTGCAGTCCGAACAAGTACAGCATAAACCAATCTCAATTATAAATTAGTATAGTGATTCAAGGGGGGGTATTTAATTTGAAAGTGATTCAATCACTTTCGAAAGCTTCGATGCGAATCTGCAAATAGTATAACCTTACAGTATAAACCAAGTACAGTTTAAACCAGTTGAGTATAAATTAAGTTCCGTCTATACCAATAGAGTATAAATCAAGAATAGTGATAACCTCTATAGCGAATATCAGAAAAACGGCAAAACTGAGATTGCAGACAAACTCTTGTTAACATTGGCTAAATCACGCAAGGATGCAGTGGGGGGGGGGGGGTCCATGGAGTCAGCCCCCCCCCCCAAACGCTGATATAATGTTTTATTTGAAATGAAGTATATATTTAATGTAATAAAATAACATGTTGAAGTACAATTTTTTGATATTTTAAAATGTTTTCAATTATCTTATCTATTCTTGTGTAGGGAAACGGAAGAGTACCTACTACCTGCCCCTATCGAAAGCTTGTATGTGTATTAGCCATTCGCATTAAATTGCTGATATTATGTTAAATTATTGACGATTATTATAGCTACAATATCTGTATTTCCAGTAATCGATTATGTTGCGATAGTGAATTTATACGTATTTTTCCTTTTAACAGTTCTTTTAGAAGGGACGATTATATTACTATTTTATATTGAAATACTAGTATTGATTAATACTAGAATTCATTATTGCATTATTAATTTAAAAAAAGGATTTGGATTTGGGTTACCTCTATCAAAACAATTGCAAAAAGTAATCATTGATTTGAGATTAGCAACTAAATTAGCTGCTGAAACTCTAGAAGAAATGAAGATATTTAGAAATACTGCTCAAAAAACATTTCAACAAATATATACAGCTGCACTTGATTTAGCTGGAAAATTTCAAGTAGATATAACAATGTCTAGAATTACAGGAAGACAAGTATGGAACGAACATTCAAACAAAATCCACCGAAGAATACTACCGCATATCTATATTTATTCCATACATGTTTATTCTTACATTAATGAACTTGAACAAAGATTTGTCCATCATAAAAGTACACTTTATAATTTTCAGTCATTATTTGAATCCGAAGAAAATGAAGATAACTTCATAAAATTAGCCGATTATTACAAAGATGATTTGGAGTCCATAAACCATTCGTTATTATCAACGGAGTACAAGTTATGGCAAAGATGATTAAAAAACATGACGGAAAAACCGAAAAACGCACTCCAAGCTATGACTGTTTGTAACAAAGAAATATACACAAGTGTCTTGAAATTATTCCAGATCCTTGCTACTTTACCAGTCTCCACTGCATCAAATGAGCGCACCTTTTCAAATTTGAAGCGAATCAAAACATATCTAAGAAATACCATGACTGAAGTAAGGATAAATTATTATGTCAAATTTTAAAAAAAATTATTTGTAAAATTAATTAATAAAAATATTATTTTTAATTAAATTTCAGGCTTGAACGGCTTGGCAATGATGTCGATTCACACGGATGAAAGCTGTTTAACAGTTGATTCAGTATTAACCGAACTTTGTAAAAAAAAAAAAGAAGAGTCGATTTTGTTTTGTAAAATAAATATAATATAATATTTAACATTAAACTTTATGCGTGAATGACGATATATTTTATAATATATAAATAAAAATACAGGCAACACTTTTTTAATAGAAATAATGCCTTTGAAATATATATCATTTTTCAGGACCCCCCCCCCCAAGAAAATGTTGAAAATCCGCCACTACAAGGATGGCTTTAAACGATCTAGCAGAGAAGCGTAAAACCTTCTTAAAGCATTGGAACCAAACCCGACAAAAACAAAAAAGACAAAAATTAAACCCAATACTTTTGCAAAGCGAATAGTGGAAATGAGCAGAGCTCCGCTGGATAAAAAATCAGTTAGAGAAGTAACTGCGAGAGCCTTAAGATTAAGAAATCAAATGCAGAATAAAAGTCCTGGTGGGCAAAAAGTTCAGAATTGAAGAGGTGCAAACTGCATTAAAAAGCGTAAAACTTGGTAAAGCGGCAGAACTAGATGTCATTTACCCAGAGTTTCTCAAACAGAGGTCCAAATACAATAAAGTAGCTCTCGAACTTCTTTACTGGCATCCTACACACAAGAAGATTAACCAAAATATTTTAAAGAAACCAAAGTGCTAGCAGTTCTAAATCCAGAAAAGCCAGATGACGATGTAAAGAGTTATAAATAGAGAGATAAATATATAATCGCATTTCAGAAGATATAGACAAGACTATTCCACAAGAACAGGCAGGTTTACGCCTACACAGAAATTGCTGTGACCAAGTAATGGCGCTCACAATTCATATTGAAAATGTATACAATAACAAGCAAAAAACCGCAGTGGCTTTCATTGACCTATCATCTGTGCACGATACGGTGTGGTGGACATGTCTACTATCAAAATTTCTTGATTTGTTCTTATGTAAGACGCCATATACGATGCTTAACAACACGCTTAGTAATAGGAAAATAATAGTGTATATAGAAGAAGAAAAAAGTAAGATGAGATTACTAAATAACGAGTTACCACAAGGCTCAGTGCAGGCCCCATTATTATTTAATCTATACACAAAGGATATCCCTTTAACAAGTTTAAGAAAATGTATCTATGCAGATGATATTGCATTGGCCACTCAGAATAATGTTTCTGAGGATCTTGAAAATACATTAACCGCAGTGACCTTTGAGAGCTAAACACATATTTCAAACGATGTAGACTTAAACCTACCCCGTTAAAAACTGAAGTGACAGTGTTTCATCTGAAAAATAGAATGGCGAGCTATAAAATAAGTGTTCATTTTAATGGACAGTTAACATATCTGGTTTAACAGCGCACACGTGAGCAAAATAGATAAACAACTCAATATAAAAATGCAGACAATAGGCAGACTGACAAAACCTACACGACTTAAATGGTTACCAGTTCTCAGTAACATTGCTCTTCCCAAATTGCGAAAAGAGAACAGTCTCGTACATGATCGGGTCAAATACTCCAGGAACCCAAACCTCCAAATTCACACGGTTCTACCCATACCAAATTAAATACAACGACTTAAGTCCCGTAAACCCTTGAGGAAACCGCAAGGACGCTCATCTAAGAAAAATTTGATATATATCACAGATGGAAAGAAGATTGGATATTATAAAACCCCGATGTGCATAATCTAGTAACATACCCCACTGCCAAAACAACCAGGATTTGAGCTAACAAAAAAATTTGGGCTACACTAAACCGCATTAGAACAAGCCATAGTAGAAGTTGTCACGTAATGTTTAAATGGGGACTGCGTGCTTCTGAAGTATGTGACTGTGGACACGAATCACAGACTACTAGACAAATCATAAACGAATGCCCACTGCGAGCATTCACCAATACCATACATGATATTCATCAAGTGAGAAAAGAAGCGGTAAAATGGACGAAGGACCTGGATGTTATATTATAATTACAATTTACAAAAATATTCGACTAAGCCATAACGACCAATCGTTTTTTTTTACTTACTTAATACTTTTTTTACTTATTCAATTTTGAAATGTTATTAATAGTTAATAACAGTAATAATTTTTTTCTAAGAAATATTTTAAAAAAAGGATTTGTCAATTGTCATTCCGTTTCCTTTTATATTTATTATAGCTTTTACTCTAAAATTACCATGGTCAAAAGGCAATTGTTGGCTAGAATACCTACCAGTCTATTTTGAAGGTTGCACTATTTCAGATGTTGGTTTAATGAATGCTGTACTATTCCTAATTTATATATATATATATGTAGTAATTAGTATAAAGAAATCGGTTTAGTGATTAAAATGTTACCGTGAGTCTAGAGTTTGAACGTCCTATTGTTTAGGTGCAACGGCTTAGCATCAAGTTACATACTCGGTTCCCGTCCAAAATCCCGAATCCATAAACCCGACATACATCCCGACAAACCAATTACCCGACAACCTTTTTCCCGACCCGTTTTTCCCGGCAACATTTCTCCCGACAAACCAATTACCCGACAGCATTTTT